CTCATTACCCAATCGATCCCTTTCCGCAGCGTTTTTGATCAACAAATTCCCAGATGCAATGATTCCGTATCGAATTTGAGGGTCTCTCCGGCCCGGAGATCTCGGGATCTTGCCATTGTCGCACACATTACACAACCACAATGGGCTTAGCGAGAATAGCACCAACCATATCATCCACCACCATAATGGCCATTGAGACCGATCGCACCAAGTGCAGTACAAATGGTCTTGGTCGACTCCTGGAAAGATGTAATTCTCATCCGCCAGATCGGGCTTTTGGATCATTGCAGATACATTTTCTAATACCCGACGGCGACAGGTGCCAGGCCTGGACTGAATGGATGCGAGGGCTGTCAAAAGGACGGTCGGGGGTTTATCGAGAGATCCCTTCCGTTCGAACTTTTCTTTCCCTAGGTTCTTGCCCAGGTCGTATTGGACCACGCCGCCATAAGTCCCATCCGGCTGGCTGACCACCACGTCGCCTAGGCGGATGTCGATCTCTTTCGCGAGATTTGGGATGCCACCTCCGATGCCCACCATCAAGCCAAAGCGGATTTCAGGAAACGTCCTCAACATATTGCTGGCAACCGTGGCCGCAGCGTTGGTGCCATACACCCCTGTGGGCAGACACGCAATCACCACGTTGTGTTCATGGACTCGGCCCAGCACATAGCTATTAGTGTCTTGCGCATCTGTTATCTTCAGCGGCTCATGCTCTTCATCCAACATCGCTCTTGCCGCCGTCATCTCTTTGGGTAGGGCGCACATCACTCCCACTTGATACGCTTCGACAGGTGATGGGTGCATGCCGGCTGCCGTCGGTGACTCGATGACTCGATGATGGTAGTATCCGTTAAAGAGGCGGCACGAAGCATAAAGGGTAAGTCGAGCTGTGAGATGTGTATACAAACCTACAGCAGCTGGGTTGTGCACGTCTGCTCCGAATATTGGCCAATAAAGATGTAAGAGCAGCAGGCAAGCTTGCTTGTTAGCAAGTCAGTCTCTCATTTCGATAACCACAGCCATAGGCCCCCCAACTTTACGTAATATCTTAATGCGCCTCCGATTGGTCCAATAAAACATGACTTTGAAAGTGCTCAATTCAACAGCAAATAACACAAAAACAATGAGATTTTACTTTGCATCACGATTTCGCGCAGTTTGCGGTTCCTGCGTCTTCCGCGGTTACTGAGCCCTCCTGAGGCTCCTGCAGCGCCGTGAACCTGCCTGGTCTTGCTTATCTATTCTGAGTCATCGGTGCGCAGTCCACTACTGACTACTGCCGGCACGCCTATCTTGGTGCCTCGATCCCTGGGCCACTGTCTCTCTATTTTAAGTCGTGCAGGCCCACGCACACTAATCTCCGACGGGGAGCGGTAAAAATAATCCACCAGCTTCCTGCGCGATCACTCTAGTCATCCGCTAAGCATTCGGGGCCTGCCTTGGGGCAGCCTGCGCTGACGGCGTGTACCAGGCGGTGCCATGGACGGTGGCGGCACGAGAAGTAGCGGTGGTCAAGTTGCTCTTAGTGACAGGCAAAGACAACCCGGATACGAAAGACTACGACGTCACGGTAAACCCCATTATCTCCATTTCTCGAATCTTTTCTTGCCTTTAGATGTCTCCATGTCAGGGAAGAGCAGATTGGCAAACGTGTCGATGGTTGATACACGGGGTGAGTTTCTCTTCCGTCCTTGCTTTTCTCCAACTCTCCTATTCATCTTCCTCGAGAAATCTGCCGATCAGTTCTGTTAGATGTAACCTCTTTGAAACTTGTACCATTCTTTTGGAAGTCTCGATTGGCCTCCTCTTTTCTTCTTCTTTCATCTACTGAAGAGTGGACCTGCTGATCTTAAAACCTGGATCGATTGGATCCTCCGTACAACTAAGAAGAAGACGCACGAACCTATCGGCCAACTGTGGAAATGGTTGTGCCAAAGCTACAGCATCTTAGCTGTGCAGCTTATGGACTCATTTACAACCCAGCAAGTGAGACGGGTATGGTCTGTCCTATTCTTTACTAAGCTGATATACCTCCATAGTACATGAAGGGCCAAATGCATGAAGACTACGAAGTCAGTCGCCGCGCCCGACGAAAGGATACCTTGAGCGCTGAGGACTCGGCATTTTGCTGCAATAACACTTTGGTGGGCGCTTTTTACAGCCGCCGTGAAGGGCCTGCTTCCGGACCCTGAAGATACATGGACCAAATAACAGGCCCTCCATCGGATTCCTTGCTCTGATGTCCAACCGCCGGGGATTCCAGATCAGTGTTGGAGTCCTTTTCATAAATCCTTTTAGCTGCCATCGGATCTTGTTTTCCGATGAAAGTTCCTCCTAGCACAGGGACCTCACTATCCACTGCACCTACGTCCAGATTCGCTTTTGTGCAGAGCTCGAAGTCTTCGTTAGATTCTGCTCCTCTTTCGTACTCAGGACAGGGACGATGCGTCCTTTGTCAGGTAGAAAATAAAGAGGAGGCGAAGATTAGGCAACTAGCACCGCTGATTCTACCGAAGCTATTCTTCGTTCTCGCTTATTGATAACATCCAAGATCACAGCATCTGTCTACTCCCAAAAATATTCATAGCCCTAGGTGACTGTCGACTGCTCCGGTTCCTTACGTATCACTACCTCCTGATCTTCTGCAAAACCTCCAGGCAGCATATCGCAATAGTGTCATGAATTCGGATCTTATCATCCCTAGCCCTTCTAGCTCCGCGAAATCCGTCTCGGACACCTCGGTCCCATTCACCCAGGCATCACCCAGCCGCCGGAGCATCAGTCCTTCAGCCTCTTCCCCCTGAGCTCTGAGAACCGGGTCCATTTTGAAGTCACCCAGATGATAATACGCGCAGATTTGGTGTCGACCAGCACCCTGCCACAACGCTGCGAGTCTCCCGATCCCCACGTTGTCTATGCTATCTAGCGTGGGCACCTCGATATCGCCGGTGGATCTCAAGGGGACGAGGACTCCTTCGAACGGAACGTCCTGAAGAGCCTCAGGCGTAGCGACCCCGGTTTTGAGACGACAGACCACTTGTTTGCTGTGAAAACGTTATCAAAGAGTTCGAGATCGCTTCGAAACCCGCACAGGACCCACTGACATCGGCCATGAGCTCGTGTTAAGGACCTTGAACGCCGTCACCCAGTCAGGGTGTGCCTGGTGTCTCTTGTCATCATTCATCTCGACCGTGACCCCACTCGCGCTGTCAACGTCGATGTCAGCCAGACTCTCTGTCCGCTAGAAGCAACCTGGGACGGAACCGCATACAAATCGACCGAGAACTCCATCATCCCGGGCTCCCCGACCGCCTCATGGGTGTCAAGTTGAACGCACCAAGAAGCACTATGAATGCTCGGTTATCGAGACCTCTGATCAGTAGGCAAGACATCTGACTCACACGTGATCCCACACCACACCTCTGACCCTCACCTCACAATATTCTCTTCTGTCATACGGAAGACGGTTCTCCTCGACTTCATGTCGGTCGCCCGCGGCGGAAGTGTAGGCAAACGCGGATGGCACTCTACTGACCACAAACCAGTAAAGTTGTTTCGATGTCATCTGTTCAGGCGCCATCCAATCGATGACCCTGGAAGACATGATGAGGGATGATGATAGTAAGGTGACTGACTGACCAAGGCGCGTAGTGGACGTAAAGTGATGTCGTGATCAGATGAATCAAGTCCGAACAGATACTGTCTGCAGACGATGGTGAAAAGATGATGGAGTAATTGATCGATAAAACTTGTATAATAGTAAGCGTTGTCACAGACAATCTGCTCAACTACGTAAGTAAAGATGAGAGTGAAGTGAAATGATAAGACGTCAGAAGAACGGTTATCAAAGGACAAAGCAACCCTAACGTATTCTTTGACCTCGAGGTATATAACGCAAGTATCCAGAATCTGTTTAGAGCCGGACCGATCGATTCTATTCTCTACTGGATATAGAGACTAGATGTCTATATATTTAGCAATTATATCAACATCGGTTAAAAACAAAAAGAATCTCTTAGAGTCTAATAATACCTGAAAAGAAGATAAAAGAGATTGAACCACACCATTCTATCCCCAATTTATCAAGAGTCCTCAAGCCTGGATGACCGACACCTAAGTCTATTACCGATCTAGAGGATAGTTATTCCCTTCTTTGTAGTGTGGAGGTGTACGGTCAATCTATTATCACGGCTAGTCCTACTCGATCCTATTATGCCCTTGCTAACCCTCCTTCTCAAGCCTATATCAATCAACAATCAACGTACAAGAAAAGTATAGATAATACGTGTTCTGTCACCTTATCCAAATAAGTCTCCCCCGATAGCTCAGCGGTCTAGGGCGACCTCACAAACGGGACTATAGTATAAAGGGTAACATTCTTTCGGATGAGGGAGATACGATATCTTACTCTGGAAGAGTTCCAAGTTCGATTCTTGGTAGTTCTCTTGTGGGACTAAGTGATTTGTGACTGTTATAAACTGTGACTCTTCACCTAGTCCCACCTTCTTTTTTTTTATCTTCTTTGTCTTTTTTTTCTTGACTCGCTGACTCGAAACTAGATCCTAGTGCAGAGTCATCGTTTGTGGAGCTTATGGAGAGAAAGACGTTTTAAAGGGCTGATATCATACTTGTCTCAGAGCACATAAAGTCGGGCATGACAGAGGAAGACCTCAATATAGTTTTCGGATGAATCTTGGTTTCTTCGAGCTTGGAAAGCGGGTGTGGAGATGGCATATGCATTGCTCTTAAACTGTCCCACAACGTCTATTTTTTTTGACCGCACAGTGATAGCAACTGGACCCGCAGCTTCAGATGATTCATAGCCATAATCCCTTACTTCTTCGTCCGCATATTTCAACAGCACTCTTTTCTTCTCCTTCTTCTTAGCCTTCTTTGAAATCGAGAAGGTTCCTAAGTCGTCGTCAATACTAGTAGCAGGAGCAGACACTTCTTCAACATCTTTGCTCCGTTTCTTCTTCCCTGCGCTTCACAAGCAAGAAGAAACTATTAATGTTTAGTATGAATCTCAATCAGACTTTGTATAAAGACCTAGAGAGAATTTATCGCTATACTACTGAAGAATTCCAAGTTGCAGGAGGTAAGATCTAGCTTTTTGAAATAAAACTCTCTTTTAAGCGCCACTTCAAAACCTACCCCTGTTCCTTCCTCCTCCCCCTCCCTTAATACTATACACCCTCCTTTCTCTAGCTAAGGCTCTTATTCAGTAAGAACCAGTAGGTTAAGCACTCACGCCAGGCGATTCATGAGGTTATGAAGAGTATACAATACCATGTACCCGCAGAGCATGGCTTTTATAATGGTTATGATGCTCAAGCCAAATCTCGTCCAAAGAGCAAGAAGGATAGGGACAGGTGAACGGCTCTCCTTGAGGAAGGTACCGAAGATGCTGCAGCTGTACATGCCGAGCCAGCGACCAGGGACTCGCGAAGCACTGAGTTCTGATCTCCGTTGCCAGACTAGCATCTCCTAAACAGAATAGACACTGGGTTCCAGGACAACGAATAGGATAGACATCAGGATCAGTGTCTAGGAGGCAGGGTGTGCTTTCAGCGGCACCGTCCAAGCCAACCGTATTAAGCGCATCTCCATCAGCGTGTTCCGGTTGACGCCGTGGCCGTGGATACTCACGGCGGCCGCATAGAGATGCATAGAGTCGGATGATCTCGCAGTTATCATCGTTTTGTCGTTGGCGAGATTTAGGCATCAATGTAGCTGAAGGAAACAGTAATCTCGCTAGTCCTTCGCGTTCCCTGAAGCGGAATTCTGATATAGAAGGGCTGGTAGGCTCCTCTTGGCTAGTATGTTGGTTCTAGAGACACTGTACTCTAAGGGTTTCAAAATATTGCCGCTGTGAAAGCTCAAATAGCTCATCTACCTTTCGCTTCAGGAGACTCCTAAAGCCTCTTTCTAGCCGAGTACGGCCCTCAAGCTCTGTTTTTATCATCAAATCTTGCTTGGCCTTTTTTCTTGCAGCCGCGACTGAGCTATAACGATTTTGGATCGTCTTCGTGCTATTGTCAAGGAGCTGTTTTGCTATGATAACCTCGACGTCATCTTGTGCCTAGAGACGCTGCATAGATGTAGGTCTGGCAGGAGCAACAGGATCTATGATAACCTCGACGTCATCTTGTGCCTAGAGACGCTGCATAGATGTAGGTCTGGCAGGAGCAACAGGATCTGCAGTAAGGGACACGTGGCTTATTAATTTCATGATCGCCGCATCGGAAGGCGTCCTAATGAAGGCAGATACAATATCGGCATCAGTGACCTAGTTTCGATAGCTTCGTTGATAGATTGACCTATTAACATGTCTCATGACCTGGTTCCGTACTCCCTCTGGTATGAGAGTTAGAAGAACTATAAGTGGACAGGTAGAATTGGAGTCAGATTTACCTGGAAGTACCTCTGCCGCACCGTAACAAAGCATCTTGAACTCAAAACTTTCCTTCATACCAAAAGATCTACCCAGGCGTCGATTCCAAGTCGTCATCTGATTATATTGTGCGGCCAGAACAGGTGAAGTGTGAATCTTCCCCATCGTGTCGCGGACGGACCGACGCAGCACTAGGACTCTTTGCCACTCTGCAGCCTACTTAATAGGCACAGAGGCAAGTCGATCAGGAATGTTGATTTCGTAAATGTCCTCAGGCTCGCAGATCTACTTGCTCGCAAAGGCTTTGTCCTTGAGTGCTAATCCGCAGATAACTTTGATCAAACAGAAACTTGGAACATCCTGTCGCTCCAGAAATTTGATCAGCGGTCTAGTAACATAGTCAGCAGGTGATGTCGATTTGATCCATGGAAGAACTGACGGATTCCCACGATTTCGTCTACCTTTAAGGAGTCGTAGCGTGATAAGCATGCCCAGTTTCACACTACCCGGGTTCCCCTTATCTTGAAGAGCGTAGAGTTGAATGTCTCTATATTCAACAGCCTGATTCTGCTTGAGATATCCGATAGATTCAACTATAGTACCGGCACGTGATGTGGTCGATGCGCAGAAAAGATTTAAAGCCGCGTGCTGAACCCGCTGCCGCTCCTCCGGATAATATTCATCGCTAAGGACCCAATAGTAGTAGAGGATGTCAAGCACGTCGTCTGCATTCATCACCGCTCTAAACCGACCGGTTTCCTGGAGCTCAAACTCATTAATTAAGTGATCTATAATGAACTATGAAATAGAATCTCCTATTAATAAGACCGCACGTAGTCGAGTATCTTTAATAAGGGCCGTACATTTTTCATGTCCATCTTGATAGATTCATCTACAGGATAATTTGTATAAACGTGTACTGCAATCCTCCAGAACTTTGCGAAGGTGAAGAGGGTGGATGATGATTTGATATTTGAGATCTCACAGCTCCATTCTAAGAATGATCGGACGACTTCATAGGATAAATGATTCTCGCATATTTTGACAGGGTCGGGGCTTAGAAAGTAACTCGACTCTTCATAGACTTTCTGACAAAATCTAATCACGCCTGATTAGTGTTTGTTCAAAGAACAAAGATAGTAGGAGTAGTAGGAAAATGTATACGAGACTTACTGAGTCCATCATATCCATGCACATTTATAGGACATTTTAGTGCTGTCTGCATATTTAGGTGTCGTCGGCTTAGTGCTTTGACTAAGCTTGCTGATCAGCTCTTGAAATGGTCGTGAATGTCTTTTGGTCTTTTGCTTTGTATGAGTGGAGGGTGAGACCGCCATTGATGGGTCTTCAAGATGGAAGTAGGTATATTGAATAGATGAGACTTGATAAAATGTGGTGAAAGATCAGCCATGATGTTGTCGCGAAGAGGGGTGCAACTTTTTATATGCGCATTTGGGTCCATCGAGTCGTACTCGAGAACAAAATAAGGTCGCGACCTGATTGAGGGCAAAGAGGAAGAGGGTTGGGAGGGTAAAATGACACCCCCAAACCAGGGTTCGCTTCCCTGTCTAGCGTGGGTGCAGAGGGTGCCAAAAGCAGCGTCAAAAGGGTCCCTGATTTGGTACCCTTTATAACCCTGATGTACAGTTACTCCGTACTCCTGCATCTTCCTCTTGAAATCATACTAGTACTTCAAACCATCGATTATCTCGACTACCCCAATCCAATCAATCTTTTGTCGACTTGTCGATGTATTTACTCCCTTTCCAAGTCTAATATTGTTCGATGTGCGCTAATCGAACTTGAACTAAGCGACCTTTTCTGGAGACTCGACGTAGCGCCCTGCTACAAATGTTTAAGTGTCATGCACTATAATCACCTTAATAACTCAGCTTTGAGGACCGTTTCCCGCTCTCCCCCAGCTAAGTGGGACGTGCGATGGTGGAACTGTGAACGACACAGCAAGATTTGGACAATCAGGTACGGGTCAGCGGATAAGTGGACATTGGATTGTCAGAGATGCGACGAGTCAGGTATAGGGCAAAAGGTGGAATCATTGCTGTAAATCCGGAAAAGTGGCCGAGAAGACTTCTAAGGTGGAACATGTTTGAACTGTACGCTTGTGAATTCATACAGAGCACCACGAAACCGAAAGCATGGACGACCGATGTCAGAGAGACAATCCCACGCTGGTATCAATTTTAAGCTCCATCTATGTATAAGGCGCTGGGCTTTTCTCTTTCTGCTGTTCGCACATGATGAAGTTTCCCAAGGTCCCTAGTATGAGACTTCGCCTGCTGAGTTTTCAAGCGGTGTCTATTCCGTACCTCTTCCTCATCTTCTTACACTACTCACAAGTATATTCTCGTTTTTCTTCCTGGTCCCAGAAAATCTTGCATACAATTCACAGGTCATCAAGAGCAACCCTAGCACACGATCTGATCTCCCTTTCGGGAGAAGGCGGCCTCTACAACTGTCATCTGCGAGAGAAGCCATGGTCAAAATACTTGTGGCACCACCACAGCCATCCCCTCACTCGCTACTCCTCGCCCTTCCACCTGAACTCTCCAACGAAATTCTCTCCTACCTCTCCTACCCCGCGCTGCTCCTTTTCATATTAAATTGCCGCGCCTCCACCGTCGTTTCCAATCCCGCCTCACGCGTCATGGCCTCTTCGAGCACGAAGTCTCGAATCGTTCCATCTTCATAGAGTACGACATCATGCCCTGCTACGGATGCTGCAGATGTCGGCGGTATCGGAAATTCGACTATATTGCCGAAGGGTCGGATTGGAGGGTGAGTTGTTATCTGGTACGCAGACTTTGGGATATCTACCTTGGAGACAGGAGGCATGCAGGGGAGCGGCGGTGTAAGGAGTGCGCAAGGGATTGGAGGAGTGATTTGTGCATTTTGCTGTGGATTTATAGGTTCGAAAGTACTTGGGTAACACGGTAGTCTGGGCGGTTTCTCTATTGCACACTTTCGTCGTCGGGATGGGGAGAAAAGTCTTGTTTTCTTCTTCGGCTCCTCTTGTGAATGTCCTCCGGGTTCCGTTATGGTACTGTACACAATCTTGCTCTGGGCGCTCACAACATCTCCACAATGCCAGTGTATCCATCGAATCAAATAACCCAAATCTTCACCCCCAATTGATTTGCTTATCTAATCCTACGTTGATTTAACTAGATTTGATTGGATTTGATTGGACGTATTTGTCAAATGGAATCGAATGCTAGTAAGCAATGTTTCGTTAAGAGGACTGCCTTTTCGTAGATTCATCTCACAAAGAGAGTCCGCCAAGACCTTTATCTTTCTATCGAAAATAATTCTGCCTGCTTCAAAATACAAGACCTTTCTACTAGTATTCTTAAGACTTCTTCTATTGATGACTACTACTACTACTACTACTACTACTACTACTACTACTACTACTACTACTACTACTACTAATTTGTCAGGTTTTACGGAGTAAAGTCTTGATTTCATTTGATGAAAGCACGGATTTGGTTTATTTGACTCAATTTGATTCAGATGGACACACTGCATAGTAATGCCAAAATGCGCTTTTATATTCTCACCTCTATTTTCGTAGTAGTACGCACCGTACCTCTTATTGCCTCGCTTTCCGCTCTTCAGCATTGTCATTCCCGAGGCAGCCATTGCGCTTTGCATTACATGGATCTTCTATCACTGGCCACCCCATCTGACCGGTCAGCGAATCGTATCGGCAGTCCTCCTCCATTTTCCCTCCCACAAATGAGCGTTTCTTCATGCAAATCAAACTCCCTTCTGTCTCGCCTTTCCGCACCCTTCATCTTCAACAGTCAATAGTCAATGTTCCATCGAAATGCTCATTCAAGATTGATCGTAACCTCCTTGACGGTCCGGGCGGCTAGAGGAAGTCCAATAGATAACCTGTAAGTGTGTATTTCCACGGAGGACTGGTTTGCGCTTTCTTTGTCGGCAGCTTGAAAAGAGCTCTCTTGCTCTCTCTGTTCCCCCCTCTCCCTCCCCGCCTTTCTCTTTATCTAACCTAGCTTCCCCTCCTCTCTCTTCCGGACCAAAGAACGGAATAATCATCGATGGCCATTACACCGCTGTAAGAATACTAGTAACTCATTCTATCCCTCTCTTATCATCCTATCCTTTCTCTTTTTATATCACCCTCTTTCTCTCCATAATAATCAAACGAAGAGGCAGAGGAAAAAAGCCACCCCCGCAGAGGTGAGAATAAGAACGTACAGACCTAGACAGAAAAAACAGGACGGGGCCGAAAGACTCGATGAGAACCATGTAAGCCAATCTCACCCCCAATGTAGCGGAACACCCTGGGTGCAGGAATTAGTAGGAGGTACATTGACTTTGAAGCTCTGCAGAGCTTGTACCCCAAAGAATATCTCTATACTGCCACAATCATTCAGTATGGCCGTCTGTCGCCTAATTTCCGCAGAGTCGCCTTTTTACGTTCCACCAATGTCCCTTCACAACCCCATGGGGATTGTTCTTTTCTCACTTATTTAAACTATGCAAGAGCTGGTCCAGACCATGCAATCCACATTATCATGCTTCCCATTTGCCGCCAACAATGCATGCGGCATAGGAGGCAAATGGGCCAAACGGATCAGTACTTACTACGTAAGGACGCCACCATGACCAGTTTGGGTAAGGCGTAACATCGTGACACGAGTTGAGCGTGTTACTACGTCATCTACGGAGTATCAAATGTAAAATAAGATTGTTGCGTGTTTTATTACACTTGGCCCAGGATGCATTTAAAGGAAATGTCCTATGTGCCGGAACGAAACATAGGCTACTCAACACAGGCGACCACGTTGCAGCGCCTAGTCTAGAGAAGCCTGCGGGACAGCGGGTTCCATGATTAATTTGTTGTGGTTTGTCTAGACGATAAATTAGTTCTTAAAATCTTCAGATGAACTGTACAGCACCGGAGCGTATCAAATTTGGCGGAAAGTGACATCAGTCTGAGCTGCAATATCTTCATACCTGATGCCTGCTTCACGAAAGACTTGAGCTTGAAGGTGTTGGTCTCGAGTGGCCTGCGGAGCGCGCAGATTTCGAAGGCGCTCAAGTTCAAGTGAGTGCGGCGGCGGCGTTGTAAACTGCGCATCCTGCCCCATAGAGAGGGTGTTGACGGTGGTGAGGGCGTTGAGAGAGCATTGTTGTAAAAAAAACAGAGTCAATGGATTGCGCAAAATAGAAGCAATTAGGCCAACAGATGAGATGGTGAAGAAAAAGCCATTTTGGGTGGTGATCACTCACATTTGTAGTTCAACACCGGCAACAGTTGATCCATTACACTTTTCTCGAGATTCAGTAACAGCACTGGATCAACCCCGTAGGTGACATCCCCGCAGGAAGCAAGTCGTTCGTGCACACTCATTCTTGTTGCTGAACCCATCGGCTGTCCTACAGCTACCTCCTAGCACGAAAGAAACTCTCGTGCCTCTCGACGTGCTGTCCCAGCCAGACTCGAGCCGTCTTCAAATTTCCTCCAAAGCCTCGAATCCCTTCGCAACGATGCGTCTTTTAGAAGTCCTGTCGGGCGGGGACTTCCGCCTCACCGAGAAGTTCCTTGACAATGCGATCCCTCAATATGCCATTCTCTCTCACACATGGGGAAGTCAGGAAGTCATATATGAAGACGTGGTCAAAGGATCAGGTAGAGACAAGGCTGGATATGAGAAAATCAAATTCTGCAGCGAGCAGGCTGCTAGGGATGGTTTACAATATTTCTGGGTGGACAGCTGTGCTATCGACAAATCGAGCAGCGCGGAGCTTCAGGAATCCATTACGTCTATGTTTCGCTGGTACCAGCGCGCCGTGAAGTGCTACGTGTACCTGTCTGATGTCTCGACGAGGAAGAGGAAAATGGATGACAACTCGCGGGACTCGTGGAAACGGGCATTTCGGGAAAGTAGATGGTTTACCCGGGGTTGGACGCTTCAGGAACTCCTCGCTCCTACGTCTGTGGAATTCTTTTCCAAGGAGGGCAGCCGGCTTGGGGATAAGCAGTCTCTCGAGCAACAGATTCATGAGATAACGAGTATCCCAATTTCAGCGCTTGCGGGATCTGCGTTATCTTCATTCAGCGCTGACCAGAAAATGGACTGGGCAAAGAACCGCAAGACCACACGCGAAGAAGACTGGGCTTACTCTCTCATGGGCATTTTCGAAATCTCCATGCTAGTCAACTACGGCGAGGGGAGGGCAAGCGCAGTCAGACGGCTTAGAAAAGAGATCGACGATGCCTCAAAAGACAAAGAGTGCTTGCGGCACCTATACGTGACTAACCCTCGCGCGGACAAGATCCGCATCGAGGAGACTAAGGGCGGCCTGATACAGGACTCGTACCGGTGGATCCTAGAAAACTGCGACTTCAACCAATGGCGTAATAGCCAGCAGAGCAACCTGCTATGGATCAAAGGCGATCCCGGGAAGGGCAAAACAATGCTGCTCTGTGGAATCATTGACGAGCTAGAGAAGCCAACAGCTAAAACGTATAACCTGTCCTATTTCTTCTGTCAGGCAACCGATTCGCGAATCAACAGCGCCACAACCGTACTGCGAGGTCTTCTATACTTGCTCATCGATCAGCAGCCATCGCTTATTCCGCATATTCAGAAGCAGCATGATTATGCAGGTAAAGCTCTATTCGAAGATATAAATGCTTGGGTCGTCCTATCTGATATCTTCACAAACATTTTGCAAGACCCGAACTTGGAAAGTACATACTTCATCATCGACGCGCTCGACGAATGCGTAGTAAATCTATCGAGACTGTTAGACTTTATCGCACAGAAGTCGTCGATATCTCCTCATGTCAAATGGCTTGTTTCTAGTCGCAACTACACCTCCATCGAGGAGCGGCTAGGGATGGCCAAAAGTCAGGTGAGGCTATCCCTTGAACTGAATTCAGAGTCTATTTCTACGGCTGTCAGCATTTACATCCGGCACAAAGTGTGTGAGCTGGCGCAAGAGAAAAGGTACGATGATAAGACGCGAGACGCTGTCCTCGACCATCTATTCTCAAATGCGAATGATACTTTCCTTTGGGTGGCTTTAGTCTGTGAAAACCTCAAGAACATTCTACGGGGAAGAGTCCGCGTGAGGTTGAACTCGTTTCCGCCTGGGCTTTATTCTCTTTACGAGCGAATGATGAAACAGATATGCGAATCCGAGGACTCAGAACTCTGCAAGCGGATACTCGCCTCGATCGCGACCGTATACGAACCCATCACTGTGATTGGACTTACATCTGTTGTCGAGATGCTCGAAGAATTCTCCAACGATTTAGAGTCATTAAAGGAAATCATTAGCCTCTGTGGTTCGTTTCTAGTCATTCGAAGTGATACAATCTATTTTGTGCATCAGTCCGCAAAGGACTATCTGCTTGAAAAGGTATCTATTGACATCTTTCCATCTGGACAAAGAGAGATCCACTACGAGATCTTCTCGAGATCGCTCAAGGTCCTGTCCAGGACATTGCGACGGAATATCTATGGCTTAAGTTCGGTAGGCTGCTCTATCGACTTGGTCAAACGGCCGGATCCAGACCCTCTAATGGCGTCACGGTATTCTTGTTTTTATTGGGTTAACCACCTGTGTGACTGGAACTTCGACTGTTACGCGGATCAGCTGGTCGGCCTGCAGGATGGAGGCGCAGTGGATATGTTTGTGAGAAAGAAATTTCTGTATTGGCTCGAGGCTCTTAGTCTTTGTGGAAACATGTCGAAGGGGTTGGTTGCAATGACAAGACTCGAGGCTTTGATTAAGGTAAGTCTTGAGCCGCCGCTATCACTGATTCATTGGTCATGCTAAAATGAGGAAGGAAAGCAAAGGTGGACCTTCCTTGATCGAGCTGGTTCAAGATGCACGTCGATTTATGATGCATAGCAAGCTGGCCATAGAGGCCAGTCCTCTTCAGGCATATGTATCTGCACTCCTGTTTAGTCCAGCCTGCAGCCTTGTAAGGCACTGTTTTCAGAAGGAAAAGCCGGAGTGGGTCAGAATAATGCCGGCTATAAAAGACGGATGGGGTGCCTGTCTCCAGACGCTCCAAGGCCATCATGACTGGGTTATTTTGGTCACCTTTTCACAAGACTCTACACGGCTGGCGTCAATATCGCGCAACCAAACGATCAAAGTTTGGGACGCCAGCAGTGGCGATTGCCTATTGACACTTGAATGCTATAAGAGCATCCGGTCGGTCGCCTTCTCACATACCTCTGCCGAGCTCATGTCGGTGTCAGACGACGGAATCATCCAGGTCTGGGATGTCAGCAGCGGCGAGTGCCTCCAGATGCTGAAGGCTCATAGCGGCAGTTCGGTCGACTCTGTTGCATTCTCACACGACCTGACACGTTTCGGGTCGGCTTCACAGGACCGATCAGTACAGGTTTGGGATGTGAGCAGTGGGAAGTGCCTGCGGACGCTCAAAGGCTATTGCGACTCGGGTCGCTCAGTTACGTTCTCATACGACTCGACGAAACTTGCGTCAACGCTACAAGATGGTACGGTTAAGGTCTGGGATATACATAGGAGCCAGTGTCTATTGACACTTAATGGTCATAGCGATCATGTTGTTAAATCGGTCTTCTTTTCCCATGACTCTACACAGCTCGCTTCTGCGTCTGATCGAACAATTAAAGTCTGGGACTTAAGCAGCGGCGAGTGTCTACAGACATTTACAGGCCTTCACGGTCGAATTTTATCCGTCATCTTCGTACACACCTTGAAACAGCTCGCGTTCACAGAACTATACGGAATGGTGAGGGTCTGGGATATCAGCAACGGCAAGTGTCTCCAAGCGCTCAAAGACCCTAGGGCTTGGATCAGCTCGGTGGCCTTATCGCACAACTCGAACCCGACACAGATCGCGTTAGCGAGCAGAGGAAGAGTCAAGATCTGGAATATAGATAGCGGCGAGTGTCTACAGACACTTGGGAGCTACAGCGATTCTGTCAACTCAATCGCTTTCTCGAATAATGTAACACAGCTTGCATCAGCGCAAGAAAATACGGTTAAGGTCTGGAATATTGATAGTGGCGAGTGTCTTCAGACACTTAAGGGCCATTCCAGTTCAGTAAACTCGGTCGCTTTCTCACACGAGTCGACATGGCTCGCGTCAGCAAGCGACGGAACAGTTAAGATCTGGAATGTGGATAGTGGCAGGTGTCTTCAGACCCTGACGGGCTATTTTGGTTCAGTCAACTCTGTCGCTTTCTCACAAGACTCAACATTACTCTTGTCTGAGGCGAGCAACCCTACAGTCAAGGTCTGGGATTTAAGCAACAGCCAGTGCATTCAGACATTCGAAGGTCATAACAGTTCTATCAGCTTGGTGGCCTTCTCATACGACTCAACACGACTTGCGTCAGCGAGTAAGGGGACGGTCAAAGTCTGGAATATAGATAGCGGCGAGTGTGTCCAGGCCATTGAACGCCGTGAAACTGATGACAAGGCAATAGCCGTCACGAACGACTTAACGCGACTTGCGTTAGCGAGAGATAGAGCGCTTCAGATCTGGGATATAGAGAGCGGCGAGTGTTTCCAAACGCTTAAATGTCCTAAAGCACGGTTCGACTTTATAGCCTTCTCACATGACTCGGCTCAACTTGCGTCAGTGTTATACGACACGATTTACATCTGGAATATAAGAAGTGGCGAGTGCTTACAGATACTTGAAGGCCATAACGGTCTAATCACCTCAATCGCCTTCTCAAATGACTCAACACGGCTCGTATCTGCATCTCGTGACTGTACGATCAAAGTATGGGACATAAATCACGATAAGTATCCGTCAACACTTGCACAAACGTCCAAAGGCCACAACGAACGAGTTAGGGCGGTCGTCTACTCATATGATTCAACACAGCTTGCTTCTGCATCAAATGATAGAACGATCAAACTCTGGTGTGTCAGTAGTGGCAAATGCTTGCAGACGCTTGAAGGTCATAATGGTATGGTCAATAACATTACTTTCTCATATAATTCAATGCGGCTTATATCAGGGTCGGTTGACGGAACAATTATGCTATGGGACACACAGAGCGGCGAGCGCCTCTGGTCACTTAAAGGTCATAGTGATTTGGTCCGCTCGATCGCTCTCCCATATAAATCAACCCGGTTTGCATCAGTATCATTCGACTTTACTGTCAAAATATGGGATTTAAATAGCGGTACAAATATACGTACATTCGAAGACCATAATAGTTATATCGATGCGGTTGCCTTATCTCACGACTTGACTAGGCTCGCATTAGCTTGGGACGATCATACAATTAGGATCTGGAACTCTAATAATGGTGAATGTCTTCAAACACTCAAGGGCCATAACGATATAGCCGTCTCAGTCGCCTTCTCATACGATTCGACTCGGCTCGCATCATCGTCCGCCGACAATACGGTCAGGATCTGGGACGCCAGCAGCAGCGAGTGCCTGCAAATGCTTAACATTGGCAAGGGGCTTTATAACGTGTCATTCGATATCTCAGGCTCGTATCTTTATACTGATATAGGTACCTTTGCCGTTGATGCACCGTTAGCTTCGAACACAATACCGGAACAAATAGAACGTGAAAATTCGAGATGCCTAGGTGTGGGTTTGAGTCCAGATGGAGAATGGATAACGTGCAATTCAGAGAAGCTTATATGGTTGCCATCTGAGTATCGGCCGCGGCATTCGCCCGTGTCAGTGTCAGGGAGGACGATCGCCATTGGCCTTGGATCTGGAAAGGTATGGATGTACACCCTCCAGGTCACCAGCTTTGAACCGTAGCCGGAAGTTTGCATGTGTTTCCATCTCAACTTGATATGTTTTTCATCATCTCCAACTCATAGAGGGGTGCAAGGACGGGCATGAACAAATAAGAAAACCGCTTGCTGCTCAAGTGGAAGCTTCCAGGACATCAGAGCCGGATTTTCTGCCATCCCCAATTCCAGCGCCTCAACTTCATCCTCGGGCAACTTTTACTTCACTCTTCCCACGGATAGCACTATAGGAGCGCGATCTATTCTGCAAAAGTGATGGTGATGGTGAAGAGAAGGAGCGACAAGCTGCGCTAGGCAGCAGGCCCAGAGGAATCGTCACCGAACGTCATGAAAATCTAGAATCCTACCGTATTCCATAGGTACGCAAACCACAGAAGAAGATGAAACAAAGAGGAAATACAAGGTGAGAAACGCTGACGCTTTTCAGCATCTTGCGCCTTAGTCAGTGAGAGCCAGGTACCCGCCTCCAGAACAAGATTTCCGAATGCCAACGATGCGAAGCTGTGTATTGATACATACTGATTCGATAATCCCTTTTACATGAATTCTCGTTTTATGGGCTCAAGATTGGAGAGACTTTTCCGAGTTCCATGACACAGCGTGGGGGTAGAGCTCCCGTATCAATTCATGCGATGCAAGGACCAGAGGACCGACCGAGGACACACGGCCAGGTCACATAGAGATTTGGTGTTGACAGAGAGAGAAATCATGTTGAGCAGAGCTGAAAGACACAGCGATATCAAACTGCAAAGTATTGAACAGGACACGATGGGTTGGGTTTTTCAGTCACACCGGGAGGGTAGTTTCAAGGAGAAGCTGGAAAGACTAAGAAATATTGTCGACTGAATTGTAGGGAGGTACAGTCCACTAGTACCAACACCGAGCATGCGAAATCATCATCATCATAGAAATGATAGCAAGACAGCCAGATCCCTTCCCCCCCTAGTCTACCCCAACTAGGAAATAGAACAATCATAAACCTTCTACCCAACTAACGGACTGACTGACGGACTGTCCGCCAAGAGAAAAAAAAACCTCCCTGTCTCTCCCCTTTCTGACAGTGCATCAAAAGTCTTCAATATACGCTAAATTCCGAGCGTCACTAGCACACTCGATCTAAGCTTTAGCGGTGCGTAGAAAAATGCACTTAACTGATAATCTGACGTGGCTTTACAGGCCCATGTCAGCTAAGGCTCAATCATCCGCCCTCTCTGACCATCCTTACGCCACCACCGCCTAACTACTACCAGCAGTACGCTAGGACAAGAGAAGCTAGCTTTTACTTACGTAGGATGCTTGTCAGCGTATATCGATCGAAGACTTTTGATGCACGACTCTGTACGCTCTCCCTCCCTCTACTATTGTCTTGCGCAGAAATCAAGTAAAGAAAAAAAACCAATCATCCCATCCCATCCCCAATCATCTAAGATTCTCAGTCAAACAACCCATCATCCACCCATCCACTTGTGCATCCTTCCATCTATCCCTCCATCCTTTGAATCTTCAATCCCCATACTTATACGCCCTACACCCAAGCAAACATAAACCAAACATAAACCAAACCAAAACACACACACACACACTCTCTCTCATTAGAAGAACCCCCCCCCCCAACGAAGAGATGAAATGAAAAATCCCGCTCAGGGACTGACAGACACCGGCACCAGTTGACTAACATTTTTCTTCTTGTAAACTTACTCGTAGACTCGTTGAGTCAAAAGCTAAGTACTACTTACTACCATGTACATACCATGTACATACCGTGTACACAGCACACACACACACAAAAATGGATAGGTACTCCGTACATAGGTATATACATCCACCGATTTACCAACCAAAGCATCCATCTATGCAATCCCTCCCACCCACTCCTCAACAACACCTCCTCGATCGTCGTCACAAGGTATATATAACCAGACAGAAAACTTTCCTACTTTTTTGTCCCTCTCCCTCTCCCTCTCCCTCTCCCTCTCTGTGAGGAGCAATGGGCATCCAACGCAGCAGCACACATACACCCACATAAGAGAACTGAACACGCATATTTGCATGCTTGTATGTACATATGTTCATCTGTATGAAATCCTCCCTTTTTCATCATCGTCATCCATTAGTAGTTATCATCAGATTAAACCCAATTAAAATGACTTATACCGCTGAAAGCCACGATTCATAGGCTTCAAAGATGAAAAAAATGCGTGCCCCCGTCCAGTCGATGGTCAAGAGGACAACTTGATAAAACCAACATAGTTGCGTTGACCCAACCTCGACTGCTCAAAAATCCATGTCGACGGCTGAAAATCCTGGTACCAAACCCCACATCGGACTGAAGACGTATGGTGCATGCGCGCCAAACCCAGCGGCGCTACTGTAGAAGCGGTTTTCCCAGTCGTCTGACCGAATCGAGTCGTGCAACTCCAATCAAGGGTGAGGATACCTCCCCGTGCTAGTTAGGCCGTTGACCGGTCCATTCATATCCATATCCGGTGGTGGCCTCTGCATGGGTACTCTTCCCACGCCACCGGCGTGGGGTCCTGCTCTACCAGGAGGTCTCATGCCTGGAATCTCGAAATCCGGATTTCCCTGCAAGAGTACATCTCTGTTCTCCCTCGTGGAACCTCCATAGCCAGCGTTAGCAGGCATGGGCCTCCTCATGGCCGATGGCGGTCCCGACGGACCGCTAGGCATGCCTCTTATATCCTCGCTACCAGGTCTCCAACTAGGATTCACGCCGCGTTGGCTCACAGACGTGAAATGCGATATCTCGCTTCCAGTTGGCGATCGGGTGCCATCTTGAAGATTCTCGTCGGAGGGGTTTGGTTGGAGTAAGCCTGCTCCAGAGGGTGGAGCAAGTTGCCGGTGTGAAGCAGAAGGGCCTCCGGGGAGGAGAGAGATGGGGAGGGTTGGTTCTTGATCGGGTGGAGGGGTAGCGTTGATATGGACCTCTGAGAAGCGAGGGTCGACATCCTCGTAATAGTGAGATGAGGTGCGGCGGTGGGTTGGATTGTGGACAGGAACACGGCCGGAACTGGAGTTGGAGTTTACGTTGGAAGAGGAGGATCCGGAGGAGACCCCGGCAGGGCTGGGGCCTGGACGACTAAGGCTGCGTTGGGGACTGTGGGTTCGGCTGTTTTTTGTCCATGCGGCGCGGGGAGGAACGTAACCCCTGTTCGAACATTAGTAAGAAAATGAGCATCGAGATGTAGATGGTATTACTTACTCGGGAGCATGGCTGTACATGCTGCTAGGGCTGGTCGGACCTGTAGGTTCCCCTGTGTTTGATGGTGACCTCGGTCCTTCAGGCGAGCTGTACTGATTGCCTGGACTTGGCTGACCTGGGCGCATCGTCACTGTGTCGTGAACCATCTCCCCATCCTGTGGTCTAGAAGCTGCTTGCGAGATCCTTCCCGTTGCCGCATTCATCTCAACCGCCTGTCCGACAAATGGGGCATCTTGTGGTAGCGGAGGTGTTGGTCCAGGAGACGGTCTCCGCATTTGAACCCCAGAATATTGCTGCTGTTGTAGATCGCCTGGTGCTCCATACCCTTGCGAAGGAAATCGGCGTAGGTTCTCTTGTGAGCCATATCCTTCTGGTGAAAACCTCTGGCCCTGGGGAGGATATCCAGGTGGCGGTCCTTGTTGAGGTCTTCCCATCAAGGCGCCTGCTGCTGGTCCGGGACCAACCCCAGCGGCCATCGCACCACCTCGCATCTGGCTATTATAATGACTGCCCCGCCCATCATGGTATCCACCTCTGCTCATGGCATGGTTGGGCCCTCCGCGTGGTCCTCCCATGCCACCCCGAGGTGGACCGTAGCTTCCTCGTAATGGGTAGCCACCTCTCCCTCTGGGCCCTCCGTATCCAAATCCACCACGAGGACCGCCAGGTGTTCCGTCCATGCGATCCCTTGAGGGTCTTTGCCTCAGATCTGGGTCTGACGGCCCCCTGCTGAGATTTGGTGGAGCAGCATCCATAACACCAGATGATGGAAGCGAGCTTTCGAAGTCGTCTCTCGCGCCCTTGTATTGATCCTGGCTTCGTGATCGGACTGGGCCGAGAGCGTCACCATTGCTCCCCCTGTATCCCACTGGGCCACCATTCATCTTGGTTGATGGGGTTCTCTGGCCCAAATCAAACCTCTCCACAGAGATACCATGCTCTTTGTTGTATGTAACAAACGTTGGCAGGGTGTCTGAGCCTGGCGCTCCGTTCACCAAGGGAGGCTTGGGCTCATCGCTGGTTCGCTGGCTTGTAGCGTCCACTTTCATCGAATTCTGTCGGTTGTAGAAGTTCTCCCCACTCATCTCGGCGTTCTCGGCAATCCTCTTTTTCCTTGCTTTCCGACTGACCAGGGTGCGTCTCATTGCGCAAGTGACCACGCCCGAAGCTGTTATCAGAATGGTCGAAGCCAACACGATCCATCCTCCCCACTGTAGATGGGGCACGAAGAGCAAGATATCCACCAGAAAAGCCAAGAGGGTGACGAGAAGAGTCGGAAGCAGGAGAATGAGGAGCGCGAGGAGATATCGTGCAGAGTGTGATGGAGAGTGCAGATGCGCAGCTCCGGCGAGGCCGAGACATACCAAGTTGAACAGCGCAGCTATAGGGTGAACGACAAGGAGAGCAGAGAGGGAGTGGCGAGCGGCTGAAGGGAGGCTGAAGTCGGTGGCGCCCTTGCTTGTACCAAATAAGTCATCTGTGCCAATCAGTATGAGCGTGATGGGCTTGGAGATATCCAACAATACCTGTGTTGTACCCGATGCGAGGACCCGAGCAGTCCTCTGGGGTACAATATCCAAACACGCCAAAGTTGACGTCTTTGAAATTCGCAATTGGTACGCCTTTGATAATGGGTGTCGATAAAACAGAAAGCAAGAGAAGAATGAACGATGCGAGAAGTAAGATGGTGAGCGGTGTCGCTGGTCGGAGCATCTTGAAGGGGTAGCGCCAGTCAGCACTGGATATCCAGTGCTGATTGCGTAGTCACTTGGAAGGGGAGAAGGCGCCTCGAATGAACGGATGGATCAGCAGCCTGCATTTGGTTCGGTCAACGCGACGATAATTGCATGTTTGCAAGGTGATCCTCGAGGATGAAGAGTATGCTCCCTGAAGATTCGTGGTTCTGGAGGTGTGCCAGTGTGCCAGTGTGCCAGTGTGCCTGGAAGTTCTGGTTCAGTGGGGCGGGTAATCGAGTGGTCAGAGGGGAAATTGGTGGGCGTTAGCAAATGGGACAATCTAGGTTGGATAGCCTGCTACGTAGGTTGGATAGCCGACTACGTAAGTTGGCCGGATGTTAAGCAGCCACGAGGATGGAGAGGCTAAAGTTGAGCAAGGCTGGTGAGTGGCTGCCTCCAACCGCAAGCTGCAGCGGAAAAGCTGTCCTACAGTTGATTTCCAGGATGAATAAGATTGGTGTGGAGCGAAAGAAATGGGCAAAAGTATCCACCGGGACCATCATCAAGAGAAATTGGCGATGACGGAATGACAGCACACCTCGGTTGCGAGGCTCATACGTAGCACGTAGGAATCACGCGCTTCGAAGATGTTTGTTTGGACGAAACAATTCACAATTCGGCGCTTGTTTCTTCTACTATTGGGGGAGGCATAAGTATTCGTAGTATGGCCCTAGTATCTTTGTCTGGAAATGGGTCACAAAAATAAAGGTTAACTTAGGTACTCCTTTAGCCAACCACTGTGGAAAAAAGCGTAAGAAGCTTTTCCTACGTAGACATTAATGTGGCGCTGTAGCAGAACTAGTTGCTACTAGTACCGTGCTACGAATACTTATGCCTCCCCCCGTAGTAGAAAGGGTACGGGTACGGGTACGGTTACGGGTAAGGGTAATGGTACAATCTTCGGCCGTCCAAAGTGGCAAAGGCAGATGGAGGCAGATGGAAGCAGGACTGGTCGATCACGTGACCTCGGCGGCTGGCGTGCCTTGTCAGCTTCCAACCAGTGCAGTCGTCATATTACTCGAGTACGTACGACGATAGTAACTGGCAGCGCAGTTTTACGGGTTTACAGAGCACGCAGCCACCACGCAAGGCATATCTCAACTCTTCTCTCTCCGCCATCGACAAGGTACATGTATGGAGGACTACTCGCTCTGCAAATGGCCAGCATCACCCAAGGAGCACAGCCAGTAATTGGAAGTGATGAACGACTTGGAAAGCGTACACCTCCCTCCGCTAGCTACTTTGCCCAGAGACCGCCGTATTCCGTTTGGCTGTCATTGCGTGCCTGATGGTGCTGGTAAGAGTCTGGAATACTGTCACTGTGGTATGGGACACTGCCTCGAGCACGACGGTGTGAGTAGCGGCCAACGCGCCCGCCGCTGTGGAAGTCAGACCAATGAAAGGAGGTATACTGCCTCCAATGACCGATCTTGACAGGGATGGAACGACCGTTGGGGTGGCGGTTGTGATGTTGGTATGAATGGATAGCACAGCCGTGGTAGACGCCGGCACGTGTGTGGTAAAGAGGCCTCCCCCAAGGCTCACTAATGCTGGCTGGGCATGACATGTCAGTATTTCTCCTGTCACCACTCATGTTAAGACTCACTCCAGTGACCGGTCCTTCGAAAGCTAAACTTTTTGTAATCTCTACAGAAGTCGTCTGATTGACCACGCTCCATGACTCCGCCGCCGTATTGCAGGCCTCTCCACTCTTCTCATGTATACAGTCTCTGACCAGCACTCTAGTTGGCACCTGTCCGTCGGTGAGATCGTACCAAGCCGCGACGAAATACGCCAGTCGTGATCCCGTTGCGTCACTCTGCTGTGTAGAGTTATTGGTAGTCGCTGTGGTCGGCATTGGCACACTTCCCGTCGAGGTTGAGAACGTGACAGATTGTTCGCAATCCGTTACCGGAGCTGGGATAGAGCCAAATCCCGAAAGAACGGTTGAGCATATGGCAGAGGAGGTTCGGGTATAAAGTGTGGAGCAACCTCGGCCATCATAGGCTGTGAAAGTGGGAATTGGAGCGGACATCTGGCTCCCTCCGGTAGAGTTCAACCTTAACAGCGCCGTAGCCGCAGCTGGCAGCCTTGGTTCGATATCCGAGTCGAGTAGAGCGGAAGAAGAGCTACGAAGGGAATCTGAGACGACAGGGTTCATATTCATAGCACGCGAGCATATGGTTGCAATCGGCACAGGAATGATGGTAACAGGGATCGGTCCGATCGAGCTGGTACCGAGAGAGATGTATGTGGTAGGCCCTGTTGGTTGCCTGGTTGTTGACCCGGATGATGTTCTGGTGCTCGTCACGACTGTCGACCCGGCAGGCGTCGACAGTGGCTCAATTCCCGCAAAGGGAGCTCCCCTTTCACGTCCTGGCGCGTCAAAATGGTCTGCACCATGATGCGGGTCATGACCGGGGTGTGCGGCGACAAGCGAGAGAATGACTGCAAGGACTAGCGACAAAGGACGGAGGAAGTCCATGGCAACAAAATATGATGACTGCAATGGTGGGAGGCCCAGCGTACGACGATCAAATGGGGATGCAGGCAAAAAGACCGAAGCCCAGGAGGGGCAAACCACAATCAGCCGCATTATTCATTGTTTTTGAGGGATGAAAAGGGGAATGCAGACCCGCTCACAGAATGCTTCCAAGAGGCACGTGCACACCAGCCCTGAAAGTGCTGCCCTCCATAACATGTCATAGTCAAGCAAATGCTGCACTGCCGAGATCACCACCTAGTCTTCCTTCATACACCATCGCAGTGATCAGTATCGCCGTCTTGCTGGGGTGGTTCACTATAGATGAACTCCATCTCGGCGGCAGTCGGGAAAAAGGACGTTGATCGTTCACCCCCAGGGTATAAGATATATTCATCGTAGCCAGCGAACGCCGCCATGTTCGCTAGGTCCGACTGCGTCACGGTAAAGTTCTCCCCAGATTGGAGTATATTTGGCATCAGCATAGGACCGCCCATTGCCGGCGAGTGCTCCGATTCTGCACTGCGAGGATTACTGTAAGAAGGTTGATCGAGAGGGCCGGGCGGCTGCTCCGGAAGGTTGTCCACTTCTCTGCCGATCTTGGGCGCAGCTTCTCGAAACATTTCGTTGCAAAGAGCCCAAGCCCTCCGGGCACTGTAGCTGTCTTCGCCCAGACTGTACAGCCATCGCACTGCTTTTTTGGTGGCCCCGAATATGTCTTCGGCATCTTCCGGCATATGGCAGGAACGAAGAGACAATTCCAACAAGAGAACAACCGTGGCTTGCATGAGATAGTGGAGTAGGCAACACCATGGGCCGATCCGATTGAGACCTACTGCATTCGGCTCCTCCGGGAGCATTTGCAGCATCTCGCGTGCGGCCTCGATGCAGCTAGCTGCCGAGGCACGGTTGAAGCTTTGGGATTTAGCCGACTGGTTCGGCAATTTGCGGTCCAATCGGCATAGACAAGGACGATGCACAATAATCCGAGTGCCATAATAGAGGAAACCTAGACACATACGCAGGTGAAGATAATTCTGGTCGCGTTGCTTTCGCTTGAAATCGAGTATACTGGGCAGATTACTATGCCACTGGGCGATCCTCCGATCGTGGTCAGAGATAACCGTTTGAATTTGTGACCAACTCGTTTGCATCGCTTCAGGCGTATAGAGCTTGTTGAGAGCAGATTGAGAAATCTTGGTCAACAGGATATGATGAAGAAAGTACAAAGATGTACTGGGCGGCACATTCCTCGCCCACTCGAGGTCGAAATGCTGCGGGGCAGAGGGCGATCTTGAGACGCTGCTTGGTTTCGAACTTGAACGGGATCTGTCTGGCAACGAGGTGGTTGTACCAGAAGTGTTTGGTGATCGGTAGAGTAATCCCGGATACCTGGCATTCCTTTGCATGTCGGAACATAACAAGCTCAGAGCCTGCTGGCTCTGAAAAGCGTCTTCGTCCACTGGAGCGGGAAGAGGAGTGGTGCACGCCTCATCAGAGAGACCCGTAGGACGGCCGGTCATCATACTCAGTAGGTGTTCTAAGCCGTAGAGGGACCACCAGACGCGATATCTAATTTCTTTGGATGTGTCAGGTGTTCGAACTGACTCATTTCGCATGTTGAGCCCAAGCGCGATGGCCGCACGTACAGCAGTGCCACCGATTGTCCATGCCCTGGAACTGTCAGCGTGCAAACACCAATTTTTGAGTGGTCATCCTACCTATTTATCTGGCTTGTAGCCACAAGATAAAATGCTATCAATCCCGAAACCTGGACTTGCTGGAGGTCTGGATGGTTGAACAAGGTGTTGCCGTTCATGCTCAGCAACCTGGCCCGGGAGAAGTAAAGAAGGTGGTCCCGCTCATCTCCTCTCCAGCCCGCTTGAACCAGGTGGGCATACTTTGCCCCTATCGCGAATATCATGTTCAAGATGGCAAGCCATCTCTCACCGGGACTGACAGAGGTACCCTCCATGAACTTCCTATACTGAGAAGAAAAGGTTATCTTGCCGATGATAGGAAATGTGGGGTGAACCGATTCAAGGTAAGCGTTGAAGAGCAGATCCGCGGTCTCTCGAGGAGGGATCTCAAACCGGTCGATCGCTTCCGGCATGGATATCGAAAAATCATCGAGGTGATAGCTCGAATCATGTACGGAAAACCCTTCACAGGCGTCAGGCATGGTTTTTCTATGTTCGCTTGCGGGCGAGTAATGTGAAAAGAGTGGGGATGCACCTCCTGTTTTCTTCCTAAACTCTGTCTCCGAATCACGGTCTGTCGGGGAACCGAATTTAGTCTCTTGTCGCAATTTTTGAAGCCAGGTGACTTCCGAGTTTTTGCCCATGAAGCCTGTTGTACGAGCTTCTTCATTACGGTTGAAGTCTTCCTCAATCCTGTCCACAGCACCTGTAGAGCCTACCCCGGCAGAAGCGTCCGATTCTTCCCCAGAAGCTTCAGACACACCGTCAACTTCTCGCGACGCGTCACGAGCACCCGGCGAATCACCATAGGTGGAGACGACATCCTGCTGGTAGATTAGAAGCGAAACAGATGACAAGAATCATACCGGCTGCATACCTTATCGAGAAGTGTCTTGATCAAAATGGCATCTTCTTCGCAAACCCTGGAGCTCAAGTCTTTCAACGTGGCTTCAAAATCAGCGAACTTCTCTGCTAGGCTCCCAAAAGCTCTATCAAAGTAAGTATAGAACATCATGTGGGTGTTCTTCGGTATTACTTTTTGGCCCTATCTCTCTTTCCATCTGCATAGACACAATTGACTTTGAAATCCTGACAGTGCCTGCAAGCAGGCTTTTCTCCTGAGCACTTCGTCTTCCGTGATCTGCACGGCTCGCAAGCATGCATTACCCGATGTCGACCACCCGACTTTATGCCACCTCCAGCTGCTGAATCCCCTTTGTTTGGTAACCTTGGTATTGCCACCTTGGGCGCCTTCGCTGGTGGACGATCCATCGGAGACTTGGGCACACGAAACGCCGGGCCAGCGGGTGGCTGTGAAAGGAGACCGGAGGAGTGACGAGCAGGTTCTGAGGGTTGGTTTGGTTCATTTGAGGTCTGCGAGGCGCCTTCGGACGGCTGACGGTTAGAAGAATGTCGTTGTCCAGATTCGTCAGAATCTTTCCTAGAGCTTTGCTCCGACATCACGAAGATGCAGATTGCATGGAAGTACAGCGCTCGAGATCAACCAGCAGTCAGGTCTTGGACTCTGCTGTCATCTAAATTATTCAAGAGGTAGCCTGTGTTGTGGATGACCTCAAGCAAGCAGCTGCTGGATTGTCCAGTGCTTGTTGTCTGATCTTTAGTAAAGCAAATCATCTGTGGGGAAAGCGCCGTCTGGACAGAGCGCATGGAGCAGGCGATCACGAATGTTTTTTTACCAGGGTGATTTTCGGATATCGCAAATTCTGCCAAGGGGGGGGATGCGGAGTGGGCTGAGGATTGCAACATGAACGTGGGAACTGTGGCTTTCCACCCACATTGCGCGGAGAGGCAGATGCCACGAGTCATTGGCCATTGGATCATTGGTGTGGTCTGGAATGTTCTGGGGGGCAAATGTCCCCGTGTTCTGCAGCCAGTCTTGGGGATCGGCATATCCAGCCCCACAATACTACTACGTACAGGACACTTACTACGGCTACAAGGCATAATGGTTGTCAATACAGTGCTAGTAGTAGCTAGTTCTGAATACAGCGCAACCTTGGATTGATTGGCTATCAGAAAGTTTGACAACAGATTGTCCACTGAAATTGATTGAGTTTTATCACGTGATAAAAGCTAATACTCTTTGGGCATGAGTTCAATGAGATGAGTACGTAACTACGCAAAATTACTAGCTTGCAAGCTACCAACATTATGCCTGTAGCCGTAGTACGTAGTGCGGACCGATGGACCCTGGAGATCGAACAATCAGATGCCAGAGGGATGGGCATTCTGTCAATCCGATAAACGCACAGTGGTGCCTGAGAAGTGCCCCTGTGAATGCCATGCATCCAAATCATAACGGCGAGTTCACATACGTCACTGCTAAAGCGTACTATCAATCAAGTCCTATCATACCCCGTACTGACCCAACTCTTTTCATCATACTCCGTAAATGGACAATATCTAAGTTACAGATTTAGATAGAGAACAGCGACGGATTCACGCAGGCCAACCCTCGACAAGACCCAATTGAGCAAAGGCTTTAATGGGCTACGTAAGATCGAATTAACGAAGTAAGCTACCTAAGCTGCAACTCGTTTGCGCCTATGCAGTAGCTACAGTTTCACTTCTTCCCCATTTCCCGGCTACGCCAGGAAGTAGCAGGAACTATCCAGTGGTGGTGGCGGAAGTACGTTCCAACCAATCAGAGGATCCTGGTGTTCAAAGTTGTAGCTACAGTTTCACTTCTTCACAGGAAGTAGCAGGAACGTTCAAGTGGTGGTGGCGGAAGTACGCTCCAACCAATCAGAGGATCCTGGTGTTCAAAGTTGGAGTCTACTTAGCTCGCAGCACTCAATATACGTTAAGTACATTGTAGTACGGGCTAGGATACATACAGGTGCTGATTCGGGATCCTTCCCTGCCAGGAACGAGGTTAATTTGAGCTATGTGCTCAATGTGTGTAATTATGGATGGGCACGGAGTATTGAACTGCCAGAACACGTCCGGGGCCACACTTCACGTGTCAGAAGTATGCACTTTCTGCCTTATGGTTGGTCAATCAGCCCTGGAGATGGGCCTGGAGGCCCATACCATCCATACCTTCAAGCTTGCCCGATTAGAGAGGTGTGCTCTTGATCCTGAATTATTACTTATCATCCCTCCTCTTTCTCACGTTTGGCTCCTCTCTCTGGCCAATGGTGAATAGTCTTGCCATCCTGTCCCCGCGCTTAAGCACCGCGCTTAGATGGATAATTTCCCTCGTCCCGCCCACTTCAAGGTTGTCTCCGGATCCGCACATAACAGCTGCCTTCATCCTCGTGACTGCTTATTCCGCCTTCGAAAGATGGTGGCAACTCGCCGACACCCTGACGGGGATTTCCCTGATCCGAATAGCAGCTCACCCGTCAGCTCCCCATCCAAACCTTCATTCCCCATGACCAAGCAATCTCAATCGCCTCGCTCCACCTCCAAATCTCACCCCCAGTCGACTGCTTCCGGCTACGTCCATCAAGCCCCATACTCGCTAACGCTATGGCTCCTCTTCTCTCTCCCTCTTGTCCTCTGGGATACCCTCTACGTCTTCTTTCGCCCGCACACCATGCCGGGAGGCAAGTTTCACTCCCCAATTTGGACGCCTTATGCGCTGTATGGAACAATAGATTATGTGTATGGGTGGCCGGCATGGAATGAGCGCGAAGGGTTTACGGCGGCGCAGGCGAGCTTGAATGCTGTCGAGACCGTGTTTTATGGGTATTATCTCTGGGTCTTGTGGGCGAGGGCGAGGGCACCCCATGGAGCTGGACAGAGGAAAGACATAGCTTGGTTTGTTGGTGCGAGTGAGGAGGGGAGGAGAAAAATCGTGGAGAATGGGGGTGTGGCAGTGCTTCTGGTCTTCTCCGGGGCGGTAATGACGCTTAGTAAGACAGTGTTGTATTGTGAGTTCAGCTTGCCCGATTCTGCAATGGTTCGGAAGCATATACTAACTAACACCAGGGTTGAATGAGTATTACTCCGGGTTCGCCAACATTGGGCACAACGATTTCCTCACCTTAGTCCCATTTTGGATCATTCCCAACGGCGCCTGGCTTGTATTTCCGAGCTACGTTATCTACAGTTTGGGTAAGGAGATCTTAGACGTATTAAATAGTTCGAGCCTCAAGGCGAAGAGGTGAGCCTGATGCTTAATGGAGATGATTATAAAGGGAGCTGCTTCCACCATCAAATTCAACTCAGAAAGCCTCGGAGTGGTTGCGACCCCGTTTACCAGCCTTGGATTTGAGAGTGATAGACGCCCATTATGCTGGTAGAAAAGCAACAGCCCTTTCAGACCGGCGTTCTTTCGGCTTCGTGCCAAGCCTTTGCAAGTGGTCAGTGTATGTTCGTGCCAGTCAGCACATCTTGCTATACAAAAGGAATGTTTAGTGCGAATCTCATCATTTCTCCAGCGCAAAGCATCTCCTGGACGGGAGGCTTTGTGTTCAGCCAAGTTATCAGGACCATTCAGCCTCCTTCCACCTTCGAGACTAGACTCTATCGCCTGGTTGCTCCTCACAAATTTCGCCTTTTCTTCTATCACTGAAATGGCTGGACAATACGTTAACGAGCGAATGATGCACGTTGATAATATGCTGGCCTACCATAATCACGGATGCTTCCTACAGAGAATATTAGTCATCCTCATACGAAATGGAAATTTAACGTTGTACGTACCCGAAGCTCCAAAGGCGAGGTATCTTGTTTGTTGGAGGCGTCTAGCTCCGTCTTCATCCAAAGTGATCTTGTTTGATAGGCCGAAATCCGGATTCTTGATGAGGTGAAAATGATTCAAAGTGGCGAAATTGCATCATACGGTATGGATCTTTGGCGCGGACTACTTGCTTTACTGTGAAAATGTCAGAAGGCTGCACGACGCAGGGTTCAAAGTGATATTTCCCATTCACGATGACATCCTCTGGGCCCATCCAACAAATGATCTGGATCTAGCTGCGATCCAACCGTTCCCATGCCCTTCAGAAGCATATGTCTAATGCGTCTGACGTAATACCACACACGCCGCGGCGGAAGTTGGCAGAAAAGGTCTCGTAGGTTCTCTCGAACACGCTCTCGGAAAATTCTCATCAAGCCCCCGAGTCCAGACGTCGGTTTCAATCCCTCATACTGAGCATTCTGGCTGCTTGATCCATGTCTTTTCTGTCAGTAACACAGCGTTCCCACCTGCACATGGTCAGTAAAACAGATGCCTTCATCGTGGTAGTGAGTTCACCAAGTTTCATATGTAGAGCTTCATGGTTTGGGTAGGTTCCTTTGGGAGACTTTCCGCCAGCATCTGACCCAGGGGTTTCGAGTTCATCTTCATTCACTTTTGATGTCTTCAGTTGATACACAGCTGTTGTTGTTGTTGTTGTTGTTGTTGTTGTTGTTGTTGTTGTTGTTGTTGTTTTTGTTGTTGTTGTTGTTGGTTGTTGTTGTTGTTGTTGTTGTTGTTGTTGTTGTTGTTGTTGTTGTTGTTGTTGTTGTTGTTGTTAAAACCTAATTTCTTTGCTGCCTGCTCCAACTTTTTTCAAACACACCAATCTTGGATCATTAGGCGCATCACCGACAATCTTAAAGCTAAAGGTTCTTCACGAATTGTTGGTTGGTGACGGGTGAGAGATGTGATCACACGGGACGCTGAGCGGATCAATTGAATGGTATGGAATGTGTAAGATGAACGGAATCAGTTGAATACCCAATTAACGCCAAACAGACCAATCAATATATTATAGATGTATTACGAGTTTCCACCAGCGCGCAAAGAACAAGGAGCGAGGTCTCTTATAGGCTAGAAAAAGTCATCGGTGATAAGGTGTGTACGAGAGATTGTGACTGAGCGCACGGCTCAGAGTTTCATGGCATAGTGCCTGCTTAATCAGATTTCTCGGAAGGAAGTCAGCATCCTCTTGGTTGTAACATGTCTGAAGCGCACGTACCCGACTCCGACCCGAACGCAGGCGGGACAGGTTCTACCACCTTCGGCTGTGGGCTAAGCCGCCCACGACTCCTCCGCCAATCACGCCTACCACTCGAGGCACCGGGAGATGATCCCAAAGACGAGTATTCCGTGCCTGGAGTAAGCGAGTCCTCGGATCCCCTTGCTGACGTTGATGGCGTGGCGGGTGTAGGCGAGGCCGGAGGTCTGCGGCTTCTGGATCGCACAACATCCTCGGATCGAAAGTCGAAGGTGTTAGATGTCCAGGACGGTGCCTGAGGATTAGGAACGCTGATGTTGTTACGCTCGAGAATTGTGTCCCCAGATTCAGGTATTCCTGGTGTTGCGATCTGGGGATTGCTGCCGTTCGTGCTGCGTGTGCGCGAACTAGGTTTGAGCTGAGGTGAGTTGTGCGTTTGAGCAGCCGCCCTGACACTGGATAGCTCTTCGTTGCTTGAAGACCCTGCAACTTGCTCACCGTTCAAGGAAGCTCGAGGTCGCCTAGAGTTGAGGTTCATAGATGTACTTGTCCATAACTGATCTTGTAGGATCTCCAGTGACATGTGCAATGTGCGCTGCTTCTGCTGAGCGTACGTTCGTCTTGTAATCGTGTCTTCAGATTCTGCTGCATATTTGGAAAGCTCTGAATCGCTCATGGTGGCGATCAGATTTGAGCTGATGAGTTCTGGTAGACCGTTGAGCAAGCAACTTTCCACTGCTAGGCTGATCAGGTTGTCTGTGAAGGTTGCCAATGCATTATCGTAGTAGGCCAGCATATCAAGCAACAGTTCTGTGCAGGCAGCGCCGTTGTTGATCTGCTCGATTTTCCGGACAACGCTGCTCGAGGAAGACAAAGTAGTCCATTTTTCCTGATAATGTCGGAGATTTGTGGTATATCTTCGTGGTGTAGAATACGGTTGAAATTCTGTATATGGCTTCAATATCTCCTCAAGCTTTTGCTCAAGAGCTGCCCATCTCTTGTTCAGTTGGGGCTTAATCAGACGATGCCAAATAAGAGCGGAATTTGGAGGTGTAGTAACGCTCTCGAGAGCGGTCCATAGGAAGTTGGTTGTTGTCTCAAAGGCCGACTTCAAGTATTTCCTAGCAAGTCTTTCCCATCGCTGTGACTGGATCCTGAAGACCGTGCACGAAAGGTAAGTATCGTAGTGGTTTGGGAGCTCCTGCGACCTCCCAGCCTCAAGTATCGTACTCTGAATCAGCTGAATATAGTCGGCGGCGGTGATCGACTCTGGTGGCTCAACGCCTTGATAGTCAGATGCTTTGGCGGGCATCATGTCGGTTACGTGATACATATGTCCGTGATCTGCCATCGCCTGGGAAAAGGCATCATTCAGGTGACGGATCGTATTTCGAAGTCGTTGGTCCGGTTTATCGTTCAAGTACTTGCTCTGATATCGGCCAACTACTCCATCCTCAACCACTGTCTTGAAACTGGATTGGATATCGAGGAGAAATCGCAGCTGCTCCCCGCGAGAGGATCTGGAAGGCCCGAGAACCTTTAACTCTGAGTCGCATGCGGTTTTCTCATGCTCAATCTGAGACACGACATCTGGAAGATTTTGCCGAATCTCCTCGAGGAGGACTTTTTTCATATGCTCTCTCAAGTTGTGAATGCCAAGTCGAGCGGGGGGAAGATCGTTCCAAGGTGGTTCTCTGAAAGCTCTTTGTTCAGCAGCAGTCTGGCCGCTCTGATCGAAGGGTTCCTCTCGAGCAGAATCGCGATTGCGGACAATGTGCCATCCTCTGCTAAGCGTGTGGAATACATTCCTTGCCAGGTTAGAGAACTGCTGCTGTCTTCCTAACTGGATCAAATCTGGCTTGGTGATAATCCCTACGGTTCTGCGCCCTTCAGGGTCCACTTTCTTGACAAAGTTCAGGACCTTTTGCCCCTCAACCTCCCCTTCGGTACTGACCACTGCAAGTATGATGCTTCTCTCTCGTTTCATGTAGTCGAAGACGAGGCCTTCGACCAGCTGGTTCTTGGCATCATCGATGCCGTGGATGATTCCCGGTGTATCTATGAGCGTGAAATTGGGAAGGTCCGGTCCACTGATATCAAGTCGTAACGTGTCGTCCGATATTTGGAGCTGATCTGAGATACCTATGGACACTCTTGCTGCTTCGATAACTCTTGGAATCTGGTCAACAGACAGATTTCGCTCCTGATAGTCAAGTAAACGCTGTTTGTGAGCCTCGGATGCGTGTGGGCCTGGGATGATACTGGCAGAAGCAGTTTCAGTTGGCGTCCTTCTGAGGCAAACTTCGGTTGCAAATCGAGTGCATGTTCCATTGTTTACAGGGAAATGCACACCAGATAGAGCTTCCAAGACGGAACTCTTACCCGAGGATTGATCACCGCAAACGACAAGCTGCGGCAGGGACACATATCGATCTGCACCGCTCAACCTGAGGTTGTCGATCAGATCAATAAGCTGGACATATTCACTGTCTTGGAGTGAGGTCATGGGATCAGCTATGTCAGTCATAGTAGAAAAGATTGATTGAAAGGGAATAAAAAGAGGGAATGTAAGCGGCCTTGCGGTGTCGGTGGTTCTTGGGAGTCGTCAACGTGCTGATCGGTATGTTTAAACGCTTGAAAGGCTGGGGTTCTTGCAAGTCAGAAGCAATCATATTTATACTATCTCGCTGCACGACTCGGCGCCTATCCTGTAGGGGATATTCAGGGACTGCTTGTGAACTGCACTGTCAAGGTACCTAGCTTGCATGCTCCACAGTTGCATAAATTTAAGCACTACCGCCCACTGAGTGGGGCCAGCATATGAAACAGAAGGAATGTGCGAAACCAAGAGCTGTGCGAGATTTCAATAGAGCAGAAGCGCACCGAGCTGCCTTGGTAGCTGTCGGATCCCACAGCGTCTGATGAAACTCTGATCTCAACACCGTGACAATCAGAGGGAGATTTTAGATCCTTGCGACCGGTTTATATCATGCACTATCCAGGGTTGTGGCTCAACCCAGTATGGTGGACAAAGAGAACGGCCGCCATTTGAGTTGGGTCAAAGAGACGCGAGCTTTCTTCGCGCAGCCTGAGCTCAAGGCTACTGTGCCAGGCCCAAGCCTCAAGGCCGCACTCAGCCGCCATACATGAAGGTCAGTGACCAGCAGTTGCTTGGGGTGGGAAGCTGGTGGAAGTAATCAACAATAACGCTGGGTGGCTGCAAGTTGCAGCGTCGAGATACCAGGCCGAAGCACTCCCGAGCGGCAGCATAACTTTGAACAATGCGTTACAAGAGAGGCGTCTTTGTATTTGTCCGCCGATCAGTTTCTGTCCCTTCCTGAAGGTGTGGGTTCTGTTTGGCAAGGCTTGCTCTTCATCAGGCGAAACCCATCCACATCCTAGATAGGGTCCTTATGCACACGCACAATTGCGGCGCAGCTGGCGTCTTCTCCACCTATCACACCGGCTGTGTATATTCCGTATGCTTGCATGCAACGATCATCTGGGCTGAGTACCATGGTATGCATTGTTGGTCACAATCGAGACACATCTGGATTGAGAAAGGTCACATTGTAGGCCGGCGTCAGGGAAAGGGGTAGACGTTGACAGACGGACCCAAGTTGTGAGGGATAGAGTGAGCAAAGTACGGAGTACTCGAAACATACTCCGTAATTAGCATTGCCAATGCTAGTACGAGACGGTCGCACCGTTTGCTGATGCCAAGCGTGTGCAATGGAGAGATGTTGATGAGATGTGTGTGATTCCTGCACAGTATATTATCGGAAATTGCCGTCAAAGCGGTGGTACACAACGTCACATCACGTCGAATTGTCTCGCCCGGCCAATCATTCGTATGGAACAGAGCCCCTTCAATCAAACTTCACCAAAATGTGGACAGGTTTGGAGTTTCACAGGTGGGAAGATACTTCAATGTCAGGGGCAGTCTGAATCCAAGGTACGGAGTATTCCAAGGCTCTCCTTCGCTGTATAATGAAGGCAAATTTACCTACTAAGAATACCATCACCCAACCCTGGAATAATCGCTGGACTTCGCTATGTCAGCTCTTGGTTGCAGGTTGTTGTACCTAACGTACGGTGCCTTTTTTAAACCAGCATAGCTATGTACGGACTGGGACGGATCTCGGTCGCACACAGTCGTTCTCAGGTGGTTGGTTTGTGCTTCATGGCCGGGGAAACTTGTTAGTCGTGCAAGATGCCTGGGTACGGGTTGTGCATAATTTAAGGTGGGGACAGACGGAGGTGCTCGAGCACTAGCAACAGCCTGCTAGATCACCCTTCCTGTTGGGTTTGCCCAGGGATGATGGCTGTGGCCCGCGGCAGCAGATGCCATTGTTGTAGCTGGTTCCCTTCCTTTCCAACGCCGCTCCTTTCCGCGCACGTTTATGGCTGAATGACCGGCCTGGGTAATAGTGGGCAGACTAGGTCATCAGTGCTAGGGTCGATATTAATCTTCTTGGAGCTGCTGTGGCGGTGCTTTGGGCCAAGGCTGTGAGGTCCTGTATCCAGCGTGCGTTTTGCGGCACGTGTGAGACGAAGAACATGAACCAGCACTTCAGCACCAATGTCCGAGAGTCGAGATCCACAAGTTGTCGCCGATTTGGAAGATGTAGTCTGTTTGTCGGAGATGCATCATATATCGACCACGGTATCGACCACGGGAGAGAAATGCCAATTTGCCATGGTGCGTCTTTTGGTGCCACCCGCACCCCTGCCAGCGGTGGGGGCCACGGGGGAGTTAAATCACCCACTATCGAGGCCAAGGGCCACGAGGTGGCATGCTAATCGCCATTCGTCCGCGTCAATTCCGCAACCGGTTACGGCCCCTCCGGTCCAGCGCCTCCCCACCAGTGGCGATCTGTGTGAAGTGTTGCTATGTGAGGTACAGTACTCCGTAGCTGAGCCGAAGATCAAGTGCTACTGCGTAGTACGTAGACTGGGTACAGGATTTGACAAGGCTGCCGTCCACTTTGGCCCTTTTGAGGCTGCTTGCCCCCAATAACTCCTCTTAATTGGTTACCCCAATTTACTCGGTGGCTCAAGGGTGCCCAAGCCGCTGACCACACCAACGGAATCTTCTCTTGGGATACACAGTTTCTAGTACTATCAGTGGTCCGAGTGGTGGGATTGGGATTGAAACGATCATAGCAAGTTAACAACACACACGGCCGTTCTCAGTCATGGCTACCCCGGTCTCCAAGCAAGAACGAATTCGCCTCAATCAACAGCGGTCACGCGCAAGGCGACAGGAGTACCTTCAGGAACTCGAGAAACGGGTGCAAGGTTGTCATTTTACTTGCAGAGAAGCCGACCTTCAGCGAGAATCGTACGATCAGATAAAAAAGGAAAATCTGATCCTACGTAGCTTACTTGGTTCTCTTGGACTCAGTGACGCGCAGATTGATACGCACATCAACTCTTCGGAGCCTTCGAACGAACAGGCATCATTGCGGAATCTTCGTCCAAAGATACAATCTGGCGTCGTCCCTGCCCAGCCAGGCTCTGTCGCTCGATTTGAAAATCTGACTGATTTTCCTGTTCCTACGAATCAGAATATGATATCTTGTACTGGTGTGCCCGGCACGGCCCACAGCTGTTGCGCTTCCACATGCTCGCCAGCCCACCCTGATATCGGTGACCCGTCCTTGACAATATCCCCTACCCTGCACATGCCGCCACCACAGTACTGCCAGACCTTTCTCACGCCCTACTTCGAGCCGACCATGGGACCGCCCCGAGAAAACTCGATACTCTGTTCACAGGCACAGGATCTTACTGACCAGTACAGTATCAGTGAGAAAGATATCCAACACATTAGCCGCAGACTCGTCACTGGGTCTACCGGCGAGTTTGACCCTGGCGGAGGCTGTCGGGTGGATGGAACGTGACAGAAGAGTCGCTGGTAGCTACTCGTTCACACCCTCTGCAGCCACTTGGGCAACGTACATCATGGACAGGGTGGCTAAGACTCTCGGTTAGAGGCTCCCTGACTCCCGTCATCGCCATAGACCACCACCACAATAGTATTGCATCCATGGCTGTTTGCTGCAGTGAGGCTCCGCATCCCGGCTAGCTTTTACCTAAGGCTCATCTCTTTGGCTGCTCCGATGGTGACGAAGAAAATGAAGCAGAATATACATCTAGCGGGGCGGTCACCATTGTCTCCGAATCGATCTGTTGAACAATCTCTCCGCCTTGGAAGCGACACCAGGATGAGAGATTGTGCATAGCGGTTCGAACATATAAAAGGGAGCTGCAAATCCGGGAGCCTTCTCCTATACCAATGGGGAGCCCACAATCCTCACGCCGGGACATGTGGGCACAGTAGCACGTCAAGATGTGCCGAACAACCTCGACTCTGTCGATCATTGCCGCGTCGTTGGATTTATCTCTGGATGTCTTGTTGAACTTGCCCATACAGCGAGATCAGGGCCCACCCACCATTTTCCAGGATAGCGAGTTCTGACCTGCTAGCTTCACCTCTCCCTTTGTTTGGTGTGGGAGGTCCTAGACTTTACCAGCGGGACTTGTGCTTGAAACCCGGAAAGATGGAATAAGCTACGCTGCGCAGGACAATCTGTGCATGACCGATGTGGGTCTCCTGTTGGTCTGCTTCTTCAAGGACCAGCAACTGCTAAGAACGGTCTGTGAGTCTCCAGGGCAAGGCAGTCCCCCTTTCTTGCTCATGTAATTCCTCTGTGCTTGTCAATAGTGGTCCACCTGTACGGCCATATAAGATAGCTTTGCTCGCTAGCTTGCTGATAGAAATGCGACTTTCATGATTTATTCGATTATTTGTCCTACGAGAATGGAAATAAAGCAGCAGTCACCAAGTCTCTACAGACCAAATCCTACGTAGTATACTATAAGTGCACGGTAGTTATGGGGCACATGCACTCCACAAAGAACATCACGCACAACCCTAAAATAGCAGTCTCTTCCTTCAGCTCAGATCCATCCATTTACGTGTTGGATCTGGATCCTACCGGATTACTGTATGTCCTGTGAAGTGCGCAGACAACCTGCAGAGGCAATGACTGAGGCTATTGAAGGGATAAATTGGAGAGATCTCGATACTATCATACAGTTTGTGCTGGTTCTTACTCGAGTAGCAACACTGAACAAGCATCTAGAGGTTCGACTACTGCCCACGGAACACGGGACGGGCAAAGGCACCCGCAAGCCGTGATGGAATCTTTGCCGTCTCAGGCTGTCCGCCAAGCAATGTTTGGACCGCCTCGATTTCACGAATGCAAGTTACCTGTAACTACTCGAATTGTCTGTACGTAAACATGCTTTGCTCTCAAACAGTCCCTCGTCACGGCAGGATTTCTGATATAGTCCCGTAAATTTCACTGGGGTCTCATGCTTTTATTGCCGGTGTCTGATGATCGCTGACGGAGTCACCGAGCTCTCTACTTTCATGGTCCAGCTGGAAATGGCAATAAATAGCTTCTGAAACGCGTGCCGAATTTCATAATTGCGCGGTCTGAATTGTCTTTTTTTAACACCCAACCGAGCTGCCCTGCCTGGCCTCGTCTGAGATCCCGGTCATGAAGATATCAGGAGCAAGGGAGATAGTGGTCTGGCTGGCATGGTTCCTGTCCCTCCCAGCCTGGGCGGAGGACACGGCTTCCCCACCAATCCAGTTCTGCAAACAGGAGGATACAGTGTCGCTGGATTTCTGCGTGGCCGTCACGCCATATCAGAACGCGACATCCGCCTCCACAGACCTGTATGTGACCATCACACGGACTCGGCCCGAAACCGACGGCTGGCTGGGGGTGGGACTGGGTTCGGAAATGAACGGCGCTTTGATGTTCGTTCTCTATGACGACCCCCAAGATGGCCTGAGGACGAGCATTCGCACAGCCACGGGCCATCACGAGCCAATCGAGTTATCCGCTATGGCTATGGAGGAAGGCCAACTACTGCCAGACATCAAGGTCGTCAAATCTGCCTATGATGACCAACCACCCGGCTCATCCTCTCCACCAGACGCACGGGGAAAGCCCAGAACCGGAACAGCAAATATTCTCATCTACTCGGCGCCTCTCTGGCCCAAGACGTCAATCGACACGACTTCCGCCTCTCAACCATGGATCTGGGCCCACAACCCAACCTCGCCCACCCCGTCCGCATTGAAGATGCACTCTCGCGACGAAAACAGCGGCTACGGCTTCTTCTGGACCGACTTTGCCACCGCCCTCTCCAACCCGCCCTCATCCCGCCCTCCATTTCCCCGTCCTGACAAATCCTCGCCATCTCACCTCACCACCACGACCCCACCCCCCATCTACCGCCTCGGCGGCCCTTCCATCCGAAACTGGCTCTTCCACATCCACGGCGCGCTAGCATCCCTCTCCTTCTTGGTCCTCTACCCGCTCGGCGCCCTCCTCCTCCGCACCTCCGACAGCAGGGCATTCAATTTCCACTGGACGACGCAGGCGTTTGCCTCGGTGCTGCTCTGCCTCGGCGCGGGCCTTGGGTGGACCCTGAGCCGCAGCATCGAGCTCGCGCATCAGGGTGTCGGGCTCGCCATCGTGGCGGGCGTGGCGGGCCAGATCTTGCTGGGCTGGAGACATCACGTCGGCTTTCTCAGGACGAAGGGGGGCACGTGGATGGGGAAAATGCATGTTTGGCTGGGTAGGGGCTTGTTGATGGCCGGGTGGATGAATGTTATGCTCGGGGTGAGCGCGAGAGGGTATGGCATGCTGGTGATGCTGGCGGTGGCGGTGGTCGCTCACGCGGAGATGGTGTTCATGTTCAGGGCTTGGGGTTTTGGTATGAAGGTCCCTGGATGGGGGCTGGGGAAGAGGCTCGTGAGTCGGTTGTGGCTGGGAAGGCGGGGTGCTGGGAGGGCTGCTGCGGCTGGTGGAGTAGGAGAGGAGGAAGGGTGGGGTTGGGGTTGGGAGAGGAGTACTTTGAACTGGTTGGAGAGGATGAGGAAGAAGATGAAAATGAAGACGAAGATTATGATGAGGATGGCCGCTTGAAGGCGGACGTTGAGTGGGAGGAGAGGAGGCGGCGCGATGGGGAGGGAAAGACATCAGGAGATGGTGAGAGTGAGGGTGAGAGTAGGAGTGGGAATGGGAATGAAAGAGCAAAAAAACTTCAGAGGTTGGATGTCGTCTGAATACACTCGGATTACTGCTTGAGGCAGGTAGTAAGAAGTACTGGTATAATCTTGACTGTTATCCTGAGCCATGATTGATACTAGTACATCTCTCCCGTCCTGATACATCCCTCCAATGCAGAACTCACAGGAGCAGAGTCAAACTCAAGCCAGCCTCAGTGAGATGGTGAGATAATCTGATATAGCCTAGCCCTGATGCGCGCACCAGCCTGTTCGAGGCCGTGGACCTGCTCAATACTGTGTACTGATTCCGATGTTTCTGAGTGGGTCAGTTCGCGTTGCGGATTATTTTATGGAACTACTAACTAGTAGTTATGTGCCTGAGTGGTGAGGATGGTACAGGGCACGGCGTGGCTACTCGACCGGCTGTTTCCTGCATGCACTGCTTCAATACGCCAATCGCCGTGAAAAACATAGGCACCGGTAGAACACATCTCTTTTATTGCTCGAGCCCAGGGTTGGTTGAGCGTCCTCATCACCCCTGTTAAACATTACCATCCTTCTCTCCACCTCCTCACACCCCACCCACCAACTTCCTCCACTCCGGTGAAAGCCTCGGTAGAAAGTACACGCCCCACACGCACAGACTCGCCAGAGCCAAACCAGACACCTTCTCAAACAACGTATGAAACCAAATCGCCGTCATCAACAGCATCCACGCATCCAGCACAATAACCGCCCAAACAAAGTACTGAGTCCACAGCCGGGCCTTGACCACCGCTTCACTCTCCCAGCCGCCCACCGCTCTCTTCTCCTCCTCCGTCGTCTCCGTCGCTATCCTCGCGGCCGCCTCAGGCGAGATGTGCGGATGCGCAGCCTGTGTCTGGGTCTCGGAGATGAAGAACTCGAGAAAGAGGAAGGCGGAGGAGAGGACGAGCATGAAGAAGTGGCCGGAGATATCATGTCCGCCGAGCCATTTGCCGCCGAAGGCTTTGCACGAGAGGTGGGTGGCGACGCTGGAGAGCTCAATCCCCTCAGCTAACGAGTCGACTTTGCCGTGGTGGCGCGGGACACAGCGGCCGCCGGTGGACGTGAAGCTGCGGTCGATGAGGGCCGGCCCGAAGAACCACTGTGTTGTGAAGATCCATGTGAGAGTGATGAGGGAGTAGCGGAGGAGGGCTTGGAGGAAGTTGTTGTTCTTCGAGCCTGTGCGCGATGATGGAGGTTGCTGTTTTGGATCGTTGGTGGTGGTGAGCTGGAGGAGACCGAAGGCGAGAGTAGTCCAGAACCAGCCAATCTTGACGAAGTAGAGATTGAGGAAGTTTCCTTTGCCAGCGAAGTAGTTGAGCGTCTGGGGTGTTTGGGGGGTGTTGATGTCGGAGGCGACCCCGGGAGTAAAGGGAGCGGAGTAGGTCGATGGAGAGGCCGAAGGGGAGAGGACGGAGAAGAGAACACCCAGTGTCAATATTATAGGGTAGACCAGGAGCATGTACGGTGAAGGTCTACTCCGTGCGCGCGACGCTTCTCTTTCTGGAGAGGCCTTTGTCTGCGGACTTGAGGTGGTGCCATTACGGCGTACTGCTTGCGACATGGTAGTAGTTGACGATGGCCTTGGAAGATGACCGAAGTGGAGCTGCTGCTATGGAAACATGGAAGCGACCGTTGTTTGTTCTTTGTGTGAAAGATGGTTACCGAGTCTCGCAAAGAAATGTTGAAATGTTGAAGTGTTGAAGTGTTGAAATGTTGAAATGGTGAAATGAGAGATGCGAGATGCGAGATGCGATGACGTTGGTCCGCCAAGCCTTTTCTTTTCTTTTCCTTTCTGTGCAGGCAGGGAAGTCGCGTCGCGTCTGCAGTACGTACATTTGCTTGCTGCTAAATAACACTGTAAACACAAGTCAACAAGTCAACACCAACACCAGTCATGGGTGCTGCCTAGCGGAAGTGATCCGAAGTAGATACCATTTATTGACCGGGAATGCACACCTATATCAACCAAAGTGTCAATCAGCCTATTGCAGGTTGAATGTTTTATCGAGCCTTATCCCTATCCCAGGCTACCCTGATGTCCTTCCACCCCGGCACTGGTCCTTGACCTCAGTCATTCTATGTTCAATCGCGCTGAGATTCATTATCCTTGTCGTTGCACGCTGATCAGGTGCCCGACGCTGTTTATCCTCAAAGGAAGCGAGACTTTGAGGACGCACAAGCCGCAATCGATGTCCAAACTTCTGTCACATATAGCAACTTTGCTCGTCCTTCTCACTTGAACGAACTACTATTTTGGTCTCAGCATTTTTCAGCCTTCACAAGATCTGATACGGATCACGCGCTTTGGAGGGAGTCTTCTTACGCTACGCTACGTAACGGAGGCGATGGCCTGATACTGGATGTGTTACTGTCCATAACATGCACTTTCCTTTCAGGATCCCTACCATGGTACGCCAAGATGATCGAGATCCCTTCCAGGGGAGCCCATCTCTTAAAGCTATACCATATAGCCTCTATGTCGGTGCGGAGCCCTTTGCACAAGCCAACTCGGTACTTGTTCGAGGAACAGTGACTTTGGAGCTAGTACGGTGCTGGTCTATGGCGGTTTGCTCACCCCCAACTGTTCTAGATGCTATGTTAGGGCCTCCTTCCACGCTGACTGAGGCTGACTGAGGTAACACCCCTGGGGTCTCGATAAGTCAGTGGTGCCCATGCGCCCTCAAGAAGCCAAGCAGACGATGAGCTAGGAAACAGGCTTGCTGCATACCACTTCCCAAGGTACGCAGTAGACTGGTCTAGAATGCAACCCGCAGCGGTGGATGCCGATTGGTCTTAACTGCTGTGGGTTCTCTGTTTCGGCAATGGATCATCTTGACTTACCGAACAAGCCTAAGATATTGGTTGCTGTTAGGCATGCCCTAACACCCCGCAATAATTCACTTGGCTAGCCAACCAACTTACCCGAACCGGCATCCGGTGTCCCAGGTCTAAATTTGTATCCGATGGCATCTGGATCAGCCCAGTCTCACGATAACTAAGCGCAAGCCATAATCGACCATACTGATGAGAAAAACGTATAATTAGTTCACAGCACCTGAGCTCAGACGTGGCGTGTGATCTGGCCCGATGTGTAGTCTCGGGGCTATGTTTGCTGAATGCTCCATCGAGCAGTATCAGATTCCTATCTACACCGTTGTCTCGCGTCTTCCCTTTCCATGGGTCCACATGCCGAACCTCGAGACGAGATGGATCTACCCCCTTGCGACTTGCACAACCAACATGTCCCGTGGAAATACTGTGTGTTTTTACCCACGCACTTTTATGAATCCAGCTTTCTTTCTCCTCTCATTTCTCATCTGCCTAAACATGTTCTTTGCATCTTCCATCTAGATCTGTAACGGTTGAATCCTTCCTATTCGTTTTGCTACGCCAGTGGCCCTCAGCCTTGCTCGTCCGGGGTGGTGCTTATCTTTGGGCGCAATCATTTCAAACACGCGTTCACCCGATACCCTGGACCCGTTCTTAGCTTCCCTGACAGATTCGTGGAGATTCTGTAACGTCTATGGGAGAAGACCAGAGGTCACTCACTTCAAGCTCCGCAGAAAGCATGGCGACGTGGTCCCAAGCCCAGCCATTTTCAGGAGCCAGCAACGCATCGGCTTTCACGATACCCGAGACTGGCAGCCATATCACGGTTTTACAGAATGCTTGAGTCGCTCCGACCTGTACCCAGCGAAGAGTAAAATCAGTCCATTCGCAGGTGATCCAAAATCCCGTCGCGGATCATTGCCAGCTTGGTCCTAGCATCGCTGGAGCCTCTGTGAAGTCAAACAAAGAAGAAGCTGGTGGGCATCTAACTCGGATCTGCCTGGGTCTTGTTCCTCTTGCTGGACCTCCGGCGGCTGGGTCGAATGCGCCCGAGTGGACCTTGAGATCACTTAAGCGGGTCCAAGCTAACGTGATAAGGGGGCGTGAATATGGATACATGCCATCCCCTCACGTGCGATGTGATGAGGTGTACTCGGACATTGTGTTCGCGCTGAAAAGTCCCTATGACTGGCTGACTCTTCTTGATGGACGCCATAGCCAACCGATCAAGATAAGATATTACATAGTTGGGTTTTGAATTTGCATAGGTAGGTGGACACAACAGTAACCATCATTATAGATATGGGATTAAAAGAACATTCAACCTCCTCAACCCGTCATCACGAAGGTCATACTACTAGCCAGACACCACTCCATAGCCCACTCCCCACTCCCCACTCCCCAACTATATACACAAACCTGAATGAACGCGGAGAGAAATCGAGAAAGCAAACTCCACATGCATTGCGCCAACCCCTCCTTTCCTTCTTTAAACACTATCCCTCCATACCAGCCAGCCAGCCAAGCAAGCAGACAGCGCATCCATGCCCCATTCCCTATGCCCCCTCAACCGAGCCTCCGCTCCCGCTCCCGCTCCAGCTCCATCTCCGGCTCCGGCGTAGCCGTCCCCGCCCTCTCGCCCTTCTCAATCAACCTCCTACTCCTCCTCGCCGGCGGTGTTCCCTTTTCCATTTTCGTTTTCGACTTCATCTTCTTCTCCCCCGTCTCGCGCACACTGGCCTCGATCCTCTCGACCGCCTCTTTCACCTTGATGCCCGTCGCCAGGTCTTTCTTGGCGAGAGTCATCTTTCGAACCGGAGAGGAAGTAATAGTGGTAGTGGTGGTTACGCTTCGGGATTTGGGCGTCGACTTTGCGGGTTTGGGTTTCTCGATCTTGATGCCGCTTCCCTGCACGGCGGATTTGCGGCGGGGTTTTGGTCGCGCTTTGCTTGCTTTGCTGGCTTTGCCGGTGGGTGTGCTGGTGATGGTGGTGGTGGGGATGGGGATGGATGGCTGTTTGGGTGGGGAGGCGGATCCGGCTCGGTGGGTGAGGGTTGGCGGTGTTTGTGGCTGTGGTGGCTGGTTTTCTGGCGGCTGACTCTGCTGCTGCTGCTGTTGTGATGGTTCTGGGTGGTGCGGCCTGGAATTAGGCATGCCGGATATGGTAGGTTGGGCCGGCGTCCCTGCGTTGCCTGCGTCTTTCTGATGTTGAGAGGAGGGAGATGAGGGGGACGAAGCATCGATCATGAACAAGTCGGCGTCTTCGTCTCCATCGTCCGCTATGATGGTTCGTGGAGAAGGAGTGCACGAGCGATCTTCAAAGGCGGGTGTGCATTCTCTGTTGAGGAGATGACGCGGTGTTTCTGGCTCGATGGATTTGCGGATATCGCGATCGGGTGAGGAGGACTTGGGTGATGGAGGTGTGAACAGCTGAGATGGTGTCGAGGCGTCTCCCCTCATAAGAGGTGATGGCGGGTTGAGGTGGTAAAGGCCGGGAATCTGCCTGCTCGGGCTTGCTGTTGATTCTTCATCATCTGCTTGGTCGTGATGGCGTGCGTATAGCTGTCTGTGATGCTCGGCCATTTTTGCTTGAATACTCCTCATGGTTTCACCATCACTCCTCTGCTTCTCGGGTGATTCCAAAGCCGTGGTGAAAGAATCATCAGGATTTATCTTTGAAGGACTGTTTCCACGACCAGTACCAATCTTGATAACGGTCGCTGAAGGGCTCGGTGAGTCTTGTCTTCCTCTCGCTGTTGTAGAGCTTTCGGGCGGCTCCTCGTCATCTTGGTTGTCAAGGTGCCCATCGTCGAATGCCCACGAACGCCGGTGTGACAATTTACGTAACCTTCGTAAATGAGCCTCGTCGACTTCGCCTTCTCGGGCAATTCTTTCAGCAGTATCTTTGTCTAGCGCTTGTATGGCTTTGCTAAAGGACGACTCCAGCATCTTTTCACGAGCGGCCCTGTCGGTCCTTGGAGCCGTAGGACTAGGTATATCATGGTGTGGAGAGAAGGGATTGGACGGCCGAACTCCTTCAGAGACAGCGTGTGTGTCATCCAGCTGTTCTCCAGGCTCTTCCTCTTGCCTTGTAGCTTCAGCAGAATCATGTCCTCTGGAAAGAGATTGGTCTATCCTGCCCTCAATCTCGTCCAATGCATGGTTGCCGTTGGCATGTGTATAGAGAGGTACGTCATTCATACACCCTACCGCCTCCATACCAAGCTGATACGGAGGATTCTGATCCAGTATTTGAGCTCTACCCTCAAACCCTTCGTGATCTACCACACCATCTGCTTGTTCTCCATATGCGTTCTGGTACGCAATTCTCCAGGCATAGTATTGCTGCTCCTTGGACAAACCGGGTTCAGTCTGTCGAATTATGTTACGGAACGCTTTCTCGCTAAATTGTGCAATCTGGTCATCTTCAGACAGAACGGTTTGCGCTTCAAGGTGCTGATCTTTCGTTTGTACCTTCCTCGGCCATGGCTGCTGGTGCGGATAAAAAGGGTGGTCGGGTGAGATCTGAGGACTTCCAAATTCTTGTTGAGCGTCTAATTCTTCGTAAAATTGTGTAGGGGCATTAGGATCATATGTTCGAGCACCCTCCTTCATGTGGAGCTCCTCTCCGCCATCTTGATCGCTTTCGACATCGCTGAAAAGGTCGTCCAAGGAGCTTCTGACTGGTAATGGTGGTCTTGTAACTGGCTCGACCACCGATATTGCATGTGCTGCTTATAGGTTAGTTCTGCTCGCTCTTCGAGAAGGATAGAATGATTTCTACATGTCGTCTGCTGCTGGCCTTCAGTTGCATGGGCATCCCTGTTGGCGCCTTGTGCCATGGCAGCACTGGGACGTATATCGCCATTTCCTTCGGAAATATGATCCTGAGCCAGACCATTGTGCGTTGTGAATGACCCTGGGATAGTATCGACCAACTTCTCATGGTTCCGATGGCCTTGGTGCAATGCGTATGATTCTGGAGGTGTCTCCTTTGATGCTTGGTGCAAAGCTTCCATGAACGTTGACAAGGCTGACATGTTGCGAACAACTCAGATATACAAGAAGAACATGAACACAACACTGTCAAAGAGTCATGAGACTGTTTACTTTGGTTCACAATACCTTCAAGCAAAGCAATGCTTGATGTTGACAATATTTGCATAGGGCGCAGCAGGAATGTGGCCCGAATCAAGGAATGCAGCCCAAGCTTCACCTACCTTGCCTATTTCGCAAGGATGGCTACCCTGATGGCACGAAGTATTCCGCAAGGGAAATATGTTTGGATAGATGAGAGATAGGCACAGAGCCACGAACAAAATCTTCATGAAACTCAAAGTATCCAGAGATTCATCTATGACAGCTCACGTACGAGAAAGCGTCTTGTGCTCTTACCCGCTCCAGCTGAAGGCATACTAAAAGCACGACGATAGATAGTCATGAAGTTCCAGTCGTCTTGTTTGGGCTGTACTAATGACTCAGCGGGTACCCGAAACTATTCAGAAGACTTAAACACCATGACACAGAAGAGAAGGATCACGCTCTTGGAGACCGAGCATAGAGCGAAACATATTTCCGGCATTGATCATAGACAATGGTGGAGCAGAGTAGGATGGTTCAGTGCTCGAAAGCCATGGATGAGTATGAAAAGTGTAGGAATGACGGACTGGAGTAGTGAGGAGGACACAAAGTACAGGATGCGTTGCAGGGAATACATTTGCTAGCCCCTTTGCTCGCTTCTCAGGAAGTTGGGTGAGAGCAGAAGCACGTTTTGGCGCAGCTACTGGCTACTAGCTAATAGTGAAGATTGACATGTGGAACTCTTTCGAGGTTTTTCATCGTGTTGTGAGACGTTGTTGCAGATGTCATGACTCGGCTGCTGCATAGTATCGGAAGTGAAGGTGCTTCAACCCGCAGTCAGATGCAAATTCAATATGCTCGACCCGCAGTCAGATTCAAGTCCAATATGCATCTCGGCCCATCCAGGTCCCGCTACAAGATCTGTATCACAGTTTTTCGATTCGAGACCAAGATCGACGGCTTGCTGGGTATGGATACGTCCCTTGTTGCCTTCACACACGGGTAGAAATTGTGCTGTACGGATGGACGGTAAGCGATGATGCCTGCATCAAGACTGCCTGCTTGGTTTCACAACAGGTAGTGTTGTCAGCCACCAGGAAACATCTTCATACTCCAAGTCGTTACTGGCCCAAAGGGAGCAGGTCGAGCAGCTGAATATGGCTGAACATGGCTGAACATGGCTGAATACAGCTGAATACAGCTGAATATAGTATGAGACTTGTCCAGTTCCATCGCAGGCTTCTGGTGGCTTTTTCTCCCGCTGACTCGGTTCCCGCTCCCCTGGCACGGTATTGACTAACTAGTTACTGCGTAGTAGCTGCCAAGGACGTAGTTCGGCCGCCATCGGAGTATTATTGATCCAGGATTCAGAGACACGATAAAGGCAGACTCTTCACTAGTGAGTGGAGTGGCTGGTCTCAGTTGCGATGATTGAATAGCCACAGACGCAGGTCTGAGTGTGGATCATCTGATATTGATATTTACGTAGTAGGAATTAGAAACATGCATTTCATTTCGGTCGTCAGGAGCCTTTTCTCGCGCTTCCAGATCTGGGATTGGGCAGACGCTTTCCGATATGGTCCATGTTTGACTTTTCCATAGATGCGCCACCAAGGAGAACCGGGATGTTGACTGGCCACTATGACGAGCTACCACATGGCTTTACTACGCATAGCGAGCCGACTAACAGCTCCCAGCCCGGCCTGCCAGCCTTAGTTAATTAGCCAAATGCTCCGTCGGTCATCTGGCAGACAACGGCCCTCTAGGCTCGATGCGCGTTTTGGTGGCTGAACGGGTGCTAAGACCTCGTTGTATCGCAGTTACAACGATAGATCTTCAGCAGGCTGAGCCACTTTCCCCATCGGGTCGGTCCATGCAATGCTGTGAAACCGAGATCTCGCGGCACTGTGACAGCAACGAAAACGAGAATAGCACAGAAGGGGTGATGGTGACTGTTCCACGGAAGGACTACTCAGTTACGCGGGCGGATGTGTTCCCGGGTGTTTTCTAGCACACTTCTGGTGTGTGGGAGTGGTGGCATGTCCAATCTTCCAATCTGAAAATTCGACGGAAGCCAACTTCCACCAGGACGTGGCTTAGAGCTTTGACTGTGTTGGTGCTTAGGGTGCTCTGGAATCCTTCAGCACAAGCAAAATTACCACTCAACAAAAGAAAAAAATTCAGCGAACGAGAAAGCTGATTGGTGAGCCCCCTCGGACTCAGAAAAAGCAGCGTCGGTGCTTTTCACCACCAACCCGGACCAGCCAGCCAAGATAAAAAGGCCCAGGGAAGTGGAATAACGTATCAGCGCCTCGCTTATTGCTATACTCGAAAGGGTAACTGAAGTAAGCGGCAGACGCAATTTTGGCGACACTGGCTTTGCCACAGCATCGATGAGTGTCACCCCATAAGGATATCCATCAACCCAGTATAGACGCAATGCAGCAGACCCGTTCCGTACTTTGGACCTCCTGCAGGTACCAGCAAGGCCCGGCAGGGAGAGTCCTGGGGTAAGCTGCAGCCGCGTTGCAGCTTTAGCTGGGCCAGGATCTACCACACTAAACCAACATCCCGAAATCTTCTTCGGAATTGAGACTAGCAAAAAACCAACCGGGAACGGGACACCTGGCAAGTGGGAACCAATATCCCAAATCTGGCTCTTCGATTTTGTTTCTTTTAACTACAGGAATTTCTAGGGCCACTGGCGGCTGTGGAACACCTGACTCTGCTTCCCCGGGCCAGTTGTATCTCATCTTCCGACCCCCTGAAAAAATCTATCTTGCTTGGCTTTGAGTTTCGACCACTGCTCTGCGTCATGTCTTCGCTGGTTCTATACCCTAGTCGTTTCACATATCGAAGCTATCGTGTAGTGGATATCCGGTCCGTTGGACGGGGAAGGCAACCACATGGTTTAATTCTAGGTCACTTTCCGTAAACAGACCAGGGAGTCTGGGACCGACGTTGGTGCTACAAGCTACTACGCATTGGTCGCCCTCCAGTGCGTTCGGAACCTATCCCATCACTGTCGGACAACCCGCCCTTCTGGCTGAGAGTTTGGATTTGAAGACATCAGATCCACCGTGACGCTCAGATTGACTCGGGCAAAACGACGTACTACGTAGCTCCCCCTTTTAGCTCATCTCGCATTGGACCAGATATGTGCTTTAATACCCTACGTCGCCCCCCGTCGCTTCACTTACAACTTCTCATTCATCCTGCTCTCTGCTTCCAGGTTGTACATTCTGCTGCATCTTCCTTCCTCATTGGGCGCCCCTGTCACTTTCGACCTGATCCGTCCCGAGTGTATGACATAGCGCAGCCAGCCCCTAGTATCGTTGCGAACGCCCTATCCGGTCATTGCATAGTTGCAGCAAGTACTCCGTACCGCTGGCAAATTCACTCGCACACAACCATCACAAGGGCGCATCGATTCCTTGCCGCATTCCTTTCGTTCCCCCCTTACGAGGGGATCACGTACTTAATCACGCACACGCTGCATCTGCTCCTTCGCAGTTCTACATCTGTGCCACCACTCGCGAAACCTCCACACCCCTTTGCCATTCGTCGAGCTATTTCAGGCAACACTTGGGGTGAGTCAGCTCTCTTTCGGTTCCGCCTGTTCCCTCTATAAATCAGCCCTGTCCTTGTCTCTGGCCCAAAATTTTCTGCTTTCATATCTAACATCGTCTCAAGCCTCAAGATGATCACCAGAGAGAGTGTCCTTGTCAATATGGGCCGTGGCGCGTACGATACCACAGGTGTGCCCTCACCCAAACCATTGCCGGGCCCACGACAGCCGGGTCCTACGAAACGCGCACGATAAACTTGCCGATCTAAGACCAGCTCAAAGGACGGCATTGGTTGCGAAAGCTAGACGATTCTTTGCTCCTGTTTCGGCACTCCCGATGTACCTCTCCTGGTGTGTTTTGGCGGGATAGGTCACTTGACTATGGTGAGCCTCTCCAACTATTTGCCCCTCCCTTGCTTGCATTAGCTGACCTGCAGCCTGAAGATCTGATCCCGCGGCCACCTCTATTTTCCAAGCGTTCCGAACCGATAATTCCGATTGCAAAAATCCTTTTATTAGAATCCCATCCGCACACGCAGCCTCTGCTACTGCCCTTAGCTGTCTTCCGGTGTCTTCCGGCATTCGCCTCGACCCTTCGATTCCTCGCGAAATTACCATCCCTGGGTTTGATCCTTCGTGTACAACATTTCCAAAAGTAATTCTGGCGTTATCATAGATGGTTGCATGGGCTGGAAAGAGATACCACACATAGATCGGGTCGACTCAGTGTCGCATTTTGCCTTTTTGGCTACGGCCACCTCTCTGTACACTACAAGATAGACACGGGCGACCATGTACGCAATCAGACTGTGGGGCAACCATGGTCCAGCTTGGGAAGGGACATATCCCAAATCAGCTGCGCCGGGTACGTCAGGAAGGGTCATGTCTTGGGGTTACCGGCCAGATAGTCCTAATCGAGCTGTGTCATTTTTTTGCTACAACGAGGCTTTCTTTCTCTTCTCTAGCTCTTGATTATCTTGGGATCCGATCTGAGACACACCACATATTTGCATACCATGTCTCAAGCTCTCCTTACGAACATGCATGGATCAGTAGTGTCGCACGGCAGGACGATAGTGGCCTTTTACATACTACGTACGTAGTAGTAGTCGTAGTCGTAGTATTAGTAGTTAAACACGTTAACAAAGAAACCAGCACCCACCAGCCTCCCAGAGCCCGATCAAAAAATTTACGGGAAAGTGGTGGGAAAGGTGGGAAAGTTCTCGGCTGGCCTGCCAGAAGTGGAAAGTGCTCAGAAATGGGCGCTATGCCCTGTTCGACCTGGCATCGTCAGCGCCCAGACCAGCCTCTCACGCAGGCGACTCGGCGACTTCTTCCAGTTGAAAGCCCGCATCTCTCCTCTATCCTCTGAATCATCCTGTGAGTCAGCGACTGCTGAGGAGATCTATCCGAAACCCACTCTTGCCTTCATAGTCACGAACACACTTCAGGTGGTTTGCTTCCTCAACAAGCATTCAACATTGCCCTCTCTCATGGGAGACAAACAATCGAAAGTCGACCTCACATTCGCCTCTGGCTCGTTGATTTGACCGAGACTCTTGAGTGCTGTCGGTTCTCCCGAAATTTGTTCAAGCCACCCCGAAATCCTACGACAAGAGTTGGGGAAACATAAGCTAAAAGCCGGTTATGGCAAATACAACGCCCGGGGCCGCCTCGGCTCCTAAACCAAGCAGCAGCGTCAAGCTGGTGTTGCTCGGAGAGGCGGCGGTGGGAAAGGTGCGTGTGACTCCCAAGTTACATCCGTTTCCGTCCGACCATAATCCACTAGATTGGATGGCACGTTGTCATATATATGTTGTGCAAGTCTGGCATGGGTCGGTGCAACAGCTGGGAGATTCTGCGGCTGCTTTGTGACCGGGACTTGTGATCCCATCAAAGGTTCTAGATGCTGACCCTATCCCACCATTCCAGTCGTCGCTTGTACTACGATTTGTGAACAACGACTTTCAAGAAAACAAGGAGCCCACCATCGGAGGTATGACCTGAGTCAAAATGTCCTGATATGCATAGGCAACCGTCTAGATGCCTCTCCATGCGCCTCCCCTTCCACTTTGCCACAACGCCGCTAACTTTGCCCTTTTCATAGCCGCCTTCCTCACGCAAAAGATCTCCCTGCCGAACCGAATCATCAAGTTCGAAATATGGGACACAGCCGGCCAAGAACGATTCGCCTCCCTCGCACCGATGTACTACCGCAACGCCCAGGCCGCCCTCGTGGTCTATGACCTCACCAAACCCACCTCCCTCATCAAAGCCAAACACTGGGTTGCCGAGCTCCAACGTCAAGCCTCACCGGGCATCGTCATCGCGCTGGTGGGAAACAAACTCGATCTGTGCACCGATGCGGAAGGAAGCGGCGATGCCGAAACCGCACCCTCCGAAGGCGGAGGCGACGCAGAGACGGGCGCAGAAGGCGCCGCGGCAGACGTGGAGGCCGATACACAGACAGATAACAATGCGCGAAAGGTGCCGAAGAGGGAAGCAAAAGCTTACGCCGAGGAGGAATCACTGCTCTTCTTTGAGACGAGTGCCAAGACCGGTTCGAATGTGGCGGACGTGTTTACCGCGATTGCCAATTCGATCCCCGAGAGCAGTCTGAAGAGCGGTCGGGGTGGTGGTGGTGGTGCCGCGGGCGCGACGCAGGCGGCGTTGAGCGGGGCGGCCAACAGAGCCGAAGAGGCGAGGGTTAATCTGGGCGAGAGAGGGAAGGTCGTGAAAGATAATTGTGCCTGCTGAGAAGATGAGAGAGCAGATGAAGGTAGAGCTTGAGCTTCCGAAGGAGTATTGGTGTTGGGTGTTGGTATCAGCAGCGATGCACAAGCTTTCAGTTACCAAGGTCCGGGGTTATATCCTTTGTTTTCCAAGTCGCCTGCGCTCAATACCGAGCAAATGTACTCCGTATTTGGGCGGCTGTTGTATTAAAATATATGCATGCACGTATGGAAGGTTCCGTCTGTTCCTACGGACTGGACTCTACAGCCGCACCCCCCCTTTTCTTCCTGCCTGACTGACCTAGTCAACGGCAACGGCAACGGCAATGGCACGCACCCATCCAACACATACATGATCGATAGCTGACCCCCATCTGCTATTTGATATCTGCTACCTATCTTGGTTAGTTATGGCCGTACTTATTTGATGGTTCTATCATCGCGTCATCTTCACCTCCCTTTTTTTCTTTCTTTTTCTTCTCAAGCCCCTTGAAAGAAAAATCTCAGTAGCCCTGGATGACTCCGGTAGAGCTGGCGTGGAGCCCGGCTGCCCCGGGGGTCGCGAGATGAGTGTTCTCCGCCGGAGGGGGGGATCTGGGGGTGATTGATCGATCGATCGATGGAGCGATCTTCACACCATTTTATATTATTTGGAGGGTTGTGCTTTGAGAGCGGAGGAAGAGGAGGCGGAATGAAGGCGAGAATTCCGAGCAGCTGTTTTGGGGTTGCTTTCTTTCCGGCCTTCTTGCCTCTAAATGCGGGCGTTCGAAGGGGGGCTTGGTTTCGGGGTTGGTCAGAATGGGGCCTTGGAGTTTGGGTGCAGATATCATCAGGGGGAGGCAAATCCATGGTTTTGTAGGTAAGGGTAGCTGCTCCATTGGTCTGTGTCATCGTTGTGCTTCGGCCACCAGATCTTGGGGCTGGGAGCTGGCAATATAGGATATAGGAGCTCATGAGGAAGGAGTCAGGTCGCGGCCCTTGGAGGGAATTGTTGATGGGATGGAGTGGGAGTGGAGTGAGACTCTGTGAGAGAGTTTGTCTGAGGCATATGTTATGATTCGAGATGAGCCGGCATCTTAACCTGGTGGGATTGGAGCCAGGTTGTAGGCGGAATCTAGGGGAGAATGTTTCGATGGGCTGTGAGAGAGTATTCTTCACTGGCTGAAGGAGAGATGCTCTGCGAGCTTTCGGTGGTAGATCGTGCGTGGAGCCTATCGTGTAAATCCTGTACAGGGACATGAGGTAGGCAGTGGTTGGAAATGGCCAACCTCCAAAGACATTCAAAATCGAATCTACTACGTGTGACTGCACGGCGATGTTGGGCGGGGCGGAGACATATCACTGTAAGAGGTCTGAGCTGTGAGTGATTGCGTTGTTTTCAGGCAACGGTCTGTTCGTTCCGTGCAGGATTTCTCGCCCTTGAGTTGCTGAAGGCTTTGAAGCTTCGCTATGCTGTATCTGTTGATGCTGCATGTCTCTTTGACAGGGTCTTCGGGGCTTTCATACCCAGGGATGTATGTGCAAGGTCCTGGTGCCACTCCCTGATCGAGAGTCCACTTTCATGTGCACTATCAGCTTATTTACAGCATGGACGTGCTCGCAGGGCTGCTGAAATTGGTTGAGTGCGATTCGGCATACCCGATGTTCATGGGCGATTAGGCGATTATTGAGGAACCGTCAGGATGTGCGAGAAGCAGAATTATTATGGTTTATGCGAGACTAAGGTGGAAACCTCATCAAATGAGCATTGAGCGTCTCCAGTGGATCCCAAAAAAGGTTGAATCTTGGTCAGTCATCGGAAGAATAGATAGCTTCACTAGGTAGATTGGAAGGTTATCCTTCCGATAAGGAGAACTCAAGGTGCCGATTCGGGACTTGTATCTATTATACCTCAACCAAAGTCTGTGTACGAGTGAAGTGCTTCCACCGGGATTATCCACGTTCGCGTAGGTCCCTCTTCACTGCAGACAGTGACCTCCTGGCTAACACAATCGTAGGTAGCATGCTATACACGCTAACTGTCATTGTAATTGGGGAGCGGTCCGTGGTAAAGTGTCAAGCCGTTTCAGCCAGAGTTCGAACTCGAGCATGGTCCGGAATAGCCGCCGGGCAGCTTCGACCAAACCCTTGACACCTGTGCCCATATACCTCTCTGCTTCCTTTACAATCGTCTCCCCAAGACACTTCAGTACTTCTACCTCGGAGGTTTTCTCAACCTCAGAGTTATAGCGAGTGTAGGAGTAGAGTATTTTCAGGTATTTCAAGTTCTTGAGGGGTTTGAAGGTCCTTCCAGATCTTGTAAGGGCTTATATCACCCGTGAGGAGGATTAGAGTCGAATCTTCTGAACGGACATGAGTTTTTGAACTTTGGCGATGTGTCGTCCCATACTCCTTTATAACAGCCTCTGGTCCTGCATACCAATCCCTTACAGTATGATTCGATGGCTTCATTAGGATATACCGACATGTTCTGGGAATCGAAGTGTTGACTGCTCTTCCAATAATTCCCCAGCTGTGACTTTCGAAAATAACAATCAACGATCCTGCAAACACTGACCTGTAGATACGAAGACCGCTCTCGACAGGGAAATTTAGAAATCGGAAGATTGATATTTGCTTTGATGATGACTTGTCCTCAAATGCCAACATGATAAGATGATGACCTCGACCACCGAACAACCCTTTCCCTTGGTCCAAAGATGGATTGTGTTCTCTCGTGTTGTTATTGATAGAGAAGCCAGCAGGACAACGGGTCAGGAAATTCTTTGATGATCATTCAAATACGCTCCTTGCTCCCACCGTAGCCACCTTCTTCAACTGTGAAGCGGGCAGTTCTCGACTTGTGCAGTTGAAAGCTTAGAGCCTGAATAACTACCGAATCTGCAAAGCAGTCATCGGCAGCTGATTTTCTCTGAGCATTGGACCTCAAGACCACAGGACCACAGAACTGGGTATCATCTAGTCATGTCAAGTGGTCCACCGAGTAATAGAGTCTGAATAGACTCTGAATCACTAAAGCTGACTTTATCTGAAGTCGTAGAAGATCTAAACTCCTGCCGCCAGAGGGTGATACAGAGGGCACGCCCCAATTAGAGCACCTAAATGAGTAAATGGTTTAGTATGTAAGGGAGGGGCGGTCCACTATTCAGGGGTATGCGGGGCAGCTCGGCATGTAGGTTTCAACACTAACTTAGCTACTTAACTTAGGCCCGGAGGCCATCCCTTCCCATCTCGAAGCCTCCTTGCTTGTGGTTTGATAATTGCAGCCGTGGTGATATCTCCGGCGACCTACCTATATAGTTTCAATTGCTGAGCTACTGCGAATCGTTGATCAGAGGAGCCCTTCAGTGCTCTGCCAAAGACTGAGAAGTTGCTTTCGCGTGAATACCATTTTGTCCAGAAAGCAGGATTCTTCAATAATGGGCTCCTTCAATCGAGCTCCTGATTCAAAAGAAACAGCCCCACTAACCGGATCGCCTTCCTGGGATCTACCAGCAGAGATCTGGTTGCAGGTCCTCAGGTACCTTCTCGTCAAGCGGCCGGAACAACAACATGGCAACGCCCTTGTGGTCCTTCAGCCGTTGAGCGACTGGACGGGACAAGACTCATCCAATAACAGACTCTCTAGTCAGGTCCTTCGCACAAACCGAGCCTTTTATCAAGCAGGAATCGAGCTACTGTACCGTGAAAACGTCTTCGAGATGAACGGTGATGACGTCTGGGTGCTTCCAAATTTCCTCAGTCGTATTGGCCCAAACATTGCCAGGATTAGGCATCTGAGACTCGACCACAGGAATGCTGGCCACGAGGATTGCCGGGGAGCACCTCATAGACATCCGCAAGAAATTGTCTATGTGAGCGGCTGGATACGAGACCTCTGGGTAGATAGGCTTTTCGAGTGCTTTCCAACCCTGCGGTCCTTGGAGACATTGAGCATCGCGGTGGATCTACCATCCCGGAAAATGCGTGATTCTGTTGCGCGAATGGAAACAGGGCTGTACGTTAAGGAGAGTGGCTTAGCGCATGAGCTTTGCGTTGCAAAGCAGATGCAAGATAGGGTACTTTGGAACGAGTTACATGGCCAGGTTTTGTTCTACATCAACAAACTAGGAATCTGGCGAGCCGCGAACTCGCTCGATCAATGGTTTCCAAAACTCAACGCGAACGTATACCATGGCGTAGGAGAACACGGTGCTTATGGCATCTTCTCGACCAAAGAATTAGAGATATCTAGTTCAGCACAGAAGCAGAGGACGGCGGCTCATTTCCTAACTGTGAGTTCTTCAACGAAGTATTGACCAAGAGCGTTGCTGATGTTGCTCAGGCAAGAAGGTTGCAGGTTGATTTCGCAGAAGGGAAGGTTGTGGAAGTGCAATGAATTGCCGCCCTAGTTTTGATTTGTTTCGAAAATAATTTTGCTGCAATACCCAAATGTCAGAGATGGCGTTAACTGCTTGTTTCGATCATTTATCCGCAGAATGACTAGCCTTACACCGTTTTCGAGCAGCAGTCACTCTTTGATAGCATGTAGCGGCTATAAAAGTCCTTGCTTCACATCATACAAGTTTACCGTGGTTAAGCTACAGAAGGATGACCGAGATGGTTTCGCGGACAGCAAACGGCGACGGCAATGTCACATAAGTGACTGTTTGACGGCCACTGAGACCTCAAAAGCGGCATGGTGACCATGGGATATCTCGACATAGCTGACACTTCCCTGGCAGAGCTCCGAAGTTTGCAGGACTGAGCCCCAGTTCTAAACCTCAGACGCGTTGTAATAATTGCCATACGCTGACGAATCTTTCCCAACCACGATGATCTCCGGCAGAAGAATTTGTATGCTGGAGAGCTTCCGTGGCACACGAAGACAATATACCGAGTACGTGGCAGACAAAAAGCGAAAGGCAAGGCTTCAAGACGTTTCCCGCACTACCTATTGTTGATAAGAGATTGCAGAAGAAGAACGAAGCAGCTAGACTGCGTCGGCAGGAGCAGAGAGCACAGGCTCTGGCGGCCCGAGCGGAAGCCAGAGAAAGAATTGCCAGAGGCGAGAGAGGAGACGGAAGACCGGAACGGCAAGTCTCTAGAATCGACTATAAGGTTTTGGTGAACACTGGCGGACGAGTTGCAAAGGAACAAGATCATCAAAAGCAAGCCACCGTTAGGGGGAAGGCGAGATTATTGGTTGCCCGCAGCTCGTCATATTCTGGGGTTGTGGGAAGCTGGATTACTACGTAATATCGTCGCCACTTTTTTGGAACGCTCAAGTCAAGAATTCGAAACGAGTTCATGGCCCTCGACCTTAAATGCACATTAAACGAAAACAGTGGAAGAAGTGCTCTCTCTTACATCTTCAAGTGTTCTCCTGACAGTCTGGAATTTTTGAGTCAGCAGTATATCCAAGGAAGCGTCCCTCGGAGGAAATGAGATATTCAAGGTGTTGCCGACTCCTGCATTCATGCCCAATAGATTACATTGTACTTTGGGGGTAGCTATATCCGAGCAGGATTTCTGAATAGACGATGTCACGCGAGATGGGAGATTTTCCGCATACCATAGTAAGGCAGTAAGGAAGTTAGTGCTGGGCTGCAGGCTAAAACACGAACTTGGAGCCGAGAGAGTAGAAAGTTTGAGCTGGGGTGTCGTTGTACTACGGGGGGCCTGAAGTAATGTTAGCTTAGCGCTAGTATCTTTACTTGTAAACCCTCTCTGTACAGAACGGCTATGCCTGAAAAAGTTAGATGTAACAATTTGACTTATCAGAATGGATACACACAGAACAAGCTTTGAGGTGTCGAATCATAACCTAGGTTGTCATAATAAGAACTAGTTGCTCTTGACGCCAGACTAACATTACTTCAGGCCCTCCCCGTGGTACTACGTGGAAGCCGTTGCCACGGAAGAGTGCAGGACGCTGCGGGGCATGCAATAAGGATTCGTATCTTCAACATCTCAATTCGATGCCGTCGTTGATCCTCTCCTTGGCTGCTACCATGCGCAAAGTCTCAGCTTCGTGGACAGCGGACAAAGCCGGTGATGGAGATGATGAAATCGGAGGGGGAATTGCCGTGATGGCGTCATGCTTGCCCCACAGAGTACTTGGGCCCTGACCTAAAGGAGTTCTTGGACTTTTTTGAATGACCTGCTTCTGAAATAGCCTCTTGTTGGGGCCGCGTATTTGTGCCCGAGTAGTACATCATGGGACACGTCTCCCTCCTACAAGTTTGAGACATCCCCGTGTCCACTAATTAATGACTCGTGGAAAATTGCTCCTCGGCATGTAATGTATGCTTTGCCCTTCTCGGTGAGTATGGAAGTTCGAAGTGGTATGAATTCACGCGGCTATTCGTAGCTGAGGACAGAGTTCCCATGGATTGGTAACTGCTGCGAGAAGATGCAAGAATGAGGTGACGGATCAGCAGGTGTCAGATTGTTCTCTGCCTGGTCGAGTACCAATGAGCAGCTCATATTTGGGGGGAAATACGAGTAAACGTGCCTCTGTTGGGTGGTACCGTGGTAATGTGGTAGCATTATGGTAGCATTGGCTCCGCACCTTGCAACGAGATGACTCTCAGCCCTTGCACATCTGCGGCATGATGCCTTGTTCCTGGCAAAAATGGCAAGCATACGTAGTACAGCACTCGCTCGGCTGCATCCATGGCCACTGGGCGAAATGTGGGGAAAGCTCCAGGGATGATGCTCTATTAAGCCTCAGGTACGTCCCTGCCACTTTTTCAAGATTCTCACTTTCACACATCACCATCTCATCTGGGTTCTTCTCATCCTGGGAGCTGTGAAACCTGTCTTGGAGGCAGAGGTGTTGGTAGAATTGGCTTGATCTACCGCCGCCTCGATCAAAATGTGGCTTGCTCAAGCTTTCCTCGTATCGCTAACGGCTTCGGTAGCTTCCGCAGGGGTCAGTTAAGATTTCTTCTTTTCAGCTTCTAACATTTTCTCATGGCTCTGAGCTCGCCAATGTCGTCCTGTTTGTTTTAGCTGTTTGTGTAGTGAATTACTGACTTCGAACAAGGTATCGCACTGGAACCGAGATTTACCCTTCTCCAATACTACCAGTGGTCCTCTTGCATTCTCTCCACCAAAATATCCTTCGCCATGGGCGTCAGGATCGGGAGAATGGGCAGACGCCTACGCGAGGGCGCGCGACTTCGTCAGCCAATTGACATTGCTCGAAAAGGTCAATTTGACCACGGGTGTCGGGTATCTAAGATTACCTCTTGCTCTTGCTCAAACAGTGGTACTAAATGCTATGTAGGTGGCAGGGTGAGCGTTGTGTTGGTGAAGTCGGGTCAATCCCTCGCTTGGGTTTCCGTGGCCTTTGCATGCAAGATTCTCCGCTCGGAATTAGATTTGGTGAGTTTCAGAGCTATCTACTTAATCTCCCAGGTACTTACCCGGTAAAGCCGACTACGTCTCTGCCTTCCCAGCAGGTGTCAACGTGGCCGCTACCTGGTCTCGTGGCCTTGCCTATGCACGCGGCGAGGCAATGGGCGTAGAGCATCGCGGTAAAGGTGTTGATGTGCAGCTTGGACCAGTTTGCGGACCCTTAGGACGTATACCAGAAGGTGGTAGGAACTGGGTAGGTTGGAAGGCAAACGGCCATTGGAGGTATCTTACCATTGTTATAGGAAGGCTTCAGTCCTGATCCATATCTGACTGGCGCCCTCATTGATCCTACCATCCGAGGCATTCAAGATGCTGGAGTCATTGCATGCACCAAGCATTACATCGGTAACGAGCAAGAGCGTTTCCGTCAGGCACCCGAGGCTCGAGGCTATGGCTTCAACATCACCGAGAGTCTGAGTTCCAACATCGATGACAAGACTATGCATGAGCTGTATTTATGGTAGGGTTGCATTTTCGTTCTTGTGATCATTCACTTACCAAGCCAGGCCTTTCGCCGATGCCGTCCGAGCAGGTACTGGCGCGATCATGTGCTCCTACAATCAGATCAACAACTCGTACGGCTGCCAAAACTCCTACAGCCTCAACTACCTTCTGAAGAACGAGCTCGATTTCCAAGGATTTGTCATGAGTGACTGGCAAGCACAACATAGTGGTGTTGGAGACATCTTGGCCGGTCTCGACATGGTGAGCCTATTTCTTCTGTGAAAGGAGTTTACACTAACAGCTGCCAGTCTATGCCAGGAGACACAACCTTCTTAACTGGGCTTTCGTTCTGGGGCACCAATTTGACAATTGCTGTCGCCAACGGCACGGTCCCGGAATGGCGGCTGGACGATGCTTGTGTTCGGATCATGTCTGCATTCTATCTCGTTGGCAGAGACACAACCCAGGTCCCTATCAATTTCGATTCGTGGACTAAAAATACCTTCGCGCCAATCCACATCGCGGTCGAATCACCGATTGGACTTGTCAATGAACACGTGGATGTCCGCGAGGACCACGCTGGACTCATCCGAGAAATTGGTCGTGCTAGCACGGTTCTGCTGAAGAATAGCAACAATGCTCTTCCACTCAGTGGCAACGAGAGACAGGTGGCTGTTTTCGGAGAGGATGCCGGATCCAATGCCTACGGTGCCAATGGCTGTCCTGACAGAGGATGTAACAATGGTACATTGGCCATGGGATGGGGTAGTGGAACTGCAGATTTCCCATATCTCATCACTCCGGAACAGGCTATTCAGAATTACGTAGTGACACAGACCACCGGGATCATCGAAGTGGTGACTGCTCAAGGCGCAGTCACACAAATTCAGAGTCGTGCAGCGCAGGCCGACCTTGCTCTTGTCTTCGTCAACGCCGATTCTGGTGAAGGTTACATCAGCGTTGACGGCAATGAAGGAGACCGTAAAAACCTGACGCTGTGGAAGCAAGGTGATGATCTGATCCAGAATGTCTCCGCGCTCTGCAACAACACGATCGTGGTGATGCATACTGTTGGTCCTGTTCTGGTCAGTGACTGGTACAACAATGACAACGTTACTGCCATTTTGTGGGCTGGGCTTCCAGGGCAGGAAAGTGGCAACGCAATCCTTGATGTCCTCTACGGCCACTACAATCCCGGCGGAAAACTTCCCTTCACTTTTGGACCTACGCGAGAGTCTTATGGGACCGACCTCCTTCTCGAACCAAACAATGGTCAGTTCGGTGCTCCACAGGATGACTTTGACGAAGGTGTCTTCATTGACTACCGGGCCTTCGACAGGATGAATATCACGCCCATTTACGAATTCGGCTTTGGTCTCAGCTACACCACATTTGAGTACTCAGACCTGGTTGTCACGCCGCAGAATGCGGGACCATATGTTCCCACCAGCGGGACGACTTCACCTGCTCCGTCCCTTGGCAACAATGCAAGCACAGACTACTCGCAATATCTTTTCCCTAACGGCACCATCGATCGTGTTTCGAACTACATCTACCCATATTTGAACTCAACCGATCCTGCTGCCGCTTCAGCCGATCCCGAATATGGTCTCCCTACGAGCGAGTACGTTCCCGCAGGTGCAACAGAAGGCACGCCACAACCATTGCTTCCTGCTGGAGGTGCACCTGGCGGCAACCCAGGACTGTGGGACATTTTGTACACAGTGTCTGCTACCATTAGAAATACAGGCAGTCTCCAGGGTGATGAAGTAGCGCAGCTGTATGTATCCCTTGGTGGAGACGAGCCAGCCGTTGTGCTGAGAGGCTTCGATCGCCTGACTATTGTATCTGGGGCGTCTGCCACGTTCACTGCGCAACTCACCCGGAGGGATCTGTCCACGTGGGACACTGTGAGTCAGAATTGGGCACCAGCTCCAGGGCCAGTGACCGTTTATGTTGGAAGCTCGAGCAGGAACCTGCCGCTGTCGAGCACTCTGCCATCGTACTGACTTATTCACTTTGCTGGAAAAGGTCTGGTTCGGAGAAGAAAGCTCTTGATGTTTATCTAGTAATGCTGTATATGAACTACACCTGGCCAGACGCCTTTTAATGTTGAAGATACTTGAAACCCTTTGCTGTCGTGCGAATGTGTCTACTGTCCAAGCATGAAGATCGCTGACCATCCTTGCGAGGTACATCCTAGATTGCAGTTTGAGATCGGTCGGACGAGCTGAGTAAAAGTACTACGGCTACAGGCCGAGTTTTGTACCCCCATTGCTGAATACAGCACGTACTATGTAGAATTGAGTATAGACGCCGATGAAATAAGACTAGTCTCTAAAATCGAGTTTGCATTCCATTGGCATCTATAACTGCTTGACATCTCGCCTGCGTCGACTGGAGCAGCTCCTTCAGATAAGCAGAAGGCACATCAGGCCCATTGGTATCCATGTAGAATTGGTAGAATGCGTTGAATGAGTAGAATTTGCAGACGACAGGATGCTGACAGGGATGTGTATGTGTATGTAAAAAAGGCGTTTGTAAGATATTTTGACCCGGGAGCTTACAAAAATTCGGCCTGGAGCCGTAGTAGAACGATATCTGTTGAGCATGTGAATCTGTGCACTCGCTTGCGGGAGATCTTCAGATGAGATTCTTGAGCTAGTACATCATTCCCCTCGAGAAGGGGAAACAAGAGACGAGAAACGCTATCTCAATGGGCGGTGAATAGTATCGCTTCACAATGAGGGAGCATCTTCTTCCTCTTGCTCTGCCATGCGAAGCCGATGCTTCGCCAACGTCTTTGTTCTTTCTGGGCATTACTTGAATTCAGCTCAAGGCTGCCTAACCGGTCACGTTCCTTTGCGACAATGCCTCCTTCGAAGCCGCGAGTGATCTACTGGTTCCGCACTGACTTGCGCCTCCACGATTCACCTGCATTGGCAGCTGCCTTAGATCTAGATCCAGAGGTGTTCTATCCAATCTGGACTTGGGATCCGCATTATGTGTATCGGGCGCGGGTTGGCGCAAATCGATGGCAGTTCTTGTACGTCGGATTCTCGACCAGTGATTGCCGGAAACAACCATTGACCTCTTTGGCAGGACGGATTGTCAACGCGATCTCTCCTCCTCCCTGACCAAGCTCAATCCCAAACAAAAGCTGCATCTCATTCGTGAAGCTCCGCAAACAGTCTTTCCCAAACTCTTCAAATTATGGAGGATCACACACCTCGTTTTCGAAAAAGATACCGACGCATACGCGCGCGATCGCGACAGAGGAGTGATGAAACTGGCAGAGGATGCAGGGGTCGAGGTGATCGTCAAGATGGGGCGTACGCTTTATGACCCAGATGAGCTGGTGAAGCACAACGGAGGAAGACCTACAATGAGCATGGCCCAGACACAAAAGGCAGCAGCAGCATTAGGAGACCCGGCGAAACCAATACCTCCTCCAACATGCCTCCCAGACCCAGGCGATACGGACCTGTCTTCCATAGACCACCAAAGGCCCGACCCAAATCCCGACCTCAACGCCGCTCACCGTGACCTCTCCAATAAGGAAAGCCAGTACACATCCATAATGGGTCCCAACAAAGACTTCTCCATCCCGACCCTGCAAGAAATGGGCATCTCTGGCGCCACCACCCCCAATCGCGGCGGCGAAACCATCGCCCTTCGTACCCTCGACACCATAATCTCCAATTCCGACTACACAGGGCTCTTCGAAAAACCCAAAACCGCGCCCACAGCCTTCTCCCCCCAATCCACCACCCTGCTCAGCCCACACCACCACTTTGGCAGCCTCAGCATCCGCCTGTTCTACTGGCGCGTGCAAGAAATCTACCAGAAGCGCAAACGGGCCAAAAAGCCCAACAGCTCCATCCCGGAAAACCTGCACGGCCAGTTACTATTCAGGGACATGTATTTCGGCGCCCAAGCCGCCATCGGTGCGCCCTTCGCCCAGGAAGTCGGCAATCCGATCTGCAAATTCGTGGACTGGCATCTTCGGTCCAACCTCAACGAAAACAACCTCCTGGCAGGCGATTACATCGTCGACAATTCGCAAGCAGAGTTATATTTCCGGCGCTGGAAGTTCGGCGTCACCGGCTTCCCCTGGATCGACGCGCTGATGCGGCAGCTGCGGTTGGAGGGCTGGATCCACCATCTCGGTCGCCATGCCGTCGCCTGCTTCCTCACGCGCGGCGGATGCTACGTCCACTGGGAGCGTGGCGCCGAGGTCTTTGAGGAGTGGCTGATCGATCATGAAGTTGCCTGCAACAGCGGGAACTGGATGTGGCTGAGCTGTACGGCTTTCTTTTCCCAGTTTTTTCGCGTCTACAGCCCGGTGGCGTTTCCGAAGAAAAGTGATCCTGCCGGTGCGTTTGTGAGGCATTTTGTCCCGGAGCTTAAGAACTTCGATCAAAAATATATCTATGAGCCGTGGAGGGCGCCTATTGCTGATCAGAGGAAATGGGGGTGTCTTGTCCAAGGGGATGGGAGTGCAACGCAGACGCATGAGAGGGAGGATGGGTTGCAGGTCTATCCGAAACCGATGTTTGATTTTGACGAGAGGAGGAAGTTCTGTATCGAGAAGATGAAGCTGGCTTATCATGTTGGCATGCAGGGGGATGATCCGAGGGTGTTGGATGGGTCCTGGAAGGAGGTTTTTGGGTATAAGATTGAGAGAAAGGGGGAGGTGAGGGATGAGACGAACGGGGTGGTGTTGGCGGATGGTAGGAACCAGGAGGATGATGAGGATGGATATGGGGATGAGGCCGGGGGGAGGAAGAAGAAGAAACGGGTCAAAATCGCTGCCGATCCGGGACGGGAAGGGGATAATGATAGGGTAAAGAACGGCAAGCACGCAACTGCGGAAAACGACAAGAAGAAGACGCTGCCAAAGCCGCCTGCCAAAGGTGGAAAGGGCCCGAAAAGGGAACAGGCAACGCTGGAGATGATGGTTGGGACGGGTAGAAAGAAGACCAAGAGATGAGATGAGATTCTGCAGGAATGGCCTATTCTTCGACGATCTGAATCCGCCCACCTGGCGCCCATCCTTCCCATCGCTCTGTCCTCCAGAACTCCTTATCTATACCTACCAGAGCCCCTCTCTCATCAAAAGGCATGGCCGAGCATAAAGCCTGCAACAACCGGGCCCTGCCCTTGACAACCTCCAAGGCTCCTTTATTAGAAGACAATGTACCCACCCCGTCGGACGGCTGCTCCAACACTTTGCTCCCTCGGCTGCGATGGCCAGATCCAGCATTTTGAATCGTTGCAAAAGCGATTACCGTGCTGCACCACACCCCCGATGTCTACCGAGGACGCCTAGCACGGAAAGTGCGCGGCACGTAGCAGGACGTGTTTCCTGATCGAGGCGTGCTTCGGTGCACATAGTAGAGCTTAGAGCTGTGGTACTGTACGATTGGTTGCTCCGCTTGGCCCGTAAGTCGTACGCACATGTGCTCGTCACGTGTGATCTGCTATCGGTCCGCTACTCCGGCGGTTCCGCGGGCCGTGTGCGCACAAAGGACCTTTCATCACTTGAAAGGGTTATCTGTTGGGGAGGATCGGTTTGACCAGGTAGGAGGACGGAGTGGGCTGGGTCTGGAAGACCGTTTCTGGATTTGAGTAGGAACGTAGAAAGGAGTGTCCTGCATGGCAGGCTTCGGTCGATGGGCATTGTCAGGTGTCGATTGACTCCTGATCGATGTGCCGAGGAGTTGTAAATGCGTCCGCTCTCGTTCTGGTGAGGTATATGCCATGGGGTACCCAGTGTAGCGATGTTCCGAGACACCAATTCTTTTTTACAGGCCGCCAATGGTGCTGCTACCTCCACCACTACTACTCTCGCTCAGAACCTGCGTCGCCACCACCCTCAGCCTCCGCGTTCACGTAGAAGGCCGCTGACGGCACTGATGCCGGCCATAGGCGTATAGAGATACACGAGCTCGCGGAGATTCTGCCCGTTTCTGACCACAGTCTGATACTCCTCGACCTAGGTCAGTCATGTCGGTCAGGTAGGAGCCAACGAACTTGCTGGTTGTAGGCATTTCCATCCTTGTCGAGGGATTCATCGATGACGTCGCCATTCTGCCGCGAGGATACGGTTGGTGTGCGTGTGTTCCCGCTGTAGTCGTTGGTGGAGTACAGGATGGGGTTTTCCAGCTCGTAGGATACGCGGTACCGCCGGGCTGGATGGTGGAGTGCCGCCAGTAATGCCTTCAACGATACCACCAACGACCTCTCCCGCGGTTTGGCCCAGCCTTGCAAGCACCGGGTTCAGGTCCAGTGATTTCTAACGTATCGTCCATCATCCGCACAAGATTCCCCAGCCGCGCTTCTAGCAGGACCTTGGCGGTGACGTGGAGGATGGAGAGTGACACGCGGTCGACAGATAGGTCCACGCCGGCGTTGAGCTGTAGCAGCTGTAGGACCTGCGCATCGAGATTGATCTTCGCGGTGAGATTGGCGACGTCATTTGCCCCAGCTCAAGAAGGCAACTTGGACTTCAACTTCATCTAATTAAAATGATGATCCTCGCGGGCCGCAATTCAAGTCTACCAGCACTTTTCAACCAATTACTTGAGCTTGACCGTCCTTTCACATTGGATAGATGATGATAACCAGAAAAAGAAAATGTTTAGATATCAAATAAGAATCTAATCCTCTATAATTACCTGATCTCAACCCAATCAAGTTGATTTAGAAGATAACAAAGTAGAAATCAAAAAAATCAGGACTTCATCGTCGATGTAGAAGAATTACGCAGGGCTATTGAGGGGGAATGGTATAAAATCACTCTCCAGGAGATCAATAAGGCAATTAGTACGATGTCAGATCGAGTAACTGCTGTACGAGAGTGAACTGGGCTTTCTATACCCTATTGAATAGATGTAGAATAGTGGTGCAGATGGAAACTGTCAAGAATATTGGCACCTAACTCCGGTCCCTCGTTCTGGGCCTGTAAAAGGCGGGTAATACAAGACCGCCATTGTGATGGCTTTCGCGGTTATCACTCCTTCTCCTCTTCTTACTGCCCATCATCATCACATCATTGACGACATCAAGAAGAGTTCTCAATCATCATATCCAAAGCTCTCCAGGATCTCGATATCGTGGTCGATGTCGCGATGTATTTCAGCTCTTAGTTCTTTGAGTTTTTGGAGTTTCCTCCTAAGCCTCTCTTCCCCAATTAAAGCCTCGCCCCTTCTGGACTTTGTATCCGTCCCTGATTCGTGATTGACTTCACCATTGGACTGTTCCAGCCAGCCTGCAGTGATCCTGTCGTGCTCCGCCTTCTCAACCGCATGTGAACGGGGTACTTTACATTGCTGTGACGAATGTAAAAACTGGTCGCGATGGCAACGTTTTTGATGCGTAAGAAGGTTGTATTTCCTAGGGAAACCTTTCTTATGCCGATTACAAGATACGAAAGGACAATAATGGACCTCTGATCCGTGCACCTCGCGAGAGTGGCGTTGTAGGCCACCTTTGTCGCTAAATCGCCGGTTCTTACAAGAAGACTTTTTGCATAAATAAGATTGACCGTGGTGCCCTTGATATCGCCTGCGACAGTTTAGTATTGTAACTGTGGAGTGGATAGAGAATCTTGAAGCATACTGGAGGATGGAATGTGTTGGGCTGGTGCGCTCGCTGGTGCTGCCAGGTTCGTTAGAAATCAAACGGGCGTCCGATGTATGAGATTCATCTGCTAGTGGAATTTCGATATCGACACCAAGCTTGGCTTCACCCTCTGGGACCATGCGGTTCATACCAACAATGGGAGAAGACATGTCAAGAGCTTGCGATCTAGTGAGACGAATTACTTAGTTCCAGTACATCAATATCCTTCAGGTAGAGGGCCCACTCAAATGAAGCTGATTCGAACCAAGGCTCAAGGGAGCGGAAAGGGTCTGCATTAGAAGCAGTGGGAAGATAGGCTGATAGAGCATTATTAGGGATTATATGTCCACAGGATAGTATATCTCACCTTCACGGAGAGTAGTATCCTCAACCCACAAATAGGAACCCAGATTCAGCTGGTATGACTGAGGGTATTCATCGATGGGGATATTCTGGCCAGGTACATCGAACTGATTGAGATCATTCGAAGCTGTGAGATCATTCGAAGCTGTGAGATCATTCGAAGCTGTGAGATCATTCGAAGCTGTGTTGGCTTAGGGCATGAGAAAGGTCGGGTGGTGAGAGTATACTGACAGTATGATGATATATTGCCTGGCTGGACAATGGGTAAACTGGAATAGAGATTTTTGTTAGCATTGAAGCGGTCCATTTTGAACGGAACTAGACGACGAGGTATTCTGACCTTCATCAACTTTAGCGAACATAGCATCTTAAATATTAATTTTGGCAGATAGTAGAGGTAAGGTTTGAAGTTGCGATGTAGTAGAGGTAAGATCTGAAGTGACGGGAAACCGATGGTGAGAGATATCGACCACTCTTTAATCCTTTACGGCCTCTGTCAGTCGAGATCTGAGTTTACGTGCGCATCGAAGGAAATAGGACCACTTGCGAATCGAGGCGAAATGATTGGTCGATTTAAATGAGCCGGAATGTCTAGCCTTACTCGTCGAGACAATAACCCAACTTTCAAGGTAATATGCCTCACTTCCGAGGCATTGTGACTAACTCTTGAAGTAGTCCCAACTTTTGAGACCGTACGCCCAACTTCGGAGGCAGTATGCCCAACTTTGGAGGCGGGAACTAAATTGAATGAGGCAGTACACCCAGTCTTTGAGGTACAATGCCCGCATGGACAGCCAAACAGTCAGTCCACGTTACGTGCGGCTAGTTGAGGCTGAAATGCCCCCTTTTCCAAGCGCCGCTAGCTGGAACCTGGAGATGGCTAGCGAAACATCAATGCTCAGACTTAACTTCAACTGCGTATCAATCTTCCCAGTACAGGATCGCAGCGTGTAATCACTGTAATTTATACATGGCAGATATCTTAGGAGATGGCTGAATATCTTGTATCTTGTATCTAATATCTAAATTCTTGAAGATCCTAAATCCAAGTACACGCGCTGATTACTACGGTACCAGGCATAGGTATTGTTAGCTTCAAGCTAGGTACTTTGTACCTGACGCCACTTTGACGAAAATACGGAGTACACCTTACTTAAAAGATATTAATCTGATAGCTCCTTCCATCTAGACAAACTATAATCATCACTAAGGGCTCAAGACTTACTGGCGCTCTGGAGAACGCTGAGCCTCTGTATCCAAAACTAGCTGCTACTAGCTTGGCCTAACAATACTTATGCCTCTAGGTGCAAAGTTCCTTCGCGTAATCCTGCGTTTTGCCTGCCTTTGGTTGGTCAATTTCTACTGCAATTTCGCAGCCAACTTCGTTGTAACGTAGTACTCCGTATCCATGGCCCAATGGGTGGAGCTTTTCAAGCCTCACCTACAGGAGTAGTGACCCCTGTAAGCCATGCGCTGCGCGCGGGGCTTACAGTGAGGGCTCCACCCATTGGGCCACGGATAACTCCGTACGACACAGTTATCCCCTCCGTGCCCGAACAGGGGTGTAGAATGCCTCAATTAGCGTCGTCGATCTCCTTATTTCGATGTTGCTACAACTTTTGCTTGCTCGAACGCCTTTGATAGATATTCGGGAATAAGTGTCTTCAAGAGCAAAGCTTTAACTCACTTGTCAAATGATTTGTCTGATAATATATTCATTGAATGCTGGTTAGACGATGTCCTGTGAGCGACCTTATTTGAGCTTAAATTTCACCAAACGCGCTAATTGAGGCATCGGGCACGGAGGGGATATCTGCACTCGCTGCGCGCCTTATTTAGAATCTACCATTGGCTATCTCCATTTTCATTCCACATGGCCACGTTCAACATTTGGGTGTCTCTCAATGATCAGCAGCGCTACGTAATAGACACGAATCGCGAAGGGAATAAGGGAAATAGTTGCCAATTTTGAGCCTCCTGCAAAGTCTCATATGGCCGCAGTGGAACCACCATCATTCTTTCGGTCACTTCGGACTTTCGGACCGGGCTCAGCCACGCCGAGATAATCCCTTTTCGCTCAATCCAGCTTCAGCTACGGAGTACTCCCTACTCACTTGCCAATGCAACTATCTGTCCCGTATCTTCCAACAGGCTTTAGCTTCACCGGCTCTCTCTCCCTTTCAAGCCCCTACCTGTGATGCTGTTCTATCCCGAGAGATCCATCGTTGTCCTGGCTAGGCGAAATCGTTTTGACTGGTTAAAAGAGTAGAGACGAAAGATTTGACGCTGGAACTGTCAAGATAGAAACTATCAGCAAATGCCGGGTAGGGTAATAGGTATCGGCCTAGAGGCCGCAGTTGTAGTGAGATTTCTTAGTTTTAGCATCGAGCTCTTTGGGATTTGCAATATGTTACTAGGTCTTCCTCACCAGTAGTGGGGGAGAGCGTCATGCTTCGACTGACGAATAAAGTAAGGTTAACTTTACATTGATTTTTCCATGTACAACATGTTCCTCAATCTTGAGCACATATCCGTGCAACACGGAAATGGGTAACCTGAAATCTACAAGATCCGCCGGTGTACGGAGTATTTGGCTATGACTAGACCATGTGGCGCTGTTGAGAGGAAAGACACGAAGGTCCAGCTGATATCAATAGAGCTTGCAGTAATAAAGGCAGTCATTCGTACTCCAAACGCTCAGTCTTCAAGAAAGAAGTTGATATCGTAGGCGTATTAGTAGGTATTGCAGCGCCGCTGGTGGGTTTCATATCAACCAGCAATGCTTGAACCAAGGCGGATTCCGTCGTCATACTTGGCTGTATCGAGAGCCGGCCGGTCTAACACTTCCTATGTGTTGATCCGCACATTGCTTGTGATGGTGAGTTAAGAGCCAGCTTAGGAAAGAGCTCCCGACCAAAGTCTCCAGACGATCATGAGATTCTAGATGATGGTGATGATTTGCGGTTCCTGCTGCTCAAACCATGTACGAGGGTCGATCTTTAGACCTACCCAGGCTTCGAAGCTTCCCACTCGACGATACATGCCGTCATCAGTTGGTTTCAACAGCAATCCTGCAAGATCCTGCATGGATTCTGAGCGAGTTCGCAGTGGAAGGCAATGAAATATCTCCATATCGCTTGGTTTGTCATCCAGGGTGTCAGGATAATGTGTGATGGTAACGCTGCTTAAGTCTGCGTGTATCCGACTATCCCGGAATTCCATAGATTTGGAGTCTTCAGACCAAACACCTTGAATGAGAAAGCCTTTTATCTCAAGGGAGCCGCTCTTGACAGCACCGAAAGGTATATTGGAAGAGGCAGGGATGGTCTGACACTTCTGAACCTGAGCAAGAAAATGTCCATTGCCATCTTCGAAGACTTCAGCTCTATGCTTCCCATCTACAGCAGCCCAAGACCATGCCGGTGCTCGATAGAATATGGGTCTCGTCATCAGTGTATCTTCGGAATGAACCCAATTCAGGACCTTTAGGAGGAATTTATGCCAGATTTCTGCACAATATGCACCAAGGGTGGATCCATAACACTCGTGATAGTGTTCTGCAAGAGCTGAGATAGCAATTAATTCGTCCGTCGAGTCTGTCATTTGACGGCCGCTATAATCTTCGATAATAGTTCTCCAAGAATCGTCAATTTGATGAGGTTGCGGTTGTTGGGACGTGTGACTTAGCAAAGGTTCCAATCCTTCATCGCTCAAGTCAGAGGCATATATTCTGCCATCAACTTGTTTGCCTTCTTTGCACTGCCATATCAGCCCTCCTCCAGAAGGGAATATGATGGCTCGACGACTAAGAAGCCGCTCTTGTAACACCCAAGCTCGCTGATGAAGAGGTTCCTTCCATGGGCAGAACGTCGTAGGATCTTGCTCCACAGTTATCATATTTCTCTGACCGTAGGTATCGACGTAAGGCACTGTACACATTTTGAGGAGCTGCTTTTCTGATGGATATGTCGAAGCCTGCGACGCCACAAGCATTGCATTGCCGTCCGTTTCTACAAAACTGTCTTGCACGGACGTCAATCCCGTGGGTTGTATGACTAGGGTTGCGTCTTCGTAATATTGACACATTTTGACTATCTCTGCTGCCTTGTCCTGTAGAGAATCTTGAAATTTACATAACGCATCGACCCAAAGGTATCTAAAACCAAGTTCTTTCGTCACTGTGACTGCATCCTTTAAGGTCGGCGGGAGAATATCGTTTTTGATCCCTTTCTGGAGAGTCTTCAATGTCGAAGATGTTAGTGTCATCTGTTGAGGTCCTCCCCACCTGTATGAGAGAGCAATATAGCGCGCCGTCTTTTTCGAATTGCTCGAGTGGATATATATGCTTGTTTCATCTTCAAGCGACAGATCTAGGACACGAGTTGGAAGATAGGACGTGCTACCCTTAGAACACTTCCTGTGAGAGGTCTGGCATTCTTCAAGCCACATTCGACATCTGTGAGCATTGAAGCTGTGAGACCCGATTCCGGGACGTGGCGCCTGTATGAAGAGATCCGAGGCAACGCCTTCTGCGAAAACAAAAATTAGTTCATATTATGATAGAAAAGATAGTGGTATTCCTAGTCAAGCTCACGAGACATGGTAGAAACACCTAGCCTGAGGCACGGCGTGGTTTGACCGCATCCATGCCGGATATTGATCGATATAAATTGTATCCGTGGAGGCGAGTACCACTTAGGTTGCGCCCATAAACGCATCTGAATCGCATAAGACGGACACGGATCTCTGCCTTCCTTAGGTGTTTGAGCAATGTGTTTCCACAACAGGGTACACCAACGACATCCATTCCCAGCAGCAGTGCGAAGGTCCGCTGAAGCGACAGCGTAGTTCGCGGCCTCCCAGAGACGAATGTAGCCCCGAGCCAATTCGATATGTTCACCACGTTTCAACAAACCTTGCCAGAAATCAGGTCCCCAAGTGAAATCCAAACAGCGTCTGCATAGGTTGAATTGTGACGTATCTGAAGGGAATGTAAAGGCTGGTCAGTTATTGGAAACGTGAGTTGAGTTTACACAAGCACTCGTTAAGCTACCAATCTACTCACCATTCTCAGACACATCGGAGTCCCTCGAAGGTGTAGTGTTGAACTTGCTGACTAATCGACGGATCAGTGTTGAAATAGCAAGTTGTTCTATCTAATTCAGTGCGCAGAGCGAGCATTTATACGTACAGAGTTGCTATATCAAGAGAAATAGCGCGAAATGCAGATACCAAAAATACATGCGAAACGCGTAACAGGTCTGTAACAAAACGCATATGAAACGCGTAGCAGGATAGCACAAACCGTATTTTTGAGTTCAACATGTAGTAATATGCGGGTCTGTGTTTTCCATTGTTATATCGGAGGTATCTCTATTAGCACGTTGTTGATGAGGGGGATGAACGGAATTCTATCTACTCTGCAGAATCTATCTAAGCGGAATGCGTTCGGAACGGTATATTCAGAACGGTATGTTCGGCAACGGTAAATATATTCGGCGTTTGAGTCTTGGCGGGTAATTTGCCATACAAATTGCTAGCAAATCCACCCACCTTGACTATAAGTAATATGAAGATTTTACACAGAAATTGATACATTCTATCGACATTGTTGTGACTTCTCTATTAGGAAATAGATATAGGAAAGGTGGTTTTACAGACATCGCTTTATCCTCTAGCCTCTCTGCCCCTCCTCTACCCCTGCCCTTGTCCTGCCCTACACCCTGTTTTGGCGCTTTTCCGAACGATAGCGAAGCCCTGTGATAAAGCCCAGCCTTGAAGATGCTCTTGACACACGTTTGGATTGACGAAGACCTCATTGGCGATAGGGGGCAGCAAGAAGGAGGAGGGGAGAGAGCGGCGAAGGAGAAATGGTAGCGACGGCGGTGGAAAGGTGATGGACAATAGTACAGACTGTTAGGACGATAAGAGTGGTTCCACGTGAGATGCTTTACGAGAGAGATGATCGGCAAGGAGCTACAGGAATTAAATTTTGGACGTAGCGCCACCCAATAATGGTGTGCTGTACGGAGTAGTTAAACCCGCACTCTTACACAGAGGCCGCAACTCAGCTGAATCTTCCCCCCAGTTTTCTGAGCATTACATACCCTTTAGTTATCTTCAATCGCGCGCTCTTCCTTTCGAGTATTGCAAACCCTAACATGGCAATTACAATGCGTAAGAGGCATGCTGAGGCAGACGTTTACCGCCCTCTTATGGAGTCACGGCAAGAGATTCGACTTCTCAGAATCCATGCCTCTCTCAGCTTCAAGTCACCGATTAAATGCGATCTAATTCAGACACCACTCGATCATGCACTGGACTTTCAAGCCCTGTCATATGTATGGGGTAATAAAGTGGACAAGTCCTCCATCAGCGTTCTGGGGACAGATTTCCCGGTCACGAGAAACCCTTTTGAGGCATTAATCAGGCTGCGTCAAAAGACTAGAACACTGATCATATGGATCGATGCGGTGTGATCGATCAATCGAATCATGTAGAGAGGAGTGCTCAGGTGAAACTGATGGGACGCATATACCGACAGGCGAAAGGAGTTCTTGTCTGGCTTGGCGAAAAGATAGGTAATAGTGATTTAGCTTTCAGACTCATTCGAACGTGGGCCAAATATGCACTTGACAACAGACCGGATACCCTTGTTCAGCTTTACAAGCACACCGAATTCGAACCATATGTATTCGACTACAGAGCATGGGATGCAGCGAAAGAGCTCTTCGAACGAGATTGGTGGTTTCGAGTTTGGGTCAGTATCTTACAATTGAGCAGACCGAATGCTGACTTTCTAGGTGTACCAGGAATTCGTGCTAGCGCAGGAGGCAACGTTCGTATACGGTCCGGATAGAATAAGCTGGCTGGCTCTACGCCACGCCATGCAGGCATGGACATATGTGCAATCACCAACGGTCACAGGATACTTTACCATCGCCTACCGCCATCTGGTGGAGAACTGCCGTTTTGAGGTGGCACGTCAATTCATAAGTGATCGGGAAAAGATGGTAGCAGCGCACATAGGAACCAATCCCCATTTATTAGCTCTACCTTGGCTTGTTGACAACCTTCGATTCCTTAGGTCTACAGACCCGCGCGACAAGGTCTACGCTTTACTTGGGGTTGCGGACACTGAGAACCTTGTCATTGACATAGACTACTCCAAGTCGGTGCACGAGGTCTACGCCAAGTACATCTGGGCTGTGGCTCAAAAGGATCATTGTTTGAATGTTCTAGCGCAAGCTGGACTTGCAAGAGATGGACGATCATCAGATCTCCGTCTGCCATCTTGGGTTCCGGATCTTAGGACTGCATGCCTTGCTACTACCAAACTCCAGCAAGCTGAACACTGGCCATCGGGTTGTGAGACTGCCAAATACGACCTCTCTGCCGATCTCTCTACTTTGACAATCTCCGGATCAACATTTGATTCAATTCAAGAGCTTGAGCAAGAACTTCACTCAGGGCCTAATACGGATCTTAGGGTTTGGAGAGATCTAGCATTCAAGTCTGGCCTCAAAACGCATCCGGCAGGTATTCCATTGCACCAGGCATTCTTCCGCACTATAATCTGAGATAGTGATCCAACTTCACAAAAGAGTTACGCCCAAGTAACCAAAGTTACTTGAATGCAGTTGGAATAGTATATTAATCCTTAATCCAGATGCCCTAGAGAGAGTCGGACCACGACTCCATCTAGGCCCCAGGAGGCCTCCATGTCAACTCCGTGACATAATCCAGGATCTTCCTCCTTCCGAAAGTGCGTCAATTGATTCTGTCGCCAACTATCAGGGGCAGTTGGTGCAGCTTGCTATTGGGTATATTCTTGAAGAGGGAAGAAAATGTCAAAGTAAGGAGTATCTGCGAAGAAAGGGGAAATTTATTACAGCAATAACTACCTTTCCAATATACGTTAGGGTTTTTCTGGCTTTGAGTGGCAATATACCCGAGTCACTATCAAATCTTACAGAGGAAGCCATTATGGAACCATTCCTTGGGCAAGCAGACTGTCCATCGTTTCCAACATTTCATTCGTTAGCTAACAAGTCTTCGTATAGCCTTCCGGCATGTATTCGTCGTTTCTTAACAATATTTTCGAACAATGGGGCCGAAAGATACTTTTTCATTACTCCAAAAGCTATATTGGACTTGCCCCAAAATCTGCCTGTATTGAAGATCGATTTGTCTTATTGATGGCTGCAAAGTACCGCTACTCTTGCGCAAGGTTGGAGATCACTTCGTGCTTGTTGGGGATTGCTACGTCTACGGACCCATGGCTGGGGAGATGGCGACCCAGATTCGGGAAAAAGTGCTGCCACAGGAGAAATATAATCTTCATTAGAATGGATGAGATTCTGACAACGACGTCAAAAAAAAACCTCTAACTTAGAAGATGACATAGCTAGGAAAGCGTGTCTTCCATTCTTCGCTTCCAAGATGCATAGATGTTGAAGATGAGGCCGCCAGAGCCAAAAAAAGCCACAGACCTAAAGGTAACAGATAGCGCAAGCGGATCAGTTTTCATGAGCAAGTGATAAGAGAAAGTGGCCCAAAATGTCCGCATGTGCATTGCCGGTTGAAATTTAAACATCAAAGGAAATAGCTTATGTTGAACTTCTGTCAGGGCCTATGGGTCAATTTTTGCTGTATTAACCCTTTTAATTTGCCCGTGCGTCATTTGTTGAATTCTGAAGCAATCTTGGAGCTGATATTGCTGTACGCGTATAGCTAATCTGTACATAATTTTCCGCCCTCTACCCCCTTATGTAGAGACCAACTTGCTATCTTTACGCACTCTGCACAGCAGGTTGTGTTACGGCACAACCTGCGCTATGGCCCAAAGGGGCATTAGGGCAGGACATGGCGTTGGCCAAGCATTCGGTGCTCCACGAGCGCTATACCGCATCCGGCCTTAGGCCTGAGGGCTAGGGCAAGCTTGGCGCTCCGAGCGCTCATATCTCTCTACGCCTCCATAGCACTTAGATACTTCATCCATCGCCTTACCACACAGTCATACAGTAGTTCATACGCAGCTATTTCGTGACTCTCCTGCTTCTATAGCAACCCCATACCCTGTTCCACGGTATTCCTTGTAACAGGTGGCTCACTTTTCTTATCAAGGAAGCACAGTACTAGTTGTGTCGTACAAGGCTCTTACCCAAACCAGGAGTCTGCAATATACAGTCCAACCAGTCTGCTCCAGCTCACGTTTTGCTTTTTGACAAAATGGATATCGTTGGCCAGAGGTCGGGAGTGGGTAGACACGGCCAAATCTTTTCCCTCGTCGTGGTAGTCTTCGTTTGACTCGATGTCGAGACAACAGAGGTAGGAAGCAGAGTGGGTGGATTTGTTCGCCCAATCCATTGACGATCCTTTCCTCGCATCTAGAATAAGCAAATGTTCCCCACTATCACCTAAGACCTTCAAGACAATGAAACCACTCGCAAGCATTGTTGACAGTTTGACAGGAACATCGATACTGAAACCCTCGGCAGAATCCGATCTGTTACTGAACATGCCATTGTAGGGGCCTCGAGTAGAAACCATGGAGCCATTTTCACTGTGTAAGAGCTTTGTGAGGATCATCTGCTCTGACACGCCCGTAACATCGGCCAAATCTGTCACAGAATCGCAGATGACTGTGCCGTGAATAAAATCGTGCCACGGCCACTCGCTGACATACCGACTCTTAGATGCGATGATAATGACACCCGCAAGGAGCCAAGAGAAGGCAGTGATCTGGAATGGGTCCACACCAGCAATTCTCGTTCCAACTGTGAATGGGATCGCCAAGGCTCCAGCGATAAGAACAAAACAGATGAGCATGACTGTTAAGACGTAGCCTCTACATCTTAGTTCAATAGCATTGGCGTGAAAGACCCAGGAATCCATCTTGGAGGCCTCCTTTTTGTATTCCTGTAGAACTTCGTCGCTTTGGAGTTCATCGGCGACGATTTTCTTTGACCGCTCGATCCAATCGCCATCGAGCGTTGTTCCGGCTATTCTAAAGTTAGGCGGCTCTTAGTGCAAATGGATGGGATTGTTACCTCTGATTCTCTTGTGCAAAGGACTCCGCGAAAGTGGAATACAACCAAGCTGGCTCTTCGGATCTTTAACACGAAGCTGCTTTGCCAGCCATGTAGATGTCGCCAATGTGCACCTGGCTTGGAACTTGTTGACTTTGACGAGCTTCGGCAACTCCCAGTCCTCTGTGTCATCATACAGACCACCCTCCTGCATTAACGACTCTACATCATCCGCAATGCGCGGATTGGAGAGCGAAAGAGGTACCATGATAGATATGAGTTCGGCTGCGTTGCTCGTCTCCAACGTATCACTCTTCACACTATTGCCTTTGGTCCGTCGCCAATCGATGGTAACTACTTCAATATCTGCCCGTTTCTCTATTGGATTTTGAATTTCCAAGTCTTGCTTTCTCGGAGGTCTTGATCGTTGATCTGACTGTCTTTTCATATGCTCGAGGTTGGTAATCACTGTGTCTAGAGCAAAGTAACAGCTTCCCACTGCTGCATTCTCTGGGGAAACCCAAACATCACCATCTCTATCTTCATGCAGCGCGACAAGGGATCGCTCAAGACCGGTTTCGTATGCCACTGTGCACATCTGAAAATCATTGACGTCCCTTCTCGGTAAAGTTCGAGGTGAAAAGGCTCACGGCTGCGGCATGGAATATAGGTTTCAGATTATACCTCCTGATGTAGCTCCTCAGATAATAAATCCTCGTGGGGTCCTCGTGGTCATCAAATTCAATGTGTACTTCCTTTGCCTCTTGACCGTCCGAGTTTCTCATCACCAGAACACTCTTTCTGTCTTCCCTTTGGATCAATTGCTGGACCGCATCTTCCGCATTGTCAAGGCATTCTTGAGCATTGACTGCCGAGTTGTAATAGAGTGTCTTCAGTTTGACAGACCACGCCGAGAGAGTTGCCATAACTCTTGTTGTCTGTCCCTCTGGTAAGCCGCAATCCACGAGATGGCAGACAACAGCTGCGGTGATATAATCCACTAATGCGAAGTATCCTTCTCTGTTTTGTGATTCCGGCTTCAGTATAACCGGTTCCGTCGGTTTGGCTTTTCCTTGTTTGGTGAATCGTTTCCTTAGCAGCTCTGAGACTGTTTTGTATTCCTTCGCACACATTTTAAGTATGGATTCGTTTGAACAATTGTCCAGAGTTAAGATGATATTGTCAAGCCTGAGAATCGCAAAATTGCAAAGCAGCTGGTCTGCAAGATGAGACAGCTCCCGTATAGATTCCTTGGTCAGTCCCCCTAATACTCCAAGGTCATTGAAAAGGACGGGCTCTTCCGTAGTAACGGCCTTGATGAGTCGCCTAATCTCAATGTGCACAAGAACGTCACGTTGGCCATCGTTGTCCAAACCGTATCGCGCTGCATCGTCGTATCTTGGGAGATCTGTGAAGACTGTGGCTCCAATCGTGACTTTCTCGTTATTAACAGTCTCTTGGAAAATTTTCTCCTCAGATAATTTTGATTTTACATCACTTCTGTCCTTGCCAGTATGCGAAGTTTGATGCCGAGTTGGGCTTTGGGAAGGTTCGACGGGCGCCGTATTTTTTTGGGACCTGTCGCCCTTAGCAATGCTGTGTACGCTAATATAGAGTAACAAATACTGAAAGGATTGACCAACTGGGAACTTCCACTAGTCCAAGTACCTATGGGGAGACCATGGACTGTTTCGGTGGATTGTGACACGTATTGCCGTCCGTCATGTTGATTTTTCATGGTGAACAACTTGTTCAATAACAACTGTGATTGTTGTGTGAAATATGTTCAGTAGTTAAGAATAATGATATCTGATTACTTGGGAAAGTTTGGGAAAAGGAGGTGAAGGCTCTAAATGCGCGTCAAGGTTAGGGTAGCCAAAACCAGCTGACTTCCCCGCAACTGAGAGTGCACAGTGTGCTTTGGAATCAGCGGCTCTGTGGTCAGATACAAATCTGTTCGAGTTGCCCTTTGCATCAGGTGCTCCACCCAGTCAGAGCTCCCAGGGGGATAGAGAGCATAGATCTAAGTACAACTGGCTGTGCCGGTACTCCGTAGAACTTAACTAATAGAAAGCAGGCGGAGCGCAGAGATTACGCGAATGACACCTGGCCAATAGACCCTCTCAGAAGATCAACAGTTTGTACTACGTAGTAAAATAGCATTGAGCTGAAATTTGGTGGCTTGAAGATTTTGGTAGTTATGGAGATATCGGCCCTAAAACTGTTGCCAACGGGGGTGTTGCCCAAGTCAGTTAGTCCCGGTACTTCTGCCTGGTACCGGACTAGTTCCCTGTGGTGTCTGGGATGAGTTATAGCTAGTCTTAAAGTGTGTTGTAAGATAGCCGGGGCTAATATTAATAACTAACGCTCTGATTGAACGGTGCATTACGTTATCAATATAAGTGCAAGGCAGACACTTTCGTAGACGTCCAAGGCGTCATTACTACTTCCACAAGCAGACATCACACCAAAAAATCGGCGATCGCTTCGTCCTTGTTCGTTCTACAACCTTCCTGCCAAGCATCATGGAAGCGGCTAGCTAATTGCGGTTGAGGCTGAATGAGCCACATTGCGCTATTCTCTTTCGCCTCATATTTCCTAGTGCACATGATAAATCATTATTAAATTGAAGAAGTCGTTAGAATTCCAAAATGCGCTACCCATATTTCTTTTACTACAATCTCATTGCTTGGAATCTCCAGCTTTCGGCAGCGGGAAATTCGCGCTAGGAACATGTCCACGGAAATATACAACAAGGCGCTAAAGGCAACCAAAAGCGCGCAAGATGAAAAAGCGTCTGTAGCTCCTGAATACAAACCTGAGTTAGCGGACATCACTGAGCTTGAGGATCGTTGGGGATACGTCAAAAGGACAAGTCGAACAGCTGACCAACGCCAATATCTCGATGATGACCGCTACGCCAGTTACGCAATGGTCCTGCGCCGCCGCCTCAACGATAAAGAGCAACCAAAATTCACCCAGCTTGAGATTAGGTCGCCATTGATTCGAAAATTGTTGCAAGTTGTGTGTGGAGATAACGACCTTGTGAATACCGCCGCTTCCGTCATCATCATCAGTTCGCCGTATCTAGCTTTGTTTCTTTATCGAAACGAGATACGCAAATATGTTGAAGAGTGCAAACCAGAAGCGGATAAAATTCACGTATCCATTTTGGTCGCATTTATTAACAGACACCTGAAGGTCGTTGAAAGCGAACTGGAGAGACTTCTCCCCTCTTACCGAATATCCTTTGCTATCGCATGGACCCTACTGAGACCAGGTACAATAGTAGTGGCTCAGCGCGACTACTACGAAGAGTGTTACGTGGTCGAAACACTCAACATAGTTCAGACCCAAACCGGTCCTGAGCTTCATGTCAATGTGCGTGGATGGGATTACAATGGGGCAAGGTTCGGGCCGGTGGCAAGAACGATGATAATCCCTTACTTTCCGGGCGTTCGTCAGATTACAGCGCTTGAAATCTATCCCATTTCATTCCACCAAGAGAAAGACGGAGGAGACTTGAGCAAGCGACTCACTGAAAGAGGCTACAAGTGGCGGAAGATGCTTAATAAGACGCACAAATCCTACAAAGGCAAGTTGAGTAGACCACAACTTGAAGTCGGCTGATAACACAAACTCAGATCTTGCATGGACCACTCCTTTCAATCGCGCCGAATCTGCTAGCGTTGAAGGCTTGGTGGCCCGACACGTAAGATACTTACTCTTGCCACGATTTTGTTGGTCACTAACATGCTACAGTATTCCGGTCGAGTGATGCTGGACTACACCAGTCACCAGCAAGCCAATCCCAGCCAAGCGACTATACTTTCAGAATCCAGCGCAAAGGCAGGAACTGCAAATAATACCAAAGATTCGGAAGCCGTTGACATACCTACAATCAAGGATCATCATCTCTCATACCCAGATGACTCGACCTACGAAATGACACCTGACCAGGCTTTTCTCTGTCCTGCACGGATACGTGGCTTCTCGCTTACCGATAAAACCTGGGCATTCTTTCTCGTCGACAGCGTAAACGATATTAGCTGGGGAGAAAACACCTTGAAGCGGCTTGAGATAGATCCAGAGATAAAGGAAACTCTCAAAGCTTTGGTCAATACTCATTCCAAGAAGGAAGGTCGTTTAAACGGCACTCTCGATGACATCATCTCCGGAAAAGGGCAAGGCCTCGTTTTTCTACTTTCTGGAGCACCTGGGTTGGGAAAGACTCTAACAGCGGGTGAGCTTTCTGGATTGCAATGTTATGCCGTTCGCGAAATTGTTCTAACTAGAAAACCTAGAGTGTATAGCCGAAGAACTGCAGCTCCCGTTGTATTCCATCACAAGCGGTGAGCTCGGTACCGATGTAGCAAAAATCGACGTCCAACTGCGAAATTTGTTTAGCCGCGCCAGGTCCTGGCAGGCAATCCTTCTCCTGGACGAAGCCGATGTTTTCCTAGCGAAACGGCAGACGGCAGATCTGAAACGCAACGCTCTCGTCTCAGTCTTTCTCCGCTCAATCGAGTATTATCAGGGTATCCTGTTTCTCACAACAAATAGGTCAAAGGTAGAACTGATATTTAATGCAACCACTCAATCCTTTCTCTCTCTCTCTCTCTCTCTCTCTGTCTCTCTCTGTCTCTCTCTGTCTCTCTCTCTCTTTCTCTCTCATGCAAATCATTTTTACAAAACTTGCAATTAGGGAACTATATCAACTAACCACATCATTATCTCAGGATTTCGACGAAGCATTTCAAAGTCGCATCCATTTCAAGATCCATTATAAACCGCTAGATGCAAAGCGAAGAGCAATTTTGTGGCGGAATCTACACCAGAGTTTGAATGGGTCAAACGGATCCATGTGGGATGAAGCCGTGTACAGCCGGTTTGGTCAGGAGTTCGAAATTAACGGTAGGGAAATAAAGAACATCTTTAACACAGCTATATCGGTGGCAGAGTACGATAAGGAGATCCTAAAAGAGGAACATGTTCGGCGGGTATATGATCTTAGTTTGATATGGAGGCAAGGCGCTAATGAGGAGGAAACATCAGTAGATTAGATGAATATTTATACTTCACCAGACCAACTGGTTTAAGACACAATAAAATTTTCAAAACTTCAAGTAAAGCAAACTCCGCAACCCTGCCCCAAAAAATAGTTCGTAAGAGCTTTGCAAGCAATGTACCGTAGAAGGAAGCTAGCAGTTGCAGCCGAGTCCGATGATGAAGTGGATGAGTGGAATTCTATCTACCTGCAGAATCTATCTCTAGAAGGAGGAGAGGCTAATACTACTACTGCGCAGAGTGCGGTCACGTGACGCCAAGGATTTGGCTGTACGCGTACTATCGTTAGTACGTAAGGCCGATTCCACATCCGAGAGGCCCAAAAAAGTTGGAACACCTGGGTCTTGCTGACTCCTCAGTCACCTACTCAGCCTCTGCCCAAGGCTGCTCAGACGGCGCTCAGTCTCGGCTCAGTCTCGGCTCAGGTTGAAGCAACGACCGCTCCCGGGCTGGAAACAGAACAGGAACTTGGTGAGATCAATTTTGGCGTCGTATGTAGCGCTAGATGTTCGCAGTCCTGTTGGTAAGGTCGAGCATCTATCTCCCTTAGTATATACTATTTTAGGGTCAGTACCCACTCGGGTGACCGGCTGGTCTCTCTCTCAAACTTCGCGACCAGTATTCAGCATTTCCACACCTACCTAGTCATTACATCATGTCTTGGCGATCTGTGGTTCGCAGCATTCGTAGCCTCCCGCTTTGTTTCTTGGTGGTTACAATGTTGAGTATCGATGACTGAGTGTGGAGCAGGGAAATAGATCACAGTTCGAGTCGTGATCATCAGGACTGTCTTGATATTTAAAATATCTATTTGTCTTTCAATATCAACCCCTTTCTTTGATGCTAGACGGATACAACAGAAGGAGGATATGGTTGCGACAGGAGACCCGAGGACATGGCAGGGATGTTGTTATGAAAAAGCTATCATTCCATCGCGACGTGGGCATCTTTGTGTTCTCCTCTCATCTCCCGGATCACGATTCAATATTGTTACCCTACCCATGAGATTTCTGTGGGTTTATCTCTACAAGAAGAGTCTTGAGACAGACAAGAGACATGCGTATCTTGATCTTCCCTCCGACCAGATGTAGTAGGTCGAGGTCGCCAAGGGAGGTTCTATACTAGTAATAGTCCAAGAATTGTTCGCTCTGAAGCTCCCCTTTTTGCAATGCCTGTTCAGCGGGCTACTCCTCGGTCAGCTGTGTTCACAACGAGAGTATTGTTCATCCAGCGCATAAGAGTTGCAAAGCTTCCTCATACCGCCAGGACTTCGCTCTGGAGCAACCTCGCCATCCCATTTTCCCATTAATGGCACCTCGATCGCTAGCGCGCCCAATCTCGATTCACGGCGTGGGCAAGTCGATGCGACTTGCACGATACGAAGCGAGCGCGCTTGAACGCCCTTCCCCCCAGCGCTCAGCTCTTGGCAGCCTAAGGAGAGGTACCATAGTAAATCTGCTCCGCACTCACCTTGATGCTCAACCCACCGAACGCCGCTTTTACCACCACACCTCACCCATATATCACCCAGCCAGGGTGATTAGTGGGTGAGCATCGCGCGACTCTGCCTTGGATTTCATCGTCGCTGTTCCCTCGACCATGACGGTCGACCCGAGGAGCTAAAATTTGGTGCCAGAGAGCACAGGAGCAATTTGCTCGCTTCATGCCACAATGCAAAGACTTAAACCTGCCGCCCACCCCCCCTTTTTCTTCTTTCTCCTCCAAGGTTGGACTCTTTGGAGCATGCCTTGTTTCTCACATCACAGATGTTTTTATGATCCATTCTGGCCCTTATCTTCTCCATTAATCTTTATCAACGATATTTCCGTGCCCTTTTTACAGCTGTTATAATGGGCGAGCGAGAGGGTCACTGTCACTGAATTCAATAGCTACATAAAGAGTACATTTAAAACTGACTATGAGAAACACATCCCCAAAAAACACCTCCAGTAGCTATGTTCATAATATAGCACTCAAATCAAGGACTAGCCATTCGTTCACCTGCATCATATCCAATCTATCACGATCATGTCTCCTCATAGTGATCATCTTCAACCCTCAAATCTTCTCCATATTCTCGCCTTGGATGAAAGTCTCGAAGTGCTTCCGGCACCTGAATCCGATCTAGGTGAACCTTGCTACAGCCCAGGGGACAACTTTGAGTGGCAGTATGCCTCATGCTTCTCGGTAAGCGACCCCAGACCCAGTCATACTCTCGTTCCCTATACTTGTCTTGACACCTAGCGATGCGTCCGAGAAAACTGAAATCCTGCCAAAACCATGATTCTTGCACTGCGTGCCGCTCATTTGATATTCCTTCGGTACAACTTCTCAGATCTCCCTCATCATCGATCCTGTCACTAACAATGAGGCCCAACCGCCATTTTGAATCCAAAGGGCAAAGGTGATATGTTCCCAACCATGAATTTCTGCCACAAGTTTCCTGCTTTGTATCATAAGCCACTTCTCTATGATTCATTTGTCGAGGTTGACTATGCGATCTCGAGGCAGAGGCTCGTGGACGAGATGCTCGCTGATGCATCAACATGATGGCACCCAAATCGTCTTGAACACAATCAACGAGCTCCTCGAAAGGCTCTTTTGATGCAGAAGGTCCATCTCTGAGATCGTAATATCTGGTCTGCATTCTCCTCTCCTCCACAAATTCCCAATGACCTTCATCCCTTTCTTTATCCGTCGGGTTCCATATGATCGTTCTCGGGAGATCGGGTTCCTCGGGAAATGCTCCTGGCGGTGGGTGAAGCTTTAATTTGTAGATACTAATGGGCCTACGAACCAGCAGACTCCAGTTTGCCGGTGTGGGTCCGTAAACAAGTTGCTCAACTCGCAAAGCGTAAGAAGACGCTTGATAGAATTTGGAAATTTCTTCAATGCCGAGTGATTTCCAGACTTGACTCTCCTTATCGCCATAGTCGCGAAGGTCAAAGCCAGCTTGTTGAAGCATCCCAGTCCAGATTTGCATGGTTTCAAATATGATGGCACGAGAATGGTCGGTGACTTGCCAGTATTTTATGTCCAGAGCGTCCATGAGGGGTGTGCTTTCCAATTCTTCTTTTGCCTTAGAAGATGGGTGAGGGTCTATGTTTTGGTATATTCCATCAATATACCACAGACATTTCCTTCGTGCAATACAAGAAGGATCAGCACCGTTATTTAACACACTTATTCCCAGATCAAGCCATCCTTGTAACTCATCTTTCCCAGCACATGCGCGCAAAACCCACGACAGGTGGCATGCAATGTAGTGCAGAACTGAAATGCCATTGATACTTCTTAAAGAGGCAAGCCTCTGATCGGATTGTTGCAAGCCGATGCATTTGAGAAACCCAGATGGCTTTATATCAGTATGGTGAAAGCCGACTCGGACGACAAAGTCGAATCTAATCTCTACTGGGAGGGAGAAGAATCCCGAATGTAAGTTCTCGAGAATTAAGTGGAGACACGGCGTATTAGGGCATAACTTTAGCCAGTAATAACCAAGCTCGGTATCATCAAGATCAGCATCGAAACCAGGAGCCTCAAGGAAAAGACGATACATTTCTACAGCATTTTTGCCGTCATTCAGGTTAACGTACCAACTTAGAGCGCGGCTCAGTACTGCCGCCTGGTCCGGCCAATCTGTTTGATTGAGAAGGTATCGACACACTTCGAGCTGCCCCTTCAAAGCAGCGGCCTAAAACCGGTTAGCCGTAACATACTCCAAAGTTTGGGGCTTACCTCAAGCAAGGTCCAATTGCGCCAACCCTCCTCGTACGTATCTAAGAGTGATGCTTCTCCGCTGGTAGTGAGCCTCTGCATCGCTGCAACATCTCCAAGCTCACAGTATCGAAAAATAAGCGAGTTCTCCGGAACGATGTTATAGGTATGCAAATGTAGACTCCAGAGAGATTGAGAGCTGGTCACCGAGAACTCCCATACGCGACGATAAAGTTGGCTCGGCAAGCGAATGCAAATATGTGCTCTCCTGTTCTTTCGCCGGGACTGCTTTACTGCAAGAGGGCGACCGCATTGTTTATGATCATCGCGGCTGCTTGACATATCGTCCGGATTGGTTTCAGCTTCTCCTCTTAACATCAGCTCCCTTGCTGTGGCTATACGGGAGTCAGTGACGACCAGCTGACCCTGCTGTGGTACTGTTGGAGATTGAAGAAGTCGTCTCAGCTGTTGTGTAATATCGGCGTTTCCTGACCGTATCTCCGCTTGGAGATCGCTCAGTAATGTGCTATTCCGGGCAAGCGTGTCATCATGCGCTTGATGTCGCCGTCTCTGCTCAGCGTCCATATAGATAATATATGCAAGCTCTAGTGAGCTCTTTGCCCTCTCTAGATCATCAAAGAGCTCTTTCACTTCTCGTTCTTTATACACGGTGTACAATTTGCCCCCCACCCTGTTATATGCTGTCATGTAGTGCTCGATCTTGTCCACTAGTTGCTGTATTCGAAGGGTACTTTCTCGAAACGCTGTTATACATCGTGCAAGGAGGGCTCCGCTTTGCGCGTCATACTGCTGGTGATGTTCAAGTAGCTGTAACGCGGCGGCCATAGTTTCGAGGCTGGATACGTATTGCGAAATCGTTTGTGGCGCATTCTTCGCAGTAGAGAGCATTCTTTTGAGTTTCACAGCGCTCCCACTAAGCTGAATACCAAGCGAGACCAAGCTCACTCCTCCAGCAATTACCCCGAAAATTGCCTCAGCACCGGACATTTCAGTCAATGAGCAAGAATTTGGCTGGAAAACTTTAGTGAGAGATCAAGTCAGTTCAATGGGCTGCTATGCCATCATGCGTTGGATATTGCAAAGCTGGCGCGATATAATCTTTTTGCAAGATGCGAAACAGAAAGTTATCCGACATGACGCAAAAGAGGTTAGATCGCTGCATGTAATGAAACACATCCAACGTTACTTAAGTTAGGCCGCAGAATAAGTAATACAGGTACGTCGGCTTGGCGTTGCGGTAGCTGAAAAGTGTTCACAGTTTCATTGACACGTACCGACCTGGGTGGGGGAACTTTGGGTTCTACACCACTTACGTTGCTGGTGATGGTTGGAAAGCACTTTATAGAGAATCTTATGAACTAAATACTTGATTTATTCTTTGAACTGGTGGTATCCAATTCCTAATACTACAGGGGAGGCCTGAAGTAAGTAATATTAGTCTGGTTCTAAAAGCAGCTAGTTCTTAATACGACAACATAGCGTTGTTATTCGTTGCTTCAAAGCTTATTTCTGTGTGCGTCCATTCCGATGAAGTAAATCATTACAGCTAACTTCTTTTGAGCAGAAGCTAGCTGTTCTGTACAGAGTGGGTGGTTTACATGTAAAGACACTAGCGCTGAGCTAACATTACTTCAGGCCCCCCGTAGTACTGAGTGAATCGAGCTACAACACAACCCAACTTTCGTAATTTTTTGAATTGCTCAGAAGTCAAAGCACCTCTGACTTTCGGCACGTACTACGTAGTTTATGGATGTTCGTTACGCAGGTGGGAAAGACGGCGCGATTGATTGGCTTTTAAGAGATATCACATGCTGGGCGAGGCTACCAAAGGGACGCAGCTTTGACCTGTAGGTCGCCCAGTACGGAGTACTGTTGCCTTAAGATGCCGGTTTGGGATGGAGCAGCACCTGTACTCCGTATCTCACCCTGATCGGGGTGCGACCGGGCTGAGCGAGAGTGGCGTCAGCCTAGGCCCTGAGCGGTGGTGAGCTGAAGTCGGGCCAGACTTCCCCATGACTTGGCATCTATTTTAGGAATGTCACGATGGAGCCAAACACATAGAAAAAGCAGAGTTGGGGGAACGCCCAGATGAGGCTGGAAAGCCAAGAGGACGACGAAGTATGGCTCGAAGGTACAAGTACAGTACGCTGGACGGCTTGAGAGGCGAGGTTCTGGTCCTCTACATACCCAAAATCCCTCTCCGTCAAGTTCACACTATTTTATCTACTCACCCATCTGATCCCTCTCTTCTCCGAGAGCGCTGAAGAGGCACCTACCTTCCCATTATAACTAAACAAATCCATCACGACCCCCACCCAGCTCCACTGCCATCTTCCTGACCGAGCATGTCATCGACCTCCTCCTCCTCCATCTCCACCTGGTGGACCAACCTCTCCATCTACGCGCGCGCCGGTCTCGTGATCGGCTGCCTCCTGGCCTTCCTCTTCCTGTTCAGCACCATCGTGCTCTGCATCGTGCGGCGCGGCCGCCTCCTCACCAGCAGACGTCGTGGCGCCTCCGTCCCGAAACCGGCGTACAGAAGCCCCCAACCAGCAGCTGAGAGCAAATTCACGCACAGCACCACGGTCGAAGTCCAGGACGGCGACGAGGGCGCGTACGCAGGGCAGAGTCGTTCCGGGTTTGGGGCTGGGGCGATGCCGCCGCTGTTGGGGGAGGAGGTGGCGTTGCGGGAGTATGATGGGCGAGGGCGTGGGTATGGGTATGAGTATGGGTATGGGCACGCGCATGGGTATGGAGTTGGAGATAAGGGGGATGCGGACGGGTATGCGCGGGAAGAAGGTGTACAGAGAGAGCAGAGGACGTGGAATGCCGTGTGAGCAAATAGGTAGGTAGCAAGCAGTGCTTGACCTGGAGATGCATGAAGTGCTTTTTTTCTGAGCGTTCCTTGTACGGCAGCATTTCTTGGTTCATTATTAGATTAGCATGTCCTAGTATGCGTGGTTTTATAACAACCAGTCTTTCTTCTTGGCTTGGATTGTATCGTCCCGTTCACGCATTGCCCGCAACAAGTGGAAATCAGGCATCTAATATCGATCGACTCGGAGCGCTGTGCCTGACACAACGCAATTAATCTATGTTATTTCCCCCGAGGTTTCTTAGACAGCCAAGCCGGACACCTCTCTTTTCTACTAGGAAAACTGCTTGTTCGGCAAGAAGGGGATGGCAGAAAAGAGCAATACTCGCCAGGCTAGATGTGTGTAGCTGCTACCAAGACCCGGGGGTTTCCAAACACTATGGAAAAGCGGAGTCAAGCACTGTTCTCCCGGTATCTCCACATGGACGCGCCTCGGCACCGATGAGTGTCCAGAACAGGATTAAAGTGCACTGAATGCTCACGTCCAATCTTTCCGTCTGGTGCTAGTAGATGCCCGGCACGATCCTGCTCTTCACCTTGGCGGTATACTTGTCCCAATCAGCACCATACTTCCTCCTGCACTTCTGCTCGTCTCTGCGCTCGCGGTGGATCAGCAAGATGGCAAAGTAGATGATGTAGAAATAGGTGAAGACCATGCCCCAGCCACGTGCATCACCCGGAACGACTTCTCTCGACTCGTTTCCGGTCAATGGGTTCTTGGACTTGTTGATAAGATAGCCGGCAATGCCCGTGGGGAGAGAGTAAGACCAAGACATGATCCAGTCTCCGAGGTAATTGATGTGGCGGGCACGGCCCCACCAGCCGGAGGTGAGCAGTCTTGAGCCATTGTGGGTGGGTATGGACTGCAGGTGCTTTACGCGGGGGTCTTTGGGATCGGTTCGGAAGCGGTTCTTCTCGTTGTTGGAGGCGCGGAAGATGTAGTATCCGAGTGCCTGGACGGCGAGGATGCCGGCGATGCCTGCGGGCCCGAGATGGACGGGGTGGACTGCGAGATAACGTGCCTGCAGGCTGTAGATGAAGGGAAGCCAGACCAGATCACCAAATGAAAGCATGAAGCCGAACCCGTCGGTGGTCACATCGATGGTGGTCAGTATGGCGGGCTCCATGTAGAGAGCATCCAGCACGTATAGCATCTGGAAGGCGGTGATCAGGAGGATCGAGTCGGACACGGTACCGTGCTCGCGATACTGATGGGCGATGAAAGCAAGGTTGAGAATGATCCAGCCCAGCATGCCCGGCCGAAGTTCGCAGAACAGCTTGATATCGATAGACTGTCCACCGATGACAGGAATTGACTCGGGAATGTCGATCCGAGGATTCAACTCTCGTCCGATAAAGAAGTCGTATATCATGTTGCCGCTGCGCCCGCCTTTGGCCAGCTCGCGGTGACTTAGGTTTGTTTGACCCGGGTGTGGCACGCTGAAAGAGACGAGGTACACGTAGATTGCAAGCAAGTACGAGATGATGAGGTTCGTTGTCACGATCTGCGGCAGCTTGTCCCAGATAAAAGTCCACACCGGGAAGCTTGTACCCTGCGACAAAGTTCCAACGGCCAATGCCGCAAGAGTGAGAAGAGCGGAAGGAAAGGCATTAAACTTGTAGCTATGTTGTCCACCGCTGTCCAGTTTCACACCTTTCGACTCCACGCCGGGCAAGATCAATTGCATAGCAAGACTCAGACCGTAGTAGGCCAGAACCCAGGCCGTTACTTTGGCGTCTATCAGACCGGACCATCCTTCCTTGGGCCACGGTGTTTCTGTTTTCAGCCTGGCCAGAGTGAGCGATTTGGGGTGCAGGAGTGATGGAGCTGGGCAGCCGGAGACATCGTTGCAGAGGAAAAGCGAGAGGTAGACGAGGACTGGAAGCCCGAAAATGAATGCCGCAGCTCCAAGTCTGCACACTCTCGATCAGCAGGGAAGCATTGGTGCATAGCGTGGACTCACGGCCCCCCAAACTCGTAGCCATGCTTTTCTACCGCTGAAGCAGCGGGCGCGTCCTTGTGCTTAGCCGGTCCTCTCGCCATGATGCAAGGTGGTGTAGCTTTCACAATAGACGACTCTACAGAGAGTGTGGTGGTAGTGGTGTAGAGAGAACTACTCAGCTTGACAGTATCGAAGAAGAGAAGGATTGTGTTGCGCTACCAGCACCGGTACCGGTACCTGTACTTGTACTTCTACTCTCCCCAGCCTTTGCCCGGAAGTGATGATGCCGCATGACTTCACCTCCATGCTGCAAGCTGTCCCACCCTAAGCAGCCACTAAGAAACTAAGTAACCAAGATCCAGCAGGATCCGTAGCTAATGCAGGTCAAAGATGCAGCAGCCCCAACACCCGAGCATGCGGATTAGTTAGTTATGACTGACGCCTGAAGCATACGTAGTCTCTGCTCAGTTCTGATCTCCGTTTACCCATGTACTTACTACACAGTACGTTGTAAATCCAGACGGTCTGCAGATGAGCTGTGCATCTCCTCTCTTCAGCGACCAGCAGACGGCAGCCTCGATCGAGCGCAGGCTCCTGAGCTGCGCCCACCGGCGCCTGATCGTCCTACCGCTCTCGACCATCCAACCATGATCGTCTCATCGTTCCCGCTCTCCCTGCTCGCCCTCCTCCTCCCCTCCACCCTCGCCGCAGACAGCAAACCCCCACCCAAGCCCTGCACGATCCACTCGCCCTCCACAGGCTCCTACTACGACCTCCGTCCCCTCGACCTCTCACTGGCACAGCAATCCACCCCCTCCAAATCCAAAGACTTGCGCACCGACTCCTGGCACGCCAAAGGCTACGACTACCCAGCAAACTTCAGCCTCAACATCTGCGGCCCAGTGATCGAAAGCCTTGCCGACGTCGACGGAATCCCCGCCTCGCGATGGAAGAACGTGAGCGCATTCTACCGCCTCGCATCCACAACCCACAGCATCGGCCAGATGAACTCGGAACTCGTCTTCCGCGGCCGATCGCTCGTCCTCAACTACACCGGCGGATCGCCATGCCCCGAGCTAGACGACGACGGAAACCCAGCCAGAGCTGAAGATTCGAATCTACGGGCACGGAAGATCATCGACGACGACGACGACGGCAGGTCAAAACACCCCAAATCCAGCAGCGGCAGCAGCAGCAGCAGCAACCGGCGCAAATCCAGCCTGATATCGCTCCACTGCGACCGCTCGCCCGCGCTCTCGACCCACCCGTCCCTCTCCTTCCTCGGCACGACCGACCACTGCGTCTACGCGTTCGAGGCGCGCTCGCGCTATTTCTGCGGCGGAGCGACCTCCTCGTCCGACGAGCCCGGCTCCATGGGCCCCGGCGGTATCTTCGGCGTCATCATCGTGATTGCGCTCCTGGCGTACCTGGTGGGCGGGTGTGCGTATCAGCGCATCGTGATGAGGCAGAGGGGGTGGAAGCAGTGTCCGAATTATGGGGTTTGGAGCGGGATCGTGGAGTTTGTGAAGGTGAGTTGTTGGTCCTATTGTTTGGGAGGGGGGAGAGGGACGGGCGGAGGGGCGGTGAGATTGCCTGATCTTTGGGACGATTGATTGATGCATTGATCGAATCATTGATCCGGGCGTGTACGCATGGTGGCTGGTGTTGTGGAAGCAAGCAAGCAGGCAGGCAGGCAAGCAAAAGCAAACGCACCGGGAAAAACGAAAAGAGTGTCAAATCCACATTGTTACTCTTTCGACCTTCCAAGACGCCGGCCTCTTAGACTTTGCTTCCCTGAAAATTCCCCGCTCCATATATCCACCCCTGTTGCACACATGGCGCAAAAAAACACACCTGTCATATAATACCCCCAATCATTCCAGATATAACCACACCCATCCACCCCAGAAAAGAGCGAGGACATACAAATCATCCCTCTTACCCCCACCCCTACTCCAGCCTCATCTCCCCACCTACCTTCCCTTAAAAGCACACTCGCTAACCAGACAACCACCCCGCGCTCCGCAAATGCAGGACATCTTCACGATCCTCTTCTCCACCTGCACGCGCCACCTCCCATCATTCGGCCGCGCCTTCAACTCGCGAGGCCGCAACGGCGGCAGCAG